GACGGTTTCTCACGAAGTTGTGGCCGTTAAAAGCCAGCAGTTTGCAACTGAGCTGTCTACGAATTCATGTGAGCAGGCTGAGCTTGATAGCGCCCTTCATGTCATCCATGGCTATGTCCAAACGGAAGCGCTTCATCATCAAATTTTTCGTGTGGCACGGTAAACACATAAAGGGTCACTGCAAATAAAACCAAAATATGCTGAATTAATTTAAAATCCACACTCCAATTATTTAATAATTTACAGCTAATTGCTCAAACTTAAATTATATTTTTGTTAATTACACACGAATAAAAATTTATTTTAATTTACATATAAGTAGTTTACTCCTAAATCTGATGTTATGGCTAGATTATGAGTCTCTTTTCATTGCAGATTGTGAAGGTCCTCAATACTTAGGTTGAGCGTCCGCAATTCGAGCGTGAGATCCTCGTCGGCCTCTGCCTTTATAAACCCAGTGGCCGACTTATTGCGCCCTTTTACCGGGGAACTAGTCACCGACAGCCGCTTCTTCCGCTCTGTGTTGAGACATGTATGGTGACAAGACTCCAAAACAATCTTGTGAACACCTTCGACGACATTGGTCACGACTCGAGCGTTGCATTTCGTGCTGCCCTGTAATGGAGAACAAAAGAGAATTCTGTAATATTGTAAACATTATTTTAGGATTATATTTCTCCCATTTTTGAGCCCATATATAATACAAAAAACTATGATCACATATGGGAATTCATTACTTTTAAATGGACTCATGTTTTCAATATTGTGTTATTGTGATTCTATGACTCGATTTCTAATTCTAGCCACGACAGCATTTTAAATAAAATTGACCTCAAATTTGGGAAACTATGCTTTTGGACTCTTGTTTTCGAAATGGTTTAAAAAGTCGGCTAAATATGTCATTCCTAAAAATGTTTAAACTTTTTGAACGGAGGTATTATAAAAAATTTAAAACTTACTAAATTTGAAAATGGTTTAGGATGATATTTTCAAAGGACAATGAGTTTAACTTGGACTTGTAAATGAATGTTTTTAGTATTTTTTTTTTAATATAAGGGATTTCCTATTTTTACATTTTTAAACCAGCTTTATTTTAATAATAGATCTTTAAAATGTATACTCACCTTTTTGGAACATATCCAGTAAGTCTTCAGGTTACTGCGACGGTTTCTCACGTAATTGTGGCCGTTGAACGCCAGCAGTTTACAACCGCGCTGTCCACGAATGAATGTGAGCAGGCTGTGCTTAATGGCACCCTTCATGTCATCCAGATCGGCGAGTTCTGAAAGATATTAAAATGAGTTTTATTAGGGTTCAATTCGAAATGTATAAATGTGAAGGCCGGGAGACTATGAACACCAGAAAATGCAGTTTCGAGTTTTAAGCTTTATATTCTATAATAAATAATAAGCAGGCAATAATTGATTCTATACAATGGGCAGCCAGAGTTGGCTGATTTCTATGGCTGTTTTAGTAGGGCGGATGGTTATGTTGGCCGCATTTGATGGTCACATCGTGGTCCTGCACGGTGACTACCCGGGCCTTGCATTTGTGAGCTCCCGCTCGGGCGCAGGACCAATATGTTTTCGATCCTGTGGCCTTGTTCCGGGTGAATGTGAACTCTCCGATCTTCAGCTTGCGACTCCCCCGAAAGCCGGTGATGTAAGAGTAGTACGCAATGGGATCTGTGAATGGAAAACACAACAACTGGATTAGTTCAAACAAGACTGGGTTTGGCTCACAAATCTAGGGCTAGTAGCAAAGAGACGCCGGGGGAAACCATTAACTTAGCTAACTTGCATTTTATTGAGTCAGACGAAAGTTGAGGTGATGTTATATTGTACAATAGGGCTTAAGACTAGATCGCTAGGTCGCTGTCGCCGGCGTTGAAGTGGCGGGGGTCTCCAAAGGGTCCTGCCGCCGCTCCGCCCGAGCCGCCGCCTCCGCTTCCGCCCTTTGTCGCTTTAGAGAGCCGTACTTTCTCGCCTTGGAGATTACCTCGTGGTTATGCTCACTGTTCAGGATGGTCAGGGTGTCCTGTTTGGTTTTGAGCCGTGCCCGACACCGCAAAACGGCGAACTAAAATGAAAACGTAATAAATACTTATACTGATCTAGTTTTGGTAAACACCAGGGACCGTTGCATTATCAAAATAAATTCAATTTAATTTTAAGATTTATAGCCAAATCGCTTTAGATTAATTTACACCGTGGTGTAACCAGTGTTGGGTAGGGTATTAGTTTTTTGGACCAATGTAAAGTTCAAGGTATTTGCGACAAACAGTAAGTAAGGTACAAAAAGTACAGTAAGGTCAAATGGTACACATACAAAAAAACACACTTCTTAATTAATTCTTCTTTTCAAAATAAATCATTTTAAGGTTTATAGGTTTTTATAATAGCTGCAGTTGAATTATGATATTTTGTACACGCTCCACCACATTTGCAATAAATAATTATATTTCTTCACTTATCTGCAAGTTGTAGTGAAATTATATTTTATTAGCATATTTGCGAAAATAATAACAAATCTGGTCTAGTTGTATCAAAACAAACTTGAAAACAAAAATAAATAACAACCTTTCAGTACATTAATGCCCAACATAACTGGTTCTAAAGATAAATACAAAAATTTACCGAGGGGTAAGGTTAAAGTTAGCCTAACATTTTGTTACCTAGGTAAGGTATAAGGTACCAAACAATTGTACCTAAGTACATACCCAGACGCATGTATCTAGATTCACTCCAACACTGGGTGTTAATGAAAGTATACTTTTCTAAAATGTTTCAGTAGGCTGAATACGAATTCTGCCACCTCGTCAATTTTAAAATAATACTTAAATTGATGGAAAATAAAAAAGTGAATATTTGCAACACAAATAACCTCTCACTATTCTGCCAATCGCTGCTGTCCCAAAAATTTCTTCCAACCGAAAGTCAAGACTTGATGGCGCAAATAACTTCAATTCAAAGAAAATATTTAAAACCGACACTGGGAACTTATAAATAGACGACTGATGTAAGGACTAAAACCGTAAAAGTATTTAAAATATACGGTCCCTGGGCAATCCACTCACCTGACTGCAGCGCCAGTAGGTGACGTCGTCCCGGCAGATGTGTCGATTGAAGGTGTGCTGCTTGAGCATGATCTGCTTGGTGCCGTACTTGCTGACGATGAAAAAGGGCGAGTTGCTGTTGATCACTCCGGCGGCGGAGGAGCTGGCCAATTGCATCGTGGCTTCACCTACATCCACGCTGATCTGATAGTCGAATTTGGCTACAAAAAGGTGAGACAAGAACAAGGGTTCCTGGTTAGTTGGCCGTGCTGACTGGATTATATAGTGATAGGATTTCAAAAGAGTAAATAAAACACTGGGGATTGCTTTCATGGTTTTCGGTATATTGTACATTGCGGTTTCGGACTATGACTACATACACATTCTACATCTTACTGGCACTGCGGACAGTGCTTGGCGTGCGCATGATGCCTAGTGAGTCGTGGCCGCCGGCTTAGCTCCACCAGGACGTAGTAGGCCGGGCAGTTTCTGGTCAAGCAATGGAAGTAGGAGCGATACTGCATGGCGCGGATTTTCTTGTACGACTTCCCGCTGATCATGAGAAACTCGCCGTGGGCGTTGCGCATCAACCGGACGCCCCCCTTCGGATTTTTTGCTGAAGGAGATGAAGGATATATGTGTTATGTTGAAGTGAGTGGTGGCATATGAGAGATGAGCTTTATCCAACTAGTACATGCAACTAAATTGTCTACAAAATCGCTGTTTGGGTTCGGTTAATCTCTCTCTTTAATATTGGGGATAAAAGGCATCCTTGGGCATAAGTTTGGCGGGCACGTTGCCGCTCAAAAAGCGCGGCGGATGGTTGTGGGCATTCTTTCCGAGCTTGATGCCTCCGTCGAACTTTGTGATGGCCCTCGCGGAGCACTTGTTCTCATTCAGCCGCTTGCCGTTTCCGTCCGAACAGATCCAGTTGACCGTGGCCCGGAAACTGGCCTCCTTTTTGTACATATATCCATTGAAGACCAGGTTGAATCCCTGCTTTTGATTCCTCAGAAAGAAGTAGTCGTGCTTTTCGATCCAAAGGCCACGCGGAATATCCCCGATGAACTGGCCTGCAATGGAGTAGGCAAAGTATCTGATTTTATTGCTCAAATCACTTGGTACCTTAACATTACCCAGAAAAACACATGAATTGGTTGGGTTGGTGAGTAAACTATTTATTGTAGGAAATGTCGATTTCCTATAAAATGTACTATTTTTAGCCGCTTATTTATATCGCTTGAGGGAGGTTTTAGCTGAATACCTCTTTATGGGGTTATTGAGTCGTTTTATATTTCATAGTTACACATCATAGTTTATTTCCTTTGGAAGACCAGCGCTGTTTGTTTGGCAACAACAACAATTTTAACTCACCTCTGGTGTAGTTGGAACACCCCATTCGCTTTAATTGAATTACTTGGAACCGGCCAAAACTCCTCTTTAAACACTCATTATTAACTTAAACTTAGAAGGAATATTATGTTTTCACTTTTTTATTTGGAGGGATTCCTATTTGAGACACCCAACAACAACAAAGATGTCATTTCGCTGCACACACACACACACACACACACACGCAACCGCACAGGCACTTACACACACACTCACGGCTTGTTCGCAGGACAATTCACGGATTACTCTTTACTCACATTACAAGCCATTATGCATTTTTGCACATTCAAGACACTGCACATTTTGTTAGCAATCGACAAACAATTTGTTTGCCCAAAAACCCTTTCCAAAAACAAATGAAGCGAACACGGCGAAAAAAGTGAGAGAACAACTACAACAAAGATGGCGTGCCATGTTATCGGTTATCAACTATCGGCTATCGCCCCCTTTTTCAAACCTATACTCATTTTATTTGAAAACTCTTTTAAAATTAAACGAATCGATGTGGTTTAAAAATTTAAACCGATCAAAACAGCAACAATTTTCTTGAAAAATGTCCGTACGAATTGAAATTCGTAATATTTAATTTAGATGTAGGAAGCTTAATTTATATAGTTTTAACTGCATATTTTATGGGGGAACTTTTTTTTTAATATTGAAGTAATTTTTACGGTATTGGACAAAGTTGTGTTTAAAAGCTTTACTATAAATTTGAACAAGATCAACTTAAACAAAAATTTCTTACAGTGATGTAAACATAATCGGAACGAAATCATCGATTGCTTAGCGCATACACAAACATTCGAAATATCGATAGCACCGTGAGAAGTTGGCCAGCTCTAAAGTACAGTGCTCTTCTTCTTTAAGTCGTGTTTTTTCTACATAAAATATTTTAATTTGATATTATTATATTTTTCCCTGCTTGTAAACCAATAAATAAACAAAAACCAGCAAAAGTCCCTCCTCAGTCGTTTTATTTTCATTTTTTTGCCCAAAAGGCCCTATCTTACCCGGATGTTCTAACCTGTTGCGTTTGTTTCTCAAATTGACAGCCGCCACATCCGCAACTGCATCTCGAGGAATCCCACCACGTAAACGCGGCAGGCCCAAGACCAAGGTTGAGGATCTGACGCCCAAGCCGAAGCTGCTAGATAAATTGCATGCGGCGACCTTGAACGAGGAGGCCAGCGAGCCGGCGGTGTACGCATCTACCACGAAGGGTGAGTCCAAATCCCGGCAAGAGTCGTGCTCCTTGATAACCAAGCTGATTCCTTGCTCCCCCTGCAGGCGGTGTCAAGCTCATCTTCAATGGCCACCTGTTCAAATTCTCGTTCCGCAAGGCGGACTATTCGGTGTTCCAGTGCTGCTACCGGGAGCACGGCGACGAATGCAAGGTGCGGGTGGTGTGCGACCAGAAGCGGGTGTTTCCCTATGACGGCGAGCATGTCCACTTCATGCAGGCCAGCGACAAAAGCTGTCTGCCCTCACAGTTCATGCCCGGCGACTCGGGAGCCATATCTTCGCTGTCGCCCAATAAGGACAACAAGGTGGAACTGCTGATCAAGACCACCACCAAGCTGGAGAGTTCCGACGCCAAGGAGGATGAAGATTTCGAGGAGTTTGAGATTCAGGAGATCGATGAGATCGAGCTGGACGAACCGCTGCCGGACAAGTTGCCCGCCAAGGAGGAGGAGGTGGACCCCAACGATTTTCGCGAAAAGATCAAGCGACGTCTCCAGAAGGCTCTGCAGAACAAAAAAAAGTGACACTAAATTTGCCTACAAACTCATATTATACTTTCTATATCCACCTGATGTGAGGATGGAGGCCCCAAATATTTCCAAGAAGGGATCAAGCGACGCCTGCAAAAACCCTGCACAAAATTACGAAGTGACACTGAATATGCCTTACAGTTTCAATTTATATTTTCTATATTCATTTGGGTTTTAAATACCCCTACTAAGCAGTACATTAATAAGTTTTTCGTAATAAAACGATGTCAATAAATCAGATCATTAAGTAAACCATTTAACTAGCTCGTAAGCTCCAACTCCTAAATACGTATATGTACTCAACAAAAATGTGTCAGACAAATAACCTACGCACTTTTATATTTTCCAGTTACCCAACACGTTCGGAACTGTGGACCGCAGATGTTCCTGATCAGCCGCAAAGGCGGCACTCTGCTAACCATTAACAACTTTGTCTACCGCTCCAATCTCAAGTTTTTCGGCAAGAGCAATAATATCCTTTACTGGGAGTGCGTCCAGAACCGATCGGTTAAGTGCCGCAGCCGCTTAAAGACCATCGGCGATGATCTCTATGTAACCAATGGTTTGTAAAGTGAAATCAAAAATTGTTTCCCAAGCAATTGTTCAATTTCCTATCCACAGATGTACACAACCACATGGGTGACAATAAGCGTATTGAGGCGGCCAAAGCGGCTGGGATGCTGATCCACAAAAAGCTGAGCTCTCTCACAGCCGCCGATAAGCTACAAGGCTCCTGGAAAATGGAGACCGAGGTCAATCTAGACCAGCTGCCTAAGATGTAACCGCTTCTTAGACATTCCCACCCTAACGTCCGAGTTCTATTAGGGTTAAGCTAATGTATTCGACTATTGTTCTTGCAATGTATTTCTCTGATTTAGACTGAGTGCCCCGACCCTAGTTATGATGGGTAAGTAGCCCGTTTATCTAGGATCTCACAACACGCGCTTTGTGATGTACAAAGTCCCGGGTCATATTATTTATTCTGTTCTCACTGCTTAGACGCTTTTGGCCACGGCACTGACTTAAGCCATGGCTTGTGTTACGTACAAACTATGAACTTTTAATAAAATCAGATGAACATTTAAACAAGGTTGCACGTTATATGATCTCATCTTAAAAAGAGTATTTTTCCGTACATTTTAAACATATGTACATGTCAGCTTTTCAGATTGTTTCTTTTGAATGTAATTATTAAAGTTTATTTTGTGCACTAATAATATGTTTTAAGATCTTCATACTTTTCAAAAGGTATAGAAACCAAATTACAAAAAATAGATATGTTTTTATATTGGTTGGCTTTTGTTCTTTTTAAATCACTTTTTTTTTTAAATTTGCATAGTTAAATTAAGCATATTTATTAGTATGATTCCTGCCTATTTATCATTTTAATTTATTATTAGTTCTACATCAAGATTTTTAATTTTGCGTGTATAAAATATGATCTTTTGAAGAAGACTAAGTTTATCCTCTTAAAACATCTATATTTTTGGTAAACTATTGTTGGTCTACTCTCAAGTGTTCGATGATATGGAAATAAATTAAATTATTCCGATCATTGCTAGGTATGTTCTGAGCATAAAAAGTTTAAAAATTGTGAGATCGCAATCAAAGGATTTAAAATCCCTTAACCTTGCCCTAATCGGTAGGAATCCAAGGCAGCTTTAAACTGTCCAGCTTGGTCCTTACATTCTTATGGTTGTGCGAGGAGCAAGTGCTTCGGTATTTCACCTCGGAGCCGACCATGAAAGTTGAGGCTCGTGCCTTGCATCCCTTGTGGTGGTACATGCATCGCCAGGATCCGATAAGGTTATCCTTTCCCAGAATACGGTGGACAATAAAATGTTCGTTGGCTATTATAAGCTTTGGGCGCCTGTGGGCAGCCAGGTTAAATTCCGCTGGGCCGTCGTATTGCATTGCCTTTTTGGAGTAACGACGACGAACTGAAAGAGAACAAAGAATCAATAGTCAGAAAATGATGTTAACTGTAAGCTAATAACTCAATTTATAGATAGAAATCTTAAAAAAGGGTAAAAGATTTTTCTATGATCATTTATTATGTTTTGTTTTATAAAATACTTAAGTCTATCAGGACTTATACAACGATGCACTTAGCCTAGGTTCAGGTGGTTCGATTTGCAGCAAGCAGTCTTTGGACTATTATAAGCTTGTTTTCATTAGCTTCCAATTTCTCCATGAAGGTATATATTTAACTGTATTTATTGAAACTGGCTAGCTCATATATATATATATATATATATATATATATATCAAATGGCACTTATAAAATTAATGGAAAACGTATATGCTCGTTTGAAATTAGCTTTTTGCACCACAATTTGTTTTAAATAAGTATTATTTGAAAACCCTGATATATTATTAGAGATACGGTCACTAATGTTGAATGGCTTACAATTGTCCGAAGACTACATAAACGATTTTCCTTTTACAAGGAGAACTCGCTCACCATAGGATCGGTACTCTTCATCGACATTAGTTCAAAAAATAATTCAAAACCACAGACATTTGTGACCCCAGACCCCAAGGGGTTAGTAATCCTTGCTGATAAAGACTGCCCCGTGGGCCTGGTGTTGCTGCATCAGCGCCATCATTTGCGGGGTCTGTACGTGGGGCAGGGAGAGGGGCATGGCCAGTGACATGGATACGGGAACAGGTACAGTCACCGGCATCGCCAGGTGAGTGGGAGCGGTGGCGTACGTCGGCGCGGGCATCTGTGTCACCTGAGTCATCATTTCCACCGTGGGTGTCGTCGAGGTGACCACTGGACTTGGGTTGGGTGGTGGATTTTTCACCGCAGGCACAGTTCCGTTGGTCTTGGCCTGGCAATAAAGCTGACAAAGCGGCAACAGTTCCTTGTGGCGTCTCTTGATATGGCTTAGGAAGTTCCCCGTCGACTTGGTGGTGCCGGAGATGAGGCCGTAGCAGGTGGTGCAGGTGGCCTGGATGGCGCCAGGCGTCTTCTGATTCGGCTGGATGTTCTTATAGAACTTACCGTCCAGTATCTTGGGCAGAGTAAAGGGTTTTCGGAACGATTCATCGTCGCTCAGATAGGTTACGGCTAAAGCGGCAACAGCTGCGTCCGTTGGCAGGCCAGGCGTGGGTGAGGGCTCCATTTTGATCTCAACTGCAAAGTTACAAAGGTCACACATTAGTAGGGCGTTTAAATGGTCGTAAAGCTAAACTAGGTACAAAACGAACACCGACAAATACATATTTTACACACATTTCGTTTAATTTATTATAATTAAGCTAGGACTGAAGACTAAAGAGTAAAATAGATTAGCTGCTTGCTGTGCAAGCCTACTGAAGCTCTGGAAACTCGTCCAACAGGTCAGCGGCCAGATCCATAGAGTTGACCTCCGGACCGTGGGTGTGCGGAGCGCCAGCGATCCGTATGGTGACGTCCTGAATTTTGGAGGTTACCAAAGTCGCTCGGCAGCTGTGCTTCACGTACCGCGAGCACCGCCAAAAGACGTTTTTCAGACTCTGACGGTTCACCACGTACCGATAGCCCTCGTATACCAGCATCACTCTGCCACGCTGCGTGGTGGTGTACTGGATGCTGCCACCGGTGGTCTTCTCCTCGAAGAGCGCCTTTAGAGATGGGATGACACCTGGAATGGCAGACGCAGGAGGTTTACAAACATTAGTTGGGGTTATTTTTTGAGATTCTGCTGAGTTAACTAGCTACTTCACAAGAGGTGGGAGGAACAATTCAGTTACTGGCATTTATTTCATTTTAAAAAACGCAACAAACGAAATTAAACTATTGTCCGGCGCACTATGGCTTGACTATCATAACCTTGAGCGTGGACAGCTTGTGGTCCAAGAATTTCTGGACCAATGATGGGCTTAGCTGATCCCCTCGTTGGGCAAACACTTGGCACACATGGGCTGCAACGAGAGGATATAGTGTATGAAGGAATAAAGGTCGCGTGATAAGATAAAATCTCCATTATGTACTTATGATTTCCTGGAACAGCTCCTGGTCGGCGGACTCCTTGCCCTGGGCAATACGGGACAGCTTCGCCTTGCCTATCACCAGATCCGTGACCCGGGATGTATATATAGCGGGCACGTGGAAGTAAGCCTTGGCAAGAGCCACCTTGGACACAAAGACGCGACTGCCATCGAACAAGGGAACGGCATCCGCATCTCTAGGGGATTTCTCCACTTCTTTGTCACTTTCCGCAATCTTCGGTATTTCAATTTCTTCCGTCGGAACTTCTGCAATAGCACATTATAGGGAAACATATTAAGGCACTTCGTTTTGAGAGGTCAACAAAAACATAAACAAAATAAAACACAGTTAATGCGGTTCTTAAAGTGGACTTTATTTCGGTTTAGTTAGGCGAATGCCAACATTTGCAGTACAACCCAGGAGGGCTGGGAGCTACAACAGTATTCCCTTTTATTTATCACAATCGTTGCACAATTTCACAGAGTAAAACACAAATTATTTATTTCAGCACGCCCACGAGACACAAAGTTAAAATAAAAGTAAAGAAATGGCAGCAACCAGGGTTGCATTGGGAGTACAGTGAGGTATCGGTCATGGTGAAATTATAAATTAAATTATATAAATTCATTTATATTTATATCGTATATTTTAAAAATTATTTTTTTAGAACGTCAATTTAGGATGTTCTGTCAGAGCTTTAGTTATGTATTTATTTTTTTAAAAATCTAGTTTCCTTAAAGCTACAACTCACATTGCCAGGTTCGATAGAACTCGATATGTTTTTAAATGCATATTTAAATAATAATTGGTTTAAAATAGTAACACAATTAATATCTTCTATACTTGTTTGTTTGTATGTGTTGCACTCTTGATTTTTACATTTAGCCCATATTTGTCGCTTGATTATTACTCGTGCTAGTAGCTACTGTACTCACGTCATTGCAGCCCTGGGTAGTTTCCGCTCGTCCGGCAACTCTGTCAAAATGTCGCCAGAATTGTGAAAAAAAAATGCAAGTGAATTAACCGATTTGTTGTTAAATTGTTAGCAAAGAAGTGAAAATAAACAGTTAAATTGCCTGCTACAAGTGAATAGTGTTGCTCGGATATGCGCTGTGAAAGAAAAGCCCAACTTCCAAATACGGGCCCTCAAGTGTCGTGTGATGAAGCCGAAAAAAAGTAGCGACGCCTTCTCAAATTCCAAGCTGTTATTGTGAACAAATGTTAAAATAAGAGAAATTGCAATGCGAAAGCAATGTCGCCTAATGTTAATAAAGTTAAGAAACTAATGCGGAGCAGGCATATATTATTTGGCGGATCATCTTGGGCAGACGAGCTGTCAGAACGTTCTAATCAATAGCCGTCCACCCTTTTCCAACTTCTGTCTTGCAGAACTGGAGGATGCCTTCAAGGTTCAGCTTCCGCTCCTGGTGGCCAGAAAAAAGAAGCCTGGCAACTTCCGCAAGCAGAACTTTGACCACCTGGAGGTGAGCTTCACGAGGAGCAATCGGGGCAACAACCTTCTGACCATCGACGGCAAACCCTTCACCCTCAACCGCCGGATCAAGGATGTCTGCTACTGGGAATGCGTCAAGTTGCGCTGCAAGTACATTAAGTGCTCTGCACGCGTGGTGACCAAATCCAATCGGATCTCAGCCCTGCGCGGGCTCCACAATCATCCATAAGTTACCGAATTACCTGTGCCATCTCATTAGTCGAATAAAAATGTTTTTTGTTAAGCAAATAGTCAATTTCCGCCTCCCCTGCCGTTGTAGTTTCTCTAGAGTCCTCAAGCGAATAACAGGTCTTCTGATTAATCTCTCTCAATTCTTGCAGCCTGCTTCCAGTTGGTGGCTAACCGCCGCGGCGGTAAGAACCTGATCTTCCAGGGGCACATGTACTCCGTGGAGCGCAAGTATCGGAACAGCATCAATTGGGTCTGCTCCAAGAACAGCAACAATGCGCTACGCTGCCCGGCGAGATGTGTGACCAGCTCGGACAGTAGCACCGCCATCAAGTTAAGCCACCGGCACCACAACCATCCGGCGGGTTCCTTCAAGCTGCACAAGCGCAGTCGAAAGTGTTCCAGCAGGCGGAGCAGCAGCTAGTATGCTAGTGCTTAATAGTATTAATATATGTTCACTTCGTTATAACATTGTTACATTTGGTGGAATGGTCACAATAGAATGTAAAACATTGCTTAAACTTCATTTGGTGATTGACCTCAACACATAGCTTTTGCATTTAAGTCTTAGTTCGTTATGTTATGACATAACCTAGACACTAACTGTCATCCATTATGGTTAAATCAATATCAAATCATTTAGACTTAACTTTAAGTAATATTCCTTTTACCACTTATCACTTACCCGCTGTGCCATTTCCTTAACAGGTTCTCGGCATCGTAATGTTTACAAGAAGAACGGATTTACGATCATCGATGGCTATCGTTTTGTGATCGGCACTACCAACTTGCGTCGCACGTACTTGAAGTGTGCCAACTTCCGGAGCAATTGTCGGGCCCGGGCCATTGTGAATAGGGACACAAACAAAGTGCGGATGAGGCACGAGGGTCACAATCACAGCCGCAAGGATGTGGTGAGCGGACGTAACTCTAAGAAGTAGCAGGTACCAAGCTGTCTTGAGGAATAAACAAACTGCTTTCGTTACAAAATGTTCGCCTGCTTTTCACTACTCCAAATGAACCCTTATGCCATTACATCTTTGCACTTAAACTGAGATTCTGACCATCAGCCAACTAATTTTGATAATTCCATTGCAGATCACGCGAAGTTGGCACAGTATGTGCGTTCCAATAGAGGCACCGATCTCGTTTACCACAAAGGCAATACCTACACACCCAACGAGAAGTTGCGAGAGGGACAAAAGAGTCGGGACTGGAAGTGCTCCATGTATCACAAGGCAAAGTGTCGGGCCCGTCTGGTCACACGCATCACCAGTGGCGGGGATATCATCCACGTGACTAGCAACTTGCACACGCATCCCGCAATGTACACATCGCAGAAAATGGAATCTCGCGTGGACGCCCAGAAGCTCTGCCTCGAGAGGAATCCGCTCTGCGTTAACACACGATCGGTTAGAATCGACAGCAAGTAAATGACAAAATCCGATCTCTCTTAATCCAACACGGATAAAGCTTTAGGTGAAGAATAAAAGAAGTAGTTTTAAAACTATCTAGTCTGTTTAAGGACTAACAAACATGTGAGATGTGAAGGTACTCACGTCCCGCACTACCTAATTACAACAATTTTGTATATCACAAAACAGCTTAGATTAAAGAAACAGATTTAATAAGTTGTAAAGTTTTCCTAATCGGGAGTAGAAAGCAATTAGTTTTATAATTTTCAACATTACACATTGCTAACCGAGATGATTGACTTGGAAGTTTATTTATTTTAAGTAAACCTTTTTTTTTTTACTAAGTTCACCTCCATTGAGTCTCAGGTTAATTAGTCTTTAAATAAAGCCTTAACTAAGTGCAGTCTTGGCTTTTAATTATTTTAGCAAGATCTTCAAATGATGCCAATACTAATCTATGCATTTATTCTAATGTTTTTCAGAAATACTTTTGACATGGAAACAATTGCCAATAGAGTCAATATACAATGCGCATGGTAAGCTGATGGACATCATACCCAACATACAGATCATCCAGGGTCAGAGAAAGTCCGTACAGCTAATGTTTGCTAAATTTGCCTATGCGAAGAACAACCAGCGCGGGAACACCATTTACTGGAACTGTCGGAGTCGGCGTAACGGAAAACATCCGTGCAACGCTCGATTGTCCATTAGCAGGCTCCCGAACGGACTGTACAAGGTTTGTCTGTCCCAGCCGGAGCACAATCACCCGCCTTCCAAGCGCCTATGTAGAAAGTATGATTAGTCTGTAAGCATTGCCAAATATAAACGCGCCATGACTTGGCAAACAGCATTAAACCGACTCTGAATCTATTGTGTTAACAATGTATATAACAGCTGAATAACTAATACTAATCCGAATGTGTACCCTCTCCGTCCACAGAAAGCAGCGTGGCCATCTACTCGGCCACTTCCCGGGGAAGAATGCAACTGATCTACGGCGGTCAGCCGTTTATCTTCGAGAAGACCCTGAAACTGTCGTCGGGGGAGGAGAAACGCTTCTGGCGTTGCAACCAATGGTGGAACCAGAAGTGCCGCTCCCGTGTCTTCACCATCAATGATGTCGTCTGTCCGCTTAACCGATTCCACACGCACGAGGAGATTGTGCGTCGCAAGAAGCGTGTGCGTCGAGTGCCGCCGGTGGAGACAATTGCCAAAGTGGTCACCACTTCCGGCAGGCAGGAGCAGCAACAGCAACAGCAGACCCAGCAGCAACAAGAGATACAGCTGACCAGTGATGCTATGTTGACTACCGCATTGGAGGACGAATCGCCTGCAACGATTGATGTCAGCGAGCTGGGAATGCACCTGAAGTACGAGGAGATTGTAGCGGATGTCACGGGCATTGTGGGTGCCACTCGGGTGGTCAGCCGCCGGAAATAAAGAAGGAGTTCTCATTCTATTTTTTTCTTGGCAATACACCGCAGCAGCAGATTTTACTCCATAGAAAATTTGAAGCAATATCATTTTTGAACTGGCCAAGTCGGTACAAACAAGATATTTCTTTTGAATTTAACAAAGGCTACATTCAATTTGCTAGCCAATATAAATTATTATAATATTTATATTTAAAAAAAAACTAGTTTTATTTTATTAAATATTTGCAAACATTTTCCAAGATAATAATTTTGCTTTTAAAACTTGATAATTGCCTCATCATTTCAGAACTGAAATCTATAGATTAAATTCTGCTCCTTGTTTTCTCTATAAAAAAAAATCGACTCATCTTAGTCCCTTATTCTGCTTAAATATGATTAAAAACAGTGTTTTAGGAAACGGACAAGCTAAGTTAGCACCTATGATTCAACTTATAAACACTTTAATAAATGTAAATTATATAAATGTAAGCCTTAAACAGTGTAATTATTCATTTTAGAATCCACGAAACGTTTCCAGTTCCCGTTTGGGTATACTCCCAACCTGAATCACTCTTTACTAACCTACCGGGACACACACTTCTTGTCTTTACAGGTGACACGCCACAGTTCTTCTTCACCAAGGGCCAACGGGAGTCCATTAAGCTAAACTACGGCGGTCATAGCTACGTAAAGTTCATGGAGAACGGCCGCGGGACGAAGTGGATCTGTGCCACCCGCTCCACCACCAAGTGCCGTGCCCGAATTCGCACCACCAAAAACAACCGCCTGGAGGTGCTACATGCCCCCCACAATCACGATCTGGCATCACAGAAAAAGGAGCGAGGACGCCTCCGCCAAAGGATTAAAACCGGAAAGTAGTTGAGAGTGTAAGAGACTTAAGACTATTTGGTGTTTAAGACCACGTATTACGTGCTCAGTTTAGTTTCATCTTATGTTTGCAATGAAACATATGCTCCTATTGTTCTGCTTGTTTATATGATAAGCAAACTAACATCGAAATACTTTAATACTTCGCAATAACATTTTAAACTGGACTTCTTTAATGCTGAACAAATTAAATTCTTATTGGCTTCTTAGTTTGTTTTTTTTGTGTAGCTATTGCCATACCTATAATTTGTCTAACATTTAAAGTTTAATATATGTCTTCCTATTTTAGTTTATTCTGATCCAATGCAATGCAGCGTTAAGCATAAGATTCATTAAGTTAAATTCTTTGAGCCTACAAAATGGTATGTGAAGATCCTTTTTAATAGACTTGTAAAACTTTTTAAAGCGGTGTCAATTATATTTTTGTATATCACGCTGTAAGAAATCGAATGAAAATAGAAACAGGATATGAAATCCCATGACGCAAAACCATAGTATGTATTGCATTAAATTGAGATCAATAATAATAAAAATATGAAAATGAATGTCGTAGGAATCGAATTATTCATTAATAAAAATTAAAGTATGCCATTAAATGATGCAGTTTTTAAAATTTATATTTGTTTTATTACTCAATAATTTATGTGGAAATTGTGAGTGAACAAATTATGAAATCAAAAAAATTTTTGTCGATTTTCCGACACAAGGCGAATATATAGGTATTACTTTGAAGCGGGTGGTAATCGAAAATTATAAAAATCAAACTTGATTCTTCAGGAAAAGTCTTACTTACTAAATCACGATCAGTAGATCGTATATAAAAATTGGAATTAATTACATATACTTGTATGTCTCATTTCATTGAGGAGTGCAGCTCCTCAAAGCAGGGTTCGCACATCCAGTTGCTGCCAGGACATGTGTCACACAGTGTTGTGATCCTGATTAGACCGGATCTGTTCTTTTTGAGGCAATTTACGCACTTTCCCTTCAAGCGAGGCAGGCCCACTGATACAAAGTTGTGCTGATCGGACGAGGTGCGAATGATGTTGTCCGGGTTTTTAAGGTTTAGTTTACGAGCGGGCTGCACTTTGATCATTTCTTCGGCAACTGTGCGTACTGCGGGTAGCAACTTAACACTTCGCTTTGGCCCCACTTTTTGAATAGGTTGTAAACGTCGAAATAGTCTGCCATCTGTAAAGTTAAAGAATACAAAATTAGGTTGGTTTATGAAATGTTCAACTAATTAAAGGCTACAACAAAGACAAGTCAATTTTTAATAGTTTTAATAAAAGAGTCATTTTTAATTGAATGTATATAGCTAATCAAACGTTTATTTAATGTGGTAATGATTTGGGGTTCTCAGGTTTTAAATGATTCTGTTTGTTTTTTCTAGCTGAAATAAAACAAGAATACTTTAGTTTTTTTCGAGAATTGATCAGTTTGGCTTCCACTATTAGTTATCTCTTTATTTAGACGGTTTTCCAATCGACCACTCGAGGAACAAATGTCTTTAGTCGTTCGGGTGGGCTATGATTGTGGAATCCACGGATTGATTTTATGGATTTCATGTGGGTGGTCAGCGCCGCGCGGCAGTTCATCTTTTTATACATGGTGCAACGCCAGAAGGTCAACAATAGCTTCGGATTCCGAGTGTGACAGCTAAAGGTATAACCCTCGTAGACAAGTTTTCCTCGATCGTCGTAGGTGAGAACTGAAATTAAAAGTCTGAGTTAGTTAATTTATACAGTAGTTAAACCTATTCTTCAAGAATTATCAGATTGGTGCTATTGAATTTGATAATTTCAGATCTTTATTTCACTCGATCAATGGTGAAAATTGCAATCAAAAAGTTAACTACATATATAGCTAACTTGGCTAACTTACAGCTATATTTACAAATTTGTTATACTTCAAATTAAGCTCCCTTCATTTGATTTAAAAATAATTTAAATACTTTTTTACAATTTCAATTCACAGGTAGTAAGGGAAACAAATAGAAAATTAGATAGTTTAATTCCTAGATATGAACGTTCTTCGACACTGTTACTTAGTAACTACATTCCACTGCAGAGTCCAAATGGACCAGCTATTCGTGCATGAGCATCATGGAGGCGTGCATCAGTTCGTGATCCGTCAGCTGCAACGTGGCCGGATCGCTGGCTAGCTGGTGCTCATCCATTAACTCCTGTTTCTGCTCGTGGAGCTGCTGCTGTGTGTAGCCATGCGTCCTGCACTGCTTTCTGCCGGTGCTAACTGCTGCCATTTTATTTCGCTGCACGATCTTGTCGATCTTGTCCGTATGCGGTTGATGGTTGTGAAGTCCGCCCGTCACACTCTTTAGACGGCCGTTTTCCAAGACGCAGCGGGATCGGCAGCGCATTTCGTGCACCTTTTTGGAATAATTGTGGCAGCGCCAGTACTGTTTGTTGCTCTTGCGGCTGTGGCAGTTGTACATGTAGCCATTCAGCACCAGACACGGCGTCGACCAAGGGCTCTCTATGAAGACCAGCTCGTTTCCATCTGCAAATCAAAAACTGTTGGTTAGTCAGTGGTTTATATTTGGGACTTGAAGCCTAATAATGATGTAGTAGACCATTCTGAAATGTGCACCATCCTTTGTTTTGGTATCAGTTTATTAGAGCATTAAATATGAAATACTTTTACAGATTTCAATTAAACTACGTTCGAGATGGTGGGCCGATTTGTTTGGCAGAGAATCCTTGAACCATTATAAACCACTATAAATCTACTAAAGTGGTTGACTTAATCATTAAAATCCTATGAATGTTCGGATACCTCGGTATTTTTGAGCAGATTCTTTTCATTGGACACACGTTGTGAAACTAACCTTCATGTTGCTAAGTATGTAACAGTTTTCTTATTCTATATCATTGGTTTCTAAAGTTGAGAAATTACATATTTTATGGAAGGTGCAAAACTATAGTCTTAAATGTATTACAAACATTGTAAGTCGGACAATTTTTGGTTGTAAACATTTTTGGTTGCGGGCTGACTAACGATTATCTTATAAATATTAAAATACATATACACATGTATGAAAAATAACTATTGGAAATGGTCGGTTTTGGTCAATTTAAGACTATAGCTTCAGTTTGATTGTGACATACAGCAAGAAAACTAATGAAGGTTCAGAATGATATACGATTTATAGCTTTTCTTCAAACAAATAAGCCCATTCCAAAGTTCGAGACTAATACGAGCTTATGGTGCTAGATGATTACTCCTAGACGTGCTTAGACTTCAGCAGGGAACGGCGCTTGGCCTCCTCCGCCTTCTCCGACTGCCACCTTGTCTCCCGCTCTCGGTCCCGCTGCTGGACCCGACGCGACTCCGCCTCGATCTCCAGCTCCTCCTCCTCCTCCTCGGCGGCGTCAACCAGGGCCTGCATCTCGATCTCCGTGGCCTCGGCAGCGGGCAGAAACAGCTTGCAGTCCTTGCCATCCTTGGCGGTCACGATGATATTGCTGCTGCCCAGATACTGCGATATCTTGGGGTTGGACGTACAGATCTCGATGTACTCCTCCAGTTCCTGCTCCACCTTATAGAGCTGCCGCTGGCCGATCCTTGAGGAGTGGGACTCGTGGTTGTGCTGCCGCCGGGCATCGATGAACTGGCCATCGCGGGTGATGACCACCGCTTTGCAGCGCAGCTTGAGGACATCAGCACAGCGCCAGGTTGTCTGTCCATTGGCCTGGGTCAGCTTCTTGTTGTAGATGTAGTCCCGGTACACCAGCTGGGCGTTCTTTTTCTGGCTGCGGATAAAACTGATATCCGTGTCTGCAAGTGGCCCGAAGATAACCGAAAATAAAGGGGTGACAAGAAGGCGGGGAAGATGGTTTAGTGGGCATGGCTATACCAATGTCTAACTCCTAATCTAGTAAATACATATGTATATGACTTAAGCGCTACGCTAGAATCGGCGAAATGAAACAACATTTAGTTCAGACTTTGGCTTTAAGCAGTTTATTGGCACACAGCGAACCTCAGGACCCATGAAGATGATGGCATAATACTTACACAAGGTAGTATTTTACAACTTACAATAGCATTTTCTTCAGATTTTCCATCGCTTGGGTTTCAAATACGAATTGTCACAAAACACAAGGGTGGAAAACACCTGGTACGACAAAGCCGAAACTGCCATAAATACCACCCTCAAAACTTTTTTTTTTAAATAAACACCACACTTCACTCTGGCACAGGCAGGAAATAACTAATTTAACACCAAAACACACTTGTTATTGATTTACAATAAACTAACAAAACAAATTCGGCTTGGTTTCTGAATTATTTTCAACAGTGGTGCCACTCTTTTCAATTTCCAGGGCTGGACTTTCAATTAGGGCTACCAAAAAGTGGCAACACCGCCCCTTCAATCTGTTTAAAATAGCTTTGGTATTTCCTAGACGACTGAATCTCTGAATTGCTTAAAATGCAGCACACATTTGAAGCAATTGAGGGAACGACTTAAAATGTTTCCTGCTGAAATTGTCAAACAGCCTTAGCAGGATTTGTACCCTGGGCTTTTACCAATTCAACAAAATTTACCTCTGGGCTACTGAAATTTAAGCAAGTCGAATTAGCATGGAACAGCTGACCGAATTTAAGCAAATCAGACGTTTAGGGAATACCTAAGCATTTCAAGTGTAATGAAATTTGTTCTTCACAACGTTTATTTTATTTTTTATAAATACATAAAAGAAACCCGTCATATATTAAATCTTATAAAGTATTTTAAACATAAACACAGGAAATCCTACGAGCCTTGCACATTTTACATAAAAAGTTGACCATTGCCATTGCACCGAATACTGTTACTTTCAGTAGCGTAGCTCATCTTCACATTACGGTATCATTCTACAGATATTGCAGTTCCTTTGAAAAATGTATTCAAAATAGCAACTTAAGTTTTAACGACACTACCCATTTTCAAATGTATGGATTGATAATTTTATTCAAGTTTGCTCTCCTGTATTAAGTATTTTTCAAAAACAAATTATAATTTTAATTATCGCAATTCAAGTTTTACGACCTGGGACCGCAATATAAGTGAAATATTTTATATTCGAGCGAAAAAAAAAATCAATCCAAAAACCCCGCTGTAAGAGCTTTCTTCTGCAGAATTCTTTGAATATGTAGATAGCTTACGACGCGAAACTTCAATTCTTTTTTAATTACAAAAAAAATTGAATTCAAAGTACTATTTTTAATTACAAAAAAATAAATTGAACGCAGTAATTTTTTTAAATAAAAAAAAAATCAATTGAACTCAAACTACTTTCTTTTTAACTAAAAAAATAAATTGAATTCCAATTACATCTTAAATAGAATTCAAAGTACACTTTTTATACTAAAAAAAAATCAATTGAATTCCAAGTACTTTTTTTGTTAGTCAGTTCGCTTAATAAGACAATACAATGTCAATGCCCCAAAAAAAAATTGAGCGAATAAATGTTGTTGATCATTAATCATTTACGATCCATTTTCTTGTTCTTGCTGTAATAATCTTCCCCTGGAACATCACTCAATTTTGAGATAAAACTTAAAAAAAAATCAACTGGAACACTGTTTTACGAATTCTGGCTTTTACAAGAGGTAATATACATTTAAATATTATATATATTTACTTCAGACTCGGCAATTAATGCCGTTGCTAGAAATGTATCAGCAGGCTTTTACGTTGCTTCAACAAGTCTAAACAACATCTTGATGTACGGAATAAAAAACGACAAAAAAAAACAAGCACCAACAAATAGCCGCTTTCCCCAAAAATATGTTAAAACTTATCAATAAAATTAAATACCTGCAAAACATGATGAATGAATGGAAAACTTTTTAAGACTACTGGTATTACCTTTAATTGTTTGAGTTCTTCATGGTGTTCCAGGGTGCAGCACAGACATCAGTTTCGATGGAAATTCAACACTCTACTTACCTTTAACTGAAGTTTATATAAAACCGCGTGATACTACACCGAAGCACGTGGGTAATATGCTTTAGGCGACCGATCTGCCAGATGCTTTTTAGGCTTTTAAAATAAAGCACAGGCTAATATAACTAGTTATCAACTAAAGGCCAGTGAAGTATTGCTTAAATTTGTTTTAAATCAGATTTAAACGCACTTTACCAGAATGAAAAATGACCTGGTTCGCTTGCGAAGTATATAGGTTGGTTAAAGAACAATATAAATCAGTTCAAAAATGATTACATTTCGCAAGCGAAAACCAAGACCATTTCTAAATTCTACTTATGACTAGTGGCCGTCGGCCATTTTAACGATGGGAATTCAACCAACCTTGAGCCTCTGTGTTGCCCTGATCCGCGCTGGTGTCGACAAACGAGGATTCACTGTAGTTCTGTGACTGCTTAACCACCGCCTTGGACGTGGTGGCGGTCACTCCGCCGCCGCTCGTGTTTGCCGTCGTCTGGTTGCCAGCATCCTCGTTTTCAGTGAAGTAGCTGTCGTCGTAGCGCATGTCCCCATAAGCATCGTCCTCCACGTAGGTGCCCTCGCCATCTCCGGCGGCATCGCCATGGTCCTCAGAGTAATCAGGTTCCGATTTCGTTGGCAATTCCATGGGGAGATCAATGTATTCGGCTTCCTCCTGCTGCTGATGCTGGCGGACCTGCTGCTGCGGTTGCTGGTGGATCTTGCTTTCCGCGGCGGATACCACAGCGGTTTGCACGGTGATCTGTTGCGGCACCAGTTGGGCGGTCGTTGTGCTTCCAGTATCCGTGGCCGAATCTAGGGGGTCCATTACATTGGCAGAGGCGCTTGTCTTGGGGCGCTTAACGCCGCCGCTGGAAGATGAGGCGGAGGTCAGGGAGGTGCGCTGGGCGGAACGTTTGTTTGTCGACACCAGCGTCGCCGTCGTAGTGGTTCCCGTCTGCAGCTGCTGCTGCTGCGTCTGGATCTGCTGCGCCGCCTGCTGCTGCTGCTGCGGCTGTTGTACAATGGTGGCTTGAGGTGCGGCCGTGGTCTGGATGACGATCTGGGTAGTGCCCTTGTTTTCGTCGCCCAAACCGTCGTCCACGGTCTCGATTTTGTAGCGGGCGGAGGCGCGCGGCTGCTGGCGCTGCGCCCGCTGGGCCGGTAATTGTTGTTGTTGTTGTTGTACATGAGGTGCTGCTGGCGGCGGGCTAGGCTCCTGCGGCGGCTGCGGCGCAGGATCGTTCTGAAAAAACATTACGAAAAAATGCAATCATTTGGATTTTGAAACGAATCATAAGGTACTAGCCCAAAAAATTTGCTTTTAATTATTAGTAAAGCACAAAGGACAACTTTCATACACCCTTTGATATGTATATTAATACAGTGCTAAAAACTTTGTAATACCTTTTATGTTAAAGAAAATTTAAAAGTCATTAATTCATTAAACATGAATGAAATACTACGTAGAATTTATACTACGAATTAAACAATTGTTTCGCCCCTAACAATAAAACGCAATTGTAAATAATACATATTGAATAAAATTGGCTTTGACACGAGAATGCAATAAAAAAAAAAGAAAACATATTCTGCATTATTTGTTTCAGTTCTTGCTGCATCTGTTTTATGGTTTTTTTTAATCTGCGATACAAATTAATGTTTATGCTTTGGCACCGAATTCGCTGTGAAACAAAAACAACCACCCAGTTGGTCGATGCCATATTGACCAGAGCGAGACAAAAGTAACAACACACGCACAGTACAGTTGTCCCTCTCTGGCACGCGTGCCTTTTGGCATTTCGTTTGCGAGAAATTTCTCGGTACAGTCAAACCATGCTCTTATACAGATGCTTGCATGTGTATGTATTGGGCGCGAAAGGCGATGCTATTGTTGTTGTTTTTGTTGAACCTACGATTCGATATACCAGTATTAGCAAATATGTATATACTCACATCCGTTAACCCCTTGATTTGCAGAGACTCCGCGGTGCTAATGAAAGCGGGAAGGGCGTCCTGCTTCACATTGACCTCGCCGCAGTACATGAACTGGATGAGGTCCTTCAGCGCGGAGTGGCTTACATTGTTCAGGAATACTGTATGGGGAGAAAACAAGTCAAAAAAAAACATCCCCAATAGAGTTCTAGGCCCAAAACTCACCGATTGCGTGGGTGTTCGACGGCATCTGGGTGAACATCTTGCGGAAGAAGGGCGAACAGACGGACAACACCAATCGGTGGGCCTTCACTATATGGCCCTCGGCCGCCAAAGAAACGTCCACTAGGTCGCCGCGACATAGCGACTCGTGGAAGCCAGCCGACAAATTCGTGTTGAAGTTGTTCCAGCACAGGCTGAATTGCTCGTCGTCCGCCATCTTGGACGAAAATCAATACTTTTCTGTACCTATGCGTTTGGGGGGCTGCAGGCGAAAAAATGCAATGCACGTTTATTAGTCAATGCTTTAGCTAACCATACACTAATTTGTTGTTTACAACCACCAGCGACTGCCGAAAAAAAACGGCAGCAGCAACACAAAATATGCAACGCAGCCAAAAAACTGGGAAATTTTCAAGCGTATGTGTATGTATATGTGTAAAATAAGTGGCACCTATTTTACTTATTATTCACACAACCGCATTTTAAATTAATATTAACCATCAATGAAACTACTCACCTCTTGTATTATTTTTCAAATAAAATAACTATTTATAACCGAAGCTCAAATTATTTTTAATCTCGCGACAACGCGCAGAGTGCGTCCGATTTCTTTCGTCTGAAAATTAGAGATGAGCGAATGTGGTAGAGAAACTGGAAGTGAGGAAACATCAATGTCATCGATGTTTTTAAATTATCGATGTTTGACAAGGACTATCGATGTTTGTCAAGAATCATCGATTTTTGTTACAATTAGAACACGACATTTCACGATTTCCTGTACACTGTTGAAGCCTATTGTTGAAGCTTTACTGCTTCAGCGACCGAATTTCCGCAACAGCGACTTTTTATTGAATAAGAAGTACATGGGTTACAAAGAAATAGGAAAAAGTCGCCTATACAAGTATGACATTACATTATATGTAAACCTTTAAACGTTAAAATTAGCGGGACAAACACAATATAATAACAAAACAATAAAGTTTGAATTTAACGTTAAAAGGCAGTGTGACCGTTAACTTATTATTACAAAAATCTCAAGCAGTATCCATAAAGTTCTCTATGTCTCTGAGCTTCAATGAATTCGTCAATAAATGAGGCGAACAATGTAATGTCATACCCGTATAAGCAGTGGAACAATACTAATGGCGTCGCGCATTCTATACACAAACCGGTTCATAAGCCATGACACAAACCAAAAATATTTTCTGCCATTAAAAACACTACTTCGACACTAAGTTTTAATAATTTTCTAAGCCTTTCGCAGATCGTGTTCCTAGCTGAGCTCTATTTATAAATATTACTATTGACACGTACTAGTTTTTGCGAAATTTTCAATTATTTTTATTTCAAGTGTTCTTGGAAATCGATTAATTGGTGGACTATATCGATAATCCGATCTTTGGGGCTGCATACAAATTCTATAAGCCTAAGATTTAAAATCTCCTTTATATTTATCCCTAGTCCTTCCTTGCTGACCATTTTGTTCAAGATTTCATAAAAATTGTTTAGCAGTTCCCGGGATATTCTATATGTTACACATACTTCGGAAACTCCAGTGTTTTGTTATGCAGCCCTCGTCCGATTTTGCGGGTTGTAAATGAGTCTGGCAATGCCATTTGAAAATCCCCGTAATAAGAAAGTATTTATTTTCGCTGTCAAAATAGAGGGAAAGCCTGCCGTAAAGGGGATATCTGATGATGTCTCGGGTACCAGCAAAACAGCGTCAATATAAATAAAATATAAATAAAATAAAAACATGTAATAATAACTGCGCTTTTAAAGTTTTTTTGTTTCGAAATTCTAGCGAGCTTGCAAATGCGAAATTTGGACAAGTTCCTGATATTTTGTATGGCATCGGCTTAGCATTGGTACATTCTAGCGTGTATAATACAAATTTTCCTAAATAAGAAAGTTAAGGGTATGCAAATTCGATATAATTTTGATTTCTTGATATTTTGTATGGCATCGACTCAGCATTGGTACATTCGAGCGGGTATGATAAACATTTTCCAAAATAAACAAGCAATTCAAAAAATCGACTTTTTTGAAAAACATAATTTTTATGGGTATGCAAATTAAGGGTTAAGGGTATTTTTTGGATATTTATTATTCAAAAATATAGAAAAACATTTTTTTTTGAGTGTATAGGTATTTTTTGAGTGTAAAAACTTTTAATTAATTACACAAAAACGATTTTGTGAAACATACAAGCTAAATTTCACCTTAATTGAAATAAATTCCTTGGTACTTGATTTTGTGACCCCCAGAGCTGCTCGCTCAGTACATTCATCATATCAAGTGTGCGAAAATCTGCACTTGAGCGCCACTTGATATACAGTTTATATGTATATAGGGACTATAAAACTGAAGGACTTAACAATAATAAATACTGATACTCATGCTCAAGTAGCGAAACAAAATCTGCATAAAGTGGCTGCGAACAAACAACTGTGACGTTGCAAGTGGATGCTTAGTGTGTATGTTTGTTTGTAGATACATATACATTTACATGCTTGTAAAAATGAAAAAAAAGGGCGGCTATTATAATGGATACGTTCGCCAAAAATACTTTTCACTTCCATCCAAAGTCGGTTGACCGAAAGTTTCGCTTCTTTGCTCAATCAATAAGGACTTATTTAAATACATATAGAACGTCTGCAATCCGATTTTGTGTGATATTTTTGAGCGAAATAAAATCGGTGACTAACTGTCAGTAATTCTGGACACTACAAATAGAAATATAAAAAAAATAACGGGGAAATTAATATAATGAAGGATTTGAACTGAACACAGAAATTGAGGATATACATTAAACATTATTTACAGAAAAAGATTCACCACGACAACAAAAATTAAAAGTTGATAAACAAACGGGGAAATTAATATAATGAAGGATTTGAACTGAACACAGAAATTGAGGATATACATTAAACATTATTTACAGAAAAAGATTCACCACGACAACAAAAATTAAAAGTTGATAAACAAATTTTTTTTTTTTTCATTTTGTCGCGTCTTCATCGTAAATTAAGATGAGTAAAAATTATAACAAGGAAGCATTTCGACTCTATTTAGGTTCAATCTAAACCGATTTCGCCTAACGTCAGAAAAACCTTTAAAAAGCTGCAATAAGAATGACAATATGGCCCACTAATCCTTACATCTATTTTTTTGATTATTTAGCATGCGTTCCTTAATAATGTTAAGTGTAAAATAAATATTTTTGTTTTTTAAATGAATTTTGATGAAAAATGTTTGTCTTAAACTAAGTGCAAATTTTGCCGCGTTCGCGATGTAGCGTTACAAATTTGATAAATGTAGAAAAATAAATCAAAAAATAATAGTAATAGCTTATAGCTAAAAAATGTCTTATAAAATGAGTTATTTATGTAAAAACGACAGTTTTAAATGTTAGTTTTGTAATTTTTTGTTTGTTGTACGATCCTGGAAGTTCCCGATCCTGGAAGTACCCATATGTAAAACGTATACCAATAAACTAAAGTGTGTTTAAATTGTTAAACGTATAAACTTACTTCACTACTTTTCTATTTGGTAAAGTCGATATAAAATTGTTACCAGTTGATTTCTGTTGATGTCCCAAATACCAAGCGTAAAAAGTCTGTATTTAACTAAATTGGTACTCAATATTACTCAAACGTGCACATCTCTACCCGAAATGAGAGAATAAAGAGCGAGAGAGAGGGACGCTCGGCTGTGATTGGCTTGAGGGCGGCCATTTTCCCCCTAACGGCATTTGTGTGTGCGGTGCACCCACACACGTCCACGAGCGCACAGGCATAAGGCGATCTGGGGTGAAAGAAGTACTCGCTCAGTACCAATATCGAGCCGACAAATTGCAGACACGGTCGAGTGCGCACAGCAACGGTACTTCTGGGATCGGGTACGGTTACTATTACGCTGTACGCTGTACGTTACGGTTTACGGGTTTCGGTCTTCCACTCAGTGCGCTAACGGTTGCGTGGGGTGTGCTCCACCACCTACTTGATTGCCCTGCTACCGTGTTAGCCATTCAAGTGTCGCAAGTTCAAGTGCGATTTGGCAAATTGCTGTATTTATTTAAATTTAAAGTGCTTCTCAAGTGGCCAAGTGATCGCATCGCATCGCATCGCATCGCGAGGATGTTGCAACACCATCAGCAGCAGGCTCAATCGGGTGGCTATTATGACTACAACCAGTCCCCCAGTCCGGGCAGCTTGACAAATGCAGATGCATTGAACACCACTCCGTTTTCAGTCAAGGATATACTGAACATGGTCAATCAAACGGAGGCTTACGAAGGCGCCTACGGACACCTCGATAGGTAAGTGTGATTGCGAAATACAATGTTAAAATAAATCGTATGTTTTGATGTTTGTCTATAAAGTTCCTAATTGGACTTCATTTGAAAATGGGTTAAACAGGATACATATATACTAACCAGTACGTTCACATTCATGTGTGTCCCATTAAGATTAAAAAAAAAAAAAAAAAAATCGTTTCTGGGATATGTTTAAAATTTATTTAAAAAAAATGTAATATTTTTGTCAGTAAGACCACACAAGGTTTTTACCCAGAATTGAAACAAAAACTAACTTGGAATAGTTCTTTTGAAACAAATAAACAAAAAACGGCCAACAGAACTTGATCGTATAGAAAAAGAAAAATAAGCCAAGGTATAACTCTAGGCCAACTGTTATTTAACTGTTATTTACTTTTTACCAGGTATCTTCCTAAATATCTCTTCCACTTATACCTGTCAGTAAGTTTTTTTCACGAAGACAGCGTACTTTCCCTTCCCAGCCGCATTTTATTTATTTTTTTTTTAATAGGGCTCCATAGGAAAATTAATTTCTACCAATTTTCCAACGAAAGATAATGTTTTGATAACCTTCCGTCGAGACGTAGCAGAAGAAATCCTATGAAAACACATAGGAAGCATGAATTGCAAATAGGATCTGGGACCCGAGAACCTCGAGCTCGAGGCTTTGACAAATCATCGTTATTTGTACAAGAGGCCGAAGACAAAGATGAGAAGACACAGTGTTAACAATAAGAACAACAAGGTCCAAGGCAGGCAGTCCGGAGAGGTGGCGATCCGGCGATCGCTCGATCCCTTTTGGGCTGGTCAACATGTGTGATTCGCATGTGTGTCCGCCGCACGGGGGCGTCCCTAATTTGCTGATGAGGCATGAAATGATGTCACCAAGGATCCTGTCGCGCCAGCAGGAAGTGGGCAAAAGTCTACGGCCCGGGGAGCCACTGTGTCCGGCGTGATGCAACATATGGCGGCCATATCCGAATAGCCCAGTGTTTAACCTTTCGCTTTTCCTATTTCTCTGCTTTCCCGCAGTGCGACTGCTGCCTCGGCGCTCTATGGCGCCGGTGAGTACCAGCAGCATCTTCACCAGCCTTCACATCAGTACCACGGCCACCAGCAGCATCAGCACCATCAGCACCATCAGCAATCCGAACTAACGGCCTCCCAGCAGCAGTTGCAGCCTCAGCTTTTGGACGATGGCAGCACAACGGCGTCATCTCTATCGCCGCTCCTGCCACCCCCGCCACATCAGCTTTACGGCGGATACCAGGATTACGGGATGCCCGCCCACATGTTCCAGCACCATCACGGACATCCACATCCACATCCACATCCCCATACCCATGCACACCAGGGTTTTCAGCACTCGGCCTCGGCCTACAACATGTCCGCCTCGCAGTTTTATGCCGGAGCCTCGGCATCGGCCTACCAAAGTCCCGCCACCTACAATTACAACTACGCCGGAGCCGGGGAGGTGTACGCCGGAGCCACGCCCTCGGCGGTGAGCATCAAGAGCGAGTACATACCCACGCCGTATGTGACGCCCTCGCCCACACTGGACCTCAACAGCTCCGCGGAGGTGGACAGCCTGCAGGCGCCGGCGCAGAAGCTCTGCGGGAATCCCCTGACCCAGCGCCTCATGGAGACGGCCAGCAACTCGGCCTCGCTAAGGAGCATTCACAGCACGGAGGAGGGCACTAAGAGAAGTGAGTAGTTTGATGAACTCTATTATGCTGTAAATTTAACTTATAAGTTATGAACATGCCGGGGATAGTTTGAAAACTCTACCAACCAAATTTTTATAAACTTGGAATTTGTTTTCAAAAAGTTAAACCAAGCCAACAGACTTAAACCGATATCTTTAACATACCATTTAATTTTTAAATAATTCGTCTTCCACATTGGTCAATGAAACCAGAAAGATTCCAACTATTTCACTCGAAGTGGCCCTAAATGAAAAGTAATCAGCAAATCTTAGATTTAATTAAGTTACTGTTAATTAATTGTCATCGTATTATTATGTTTAAAAGCCCTAAAGTTAATATTGTTTTTGTAAAAACAAAACATTGTTCGACACTTTATTTTGGTGGGTCAGGAAATCACAAAGAAAACTAGCAAATGCTGTAGTTACAGAGTTACAGAGTCAAGTCATTTTAAAAAAATTGTAAAGTGTTTTTACTTCGTTTTTGCAACTAAAACGTTTATCTGTGCAGTTAAGAAGATACGGACTAAACGCCTTTTTTAAAAAGTTACATTTTTTCTTACACTCCCTGAACATCATAAGGACTGTTTAAGAAATAAAAAGTTTCTAAGTTAAATTTTGAAAAATAACCAATTTCATTAAATATATATTTGTATTCATTAAACTTTATTTATTAACTGGCAAGCTGTTCGGTTGTAGTTAAAACATAATTTTTGTTTTGTGCCCAAAGCGATAATCAAATTAATTTTGTTATTTTGAATTTCAACTCTCGTGAAATGTTGCTAATAATTAAAATTAATTAATAACTGTTTTGGCCCAAATACTTTTCAAAAACAGCATTTCAATTTTAAGCCATCTGAAAAATAAACATATTTGATTATTATTTCCCCTAATTCTTTTCTTTTTATTTGTTTATTTAAAAAATGTCTTAAATTACTATAAGTATGCTAAATAATATTTTTTTGTATCTTTTCAGAGGACAACAGCCAGGTCACTTCATCGCGTTCCGAGCTACGTAAAAGCAGTATTAATGGCACCAGCAACCATGGCAGTAATGGCGGATCCTCCAAGCCGAGAATGAAAAGAAAGCCGCGGGTTCTTTTTTCCCAGGCTCAGGTCCTGGAGCTGGAGTGTCGCTTTCGTCTGAAGAAGTATCTGACGGGTGCGGAGCGTGAGATAATCGCCCAGAAGTTGAATCTATCTGCCACGCAAGTGAAGATATGGTTCCAGAACCGGCGTTACAAATCGAAACGGGGTGATATCGACTGCGACGGCATTGCCAAACATCTGAACTTAAAGTCGGAGCCACTGCATTCGCCCACATCTCTGCCCCCGCCGATTCCCAATCACGTTATGTGGCCACCGACCATCCAGCAATCCCAGCAGCAGCAGCAGCAGCAGCAACATGTACAGCAGCAACAGATCCAGCACATGCAGTAGTTCCTCTACAGGACGAAGGATTCGAGTCTCTAATTTATTGCAGTTTCAAGCAGTCATTATGTTGTTGTTTAAGAAAATTGCCTCATAGCTCTAGTACCTTGTTTTATGTATATATTGGACAATAAATAAAGCTTAAGACAAACTATTTAAAATAATGTATTTATTTATTAAGGTCGTCTTATAGAAATTACGAAATTTTGTGATCAATTCAGGATGATTTTAATGTTAAATGGATTGATGCATTACAAGTTGAGTGAGAGCTTTCATACACGGCAGGTTCATAAATGTTTTTATCACACCGAAAGCTCTGTTGAATACATGTTTTTTATTTAATACAATTATTTCCATCGTATTAAACATTTTTTTTTTCTCTTTTTCAACCTTTACCATAGAATTTACACCATGCAATATCCATGACTCCTTGCCCTCCCGCTCTAGTATTTATATCTTTATGGATAGCTTTCGATCGGCCACCGATCCATTAGGCACCGCATCTGCGTATAATTGCCGCCGATCGCCGCATAAATCAATTTTATCGGAGCGAGCGATCAGTTTTATGAAAAACGAATTCGAAAACGAATGAAAACACAACAATTTCCGTTTTAGTGCTGGAAATGTTTTCCCTTTTTTCTGCTTTTCGCAGGGATTCCACGGGAAAAGGGGGAAATGCGTTGGCGGCAGACATTACAAAGGTTGCATTTATGAAACGTTTAAGTGGCATCAATGCAACTGTAAAATGTTTTCCTGCCTCCGCAGACACAGATACTTTCGTTGAGACGCGAAATGCAGGGCCAAGTCACCGCTCCTCCTCCAAATTTTATGACAGCCAGCGGGGCAGAGGCTAATATTTCATGGGGGGCTGGTTGGTATGGTGGTGGTGGTGGTGGTGGTGGATCGGTGGTGTTGTGGCAGTGGCATATCAATTACTCCACAAACACATGGCAGGGGTCAATGGGTGAAGGGAGGTTGCTGCCACAGACCAACAAGTGCAGCTGATCACACTTTCGGTCTGGGTTTCCACTTTTCTGACAGCCGGAGCTTCTCGGGTTAACCGTGGGGTGAAGATTCAGATTCCCGTCCCTCGGGTTAAGTGTCAATCACGGGGATCGCTTAGGGATTAGCTTAAATACACACACAGCACAAATTTCAAGAAAATTGGCATTTGATTCTAAAGGGCGTAAACACGTATATATTTAAGTAAAAATCAAACCATGCAAAATTAGAGTGAAGTTGTCACTCTGAATCAGCAGACGAGACCATTTGAAGCACTGGATCCAAAAAACTGCCTTAACTTGCAAATACTATTGGTACTTAAAATGTTGGTTTTGGTCTGTCTAAATTTAATTGATAAAAACACAATCATTAGTACTTTTACATGATAATTCCGAGCTTTTGATTAACAACCCATTCAATTTTACATATGTTGCATCAGCTGAGGGTTACACGGTAACTTGAATTAAAAGTTTATTGTCTTTTTTCAATGCAAAAATCGATAGTCTACAGTTCTACACAATTTAATCTATTTAAAATACAAGCCAAAACACACATTTTTTAATGAGTTGTAGATTGCCATGACTTTTTTAAAATTTTGATTTTATTTCTATAAGAATTAAAGCATTAAATGCTAAAAGAAATTCAATTTAATATCCTTATTAATACTGCTTAAGCCGAAATTAAATCACACAGAGGTATGTAGGTTCCAGGAGAAATTAATATTGTCTCCATTGAAGAAGTATTTTTTGTGGCACTTTAAGACGGAAACATTGTGTAAAATCGGAGATTTTAAAATTGACGGGGACTTTAATGCAAGTTTTTCAGCAAAAACAAAATTAAGTATTTCCAGTTATTTGGGCTACAGCATTAAGAACGTCGTCAAACTCTGGATTCTCGTAATCTTTGTTACACCGCGGAACCCCCAACTGAGTGAACATATGTTTGTAAGTGACTTTTATTCACGAGCACCCAATCATCAAGAAAAAGTACAATTGGTTTGTGGAAATTTCATAAAATTCCATATTGTTTGCCTGTTTTAATTTAGCTAGCAAATTATGAAATTGGGTTTAGCTTTCAAATCTTAAGCAGATTCTTTAAAATATGCGGTAAAAGGTTTGATAAATGTGTGAAATTATGTTTAAAACTGAGGAACCAAAATCATAAAAACGTATTTAAAAAGTTATTTATTTTTAATCGGTCTTTTTGATATACATATTAAGCTATAATATTTTTAATTAGGTTCTCCTTAGACAGTTTTATCTATGGGGGACAAGGAATGTTCGCATCATAGCGTCCCAAGGGAGTTGACCGTGGCGTGGCAAACAAAACGCCCTCGCAGGCGGAGGATAATGCATGTCAAGTGGCACTAAACATGACCTAATGGACCACACTGACCAGACACGCCCCCGTCGCGAAAGGGCGGAATTTGAATCTGCGACTCATAAACAATTAGAGTCTCGTCTTTCAATGTCGGCTGCAATGTTGCGGCGACGTGTGCCCCTCCGTCTAACGAATAGTCCGGAGTCGAGGATCCATAGCCTCGGTCTAGACCGAGGCAACTCTCAAGTGGAGAATTTGTCATTCCCATATATCACACAAAGGATCGGGGAGCTGGCGATAAGCCAGGATAGAGTTTGCCTGTAGCGCCGTTTAATTCATGTTCCGTCAGAGGATCAAAGGCATCTTGAGCCGCTGTCGCATTTGTGCCCCTCTTCCTCCCTCAAGCCATCGCCTATTACTTTCCCCTTTCTCCCGACTTCATCACCGTTCCCGATTGCTTTCACTACTCTCATTTGCATTTCCTCAATGCGTCAGGCCGCCAAAGCAAGCGTAAGGTAAGCAAATTAAGATTTATTAACAACAATAAATAAACAATATGAAAAGTCTACAATAGTAACAGCACTATCGATAGTTTCCCATTTCCGCAGTCTTTGAATTTTGCCGCCAGCTCAATTACGTAAAAATACCCCGTACTGTTACAGGAAACTAAGTTATACAAAACTCGTTATAAGGTTTGCAAAAAAGCAGTGTTTTCTTTAGTCTGCAAGTCAGGAACATTGGGAGGTTGATTAACCTTTTGACCCTATAATATATATATTACTTGACCGATATGCAAAAAAAAAACATTTTTTTTAAATATATATAACAGTGAAACTTAAAAAAAAAACAAATCAACGACGTTTTTGAAGACGTCATTCAAGACAGATTTAGAGAGATTATAAGCAAAATCATTTGTGACTTAATAAGTTTGCTGTGGCCCTTTATCTTTGCAGTATATTTTTTAGCTTAACCGCGATTAGTGGGCTTAGCCATTCGATTTGCCTTGGTTTTTATTTGCCATTTAAATTTGCACATATCTTCAAGTAACACTATATAAATGGTACTTCTCTGACTATTTTAGTAACATTTTTTGAGAAGATAGATATCAGCTTAAGTAATGAATTATATTCCAGGGTATCCCATGGTCGACTCTTGCATTTACGCATGCTTTCACTTCGCCTCAAACTCTTGCTGTCAGTGCTCCAGATCCAGATCCAGTTCTGTCAAGTGGATGGCAGAGTGACTCTGGCAGTTCCTCCATTAAAGCCTTTGACATTTTATCAAAATCCATCGGGCAGCTTTATACATTTCTATTTGATGTGTTGTGCGCATAAAATTGCGCTCTCGTTTTTCATTTGCCTCAATCACGCGTCCATGTTCTGGGTGTCTCTGTTTTATATTCATTGGTTTATGGCTTTGTGTGGCTTTCAAGTGGAAAATTGTGACAATTATATTCAAATTAATTGAGTAATTGCATTCGGAATCCGAGCGGCGGCATTTTGGAGCATTTGATTTATGGCGTGTGGAAACTGGCACTCAAGAAACTGAATCCGAATAAGCCAATAATTCCACAGCGTTGAAGTCCCATTCAAATCGATCCATTGAGAGACGCACCAAGTTAATGAAATTCGAGTTTCTTCCGCCGGCAATCCAGCATCCTGAAACACTTAAGGCACCTGTAAACAATGTATGGAGCTAAATAAGTTTTGCGGTTGGGTCCATAAGATTTTTTATTAAATTTATCAGTTGACATAGTTAGCTGGGCTTTTTCGCGACCGTTTATTGTATACAATTTTCCTATTTTTAAGAAAGTTTTTTTCTTAAAAGCTTACAATCAGAAAGGATTTCCATTTTTAATTACAATTTTTTTCTTGAATCAAGAAATTTTTGTCATTGATTCAAAGACTAGCCGATTTAAAGGCGAGATTTCTAAATTACGGGAATTTTTTTCTATGAGTGTAAGGGAAAATGGTTCTTAACAAATTTAGAGGTTGATATGACACATAAGTTATTGCTAAAGCCTATATATAATGCCGATAATAGAAGGTTAGTTGTACACTTTACGAAATATAAAAGTCATAAAGATCGCACTTTAACATACTGATGTACTGATTGACCAAAATTATCAAACACCCGACTAAATAGTACACTTTTGAATGTTTTTCAGTAAAATATTAAGGAAATCTAGTAAAAACTTGTGAAGACTTTACTGATCAATAAGCCCTCAGAGTTAATAATCATAAGAAGTCGAAAATATATTTTAACTTGATTTCTTAATAATTTCTTTAATGTAGACAAATACTTTAGGGAACACTGATTTTATTTTGCAATTTCGAGTACCGTCGGGAAATGAAGTGATTCCTTTAAAAATAAATTCTTTAGTCAACTAACTACCAATTTCACCCGTTATTTTCGCGCAGTTTTGCTTAAGTTTTGAGAAATAAGGTTATAAGTATGGACTTCATTTTAAGAAAGGGCAGTTTTAAATTTTAAACGAAGCCCAAAAGTATGCTGCATCCCTCATATCTTCTCTTACGAGAATAGAAATACATAAACAAAACATACAATAATGCATAGCTTGCAAGGCACTAGGGACGTTATTTACCTTTAGTTATAATATTACAACATTTTTTAAAAATGCAACGTGTACCATAAAATACCCATTGAATAAAATTTGTTGTCTTCGGATGTAGCTGTCGTATTGATTTCCTTCTTCTTAATTCTTTTCCAATTATTTCTCAATAACGTATTACTCTACCATCTTTATTTATTTTTTTTTTTAACTCATCAAGTTAATAATTTCTTTAAAATGAAAACAACATAAGATTTAAGATTATCTCAGCCTACAAACTTCAAACTAAGTATTCCTCCTACAAAACAATCGAAGGTTAGGTGGCGCATTCTGTCGAATTGCATAGACAACACTAGAAGCTAAGTTTTGAAAACCTGCGTAGGAAAACCTAGAATCTGCATGCCAAATCCCTAGCTTTTGTTGCTTCTGAGATCTCGACGTTCAAACAGACGGACAGACGGAAAGATCTGTCCGTCCGTTCGTCAGTCCGCCCGTCCGTCCGTCCGTTTCGAAGCAAACTAGTCTTTCAGTTTGAAAGCTATCTGCATGAATCTTTCCCAAATTTTTTTTTTCTATTGCAAGTAGTATATAAGTCGGAAAGAGCTGGATCGGATAACCATATCATATAGCTCCCAAAGAAACAAACAGAAAAATAAAAAAAAAAATTATCTTTCTGTTTGTTATTATACCCTTGCAGAGGGTATTATAATTTCAGTCAGAAGTTTGCAACGCAGTGAAGGAGACATCTCCGACCCTATAAAGTATATATATTCTTGATCAGCATCACTAGTCGAGTCGATCTAGCCATGTCCGTCTGTCCGTCCGTCTGTCCGTCCGTCTGTCCGTCTGTCCGTCCGTTTATATGCAAACTAGTCTCTCAGTTTTAAAGCTATCTGCATGAAACTTTCCCAAAAGTTGTCTTTCTATTGCAGGTAGTATATAAGTCGGAACGAGCCGGATCGGACGACTATAGCATATAGCTCCCATAGGAACAATCGGAAAAATAAATGAAAAAATTATAACTTTGCTGTTTTTTAATTTTTTGTTTAGTTCTTCGAAATATAGCAATGGTTAAATATTTCAGAATTATGGTTTAAATTTCATCAAAATCGGACGACTATAGCATATAGCTCCCATAGGAACAATCGGAAAAATAATTGAAAAAAATTATAACTTTTCTGTTTTTTAATTTTTTGTTTAGTTCTTCGACATTTAGTAATGGTTAAATATTTCCAATTTACGGTTTAAGTTTCATCAAAGTCGGACGACTATATCATATAGCTCCCATAGGAACAATCGGAGAAATAAATGAAAAAAAATTATAACTTTTCTGTTTTTTAATTTTTTGTTTAGTTCTTCGACATTTAGTAATGGTTAAATATTTCCAATTTACGGTTTAAGTTTCATCAAAGTCGGACGACTATATCATATAGCTCTCATAGGAACAATAAAATAATATAAAATAACTATCAAATAATTGAGCTGCAAATCATCATAGCTTCAATGTTTTTAAACTTATACGCAAGTAAATTATAATTTTAATGTTTTCAAAAATGTTTAATTCTTGCAATAGCTGCAAGGGTATATGAACTTCGGCTTGCCGAAGTTTGCTTTCTTTCTTGTTTTTTTTAAGTCTTTTACAAGAGGTACTGGTTTAAAATTTCAGAATTACAATTTTTATTTTTTTTAAATCGGCCGACTATAACATTTAGCTGCCATGCGAACAATCAAAATATTTAAAAAAAATATGAAAAAAAATTAGCTTTTATGTTCCTGAATTTTTTCAAAAAAATGCTTTTAAACGCTTTAATTATTTAATACAGATTTACGTTTTTAACTTCATTAAAATAAAACTTCAATGTTTTTCAACATATACGCTTATAAATCGAATTTAGACGGTTCAAGAAATATTTAATTCTTTTAATAGTCGCATGGGTATATAAGCTTCGGCTTGCCGAATCTTGCTTCTATTCTTGTTTTTTGTTTTTAAAGTTTTCGCTTTTTTTATACTCTTGCAGAGGGTATTATAATTTCAGTCAGAAGTTTGCAACGCAGTGAAGGAGACGTTTCCGACCCTATAAAGTATATATATTCTTGATCAGCATCACTAGTAGAGTCGATCTAGCCATGTCCGTCTGTCCGTCCGTCTGTCCGTCCGTTTATATGCAAACTAGTCCCTCAGTTTTAAAGCTATCTGCATGAAACTTTCCCAAAAGTTGTCTGCCTATTGCAGGTAGTATATAATTTGGAACGAGCCGGATCGGACGACTTTAGCAAATAGTTCCCATAGCACAGTGGTTCCGCCGATAGGCCAAAAATCAATAAGCACGATCATCAACTTTTTTGATTCCATGTATACAATTTGACTTAAAAATGTCGTCTTTTTATTTTCGAACGAGGTTTGCTGGAAATCTAACGGTACTTTCCAACACTGGAATTAGAAGCATGAACACTATTTATTTCCGAAGTACAGCTGTTGTTTGCTGAATAATTGCGAAGCAAAAGCTCATTTCAAATTGGTCTGGCTATTGTTCAAGTTCATAACCTAAAATGTTTTTTAATGGAATTTGAAGCTGCAGGTTTTACTTTATCTTGTATAATAAATAAAAACTAATTTGATTTGTGTATTACGTGAAATTTATATATATTTAGTATACCTTGATCTCATCAATAAATAACTGACTTTTAAATTAATAATTTTTTTTAAGTTATTTGACATATAGTACATAGTTAATATTTCAGAACTACAATTTAAATTTCACCAAAATCAGAAATCTATATCATATAGCTCCCATAAAAACAATCAAAATATTAAAAAAAAAAAATAAAAAAAATTTTACTTCTCTATTTTTTATTTTTTTTTTTAATTCTATTTGACCTATTATAAATTTGATAGTTTAGAAATACGCTTTTAATTTTTTTTCATCATCACAATTGAGCTTTAAATTTATTTTTTTCAACTGCTGCAAGTGTATATAAACTTTGGCTTGCCAAAGATTGCTTCCTTCCTTCTTTATCGATCGATTTCACCACACCTAGTTGATTTTCAACTTTAATGGTCTTCAATTGCCAGTAATCAAAGTGACACCGGAGTGGTAACGTGCCTTCCAAAACGGAAAGAGTGTGAACGGAGCGAAAACCCGGCGAGATTGATAAGATTTCAATAAACAAATAATTGCGTTCAGGATGTTATCGGTCAATTGATACGAATCGTATTAAATATGTTAAAATTAATATTCCTTCTTCATGTTTTCATTATCTCTATTTACTATAACTGTGCAAAAACCATTCTTGTCGAGGAGATAACAAAATGGACATTGAGGAATGAATCCTCTTGTAAGTTGGCCGTGAATCTTTCATTAAGTTTTTTGGTTTAGTTTTATGCCAGACCCGAGAGACTCCAGATATTTGTAAACCAAGATAAGATAAGCTTCGTTTTCGTTGATAGCGCTTGTTTATGGGTTAATTAATTGGCAATAAATACTGCTCACGGTAGACACTGTGATTTTAAACCAGTTTCTGTGCTCTTTGTTTGCTTTCTCCGACTACTATCAGCCCTAAAGATTGACGTACCCCGACTACCAAGCGGCGTATATACAGCGCTGAAGGATACCTACGGAGACTTGCTAGACGCGGGAAACGATGTATCCTTGCGGTGGATAGCCAACCAGTCGTGGATTTACAATTCCAGTTTCGTCAGTGGGTAAACGGAAACCTAACCGTTGGACATGTTGCCTTATGACTTGTCCCGATCCGCAGGCGCAGAGCTGGGCCACGACAGCCAGGTGAACCTTACGCTCCACGGCATCGATACCGTTTCCAAGGTGCGCCTAAATGGTGAGCTTCTTGGAGAGACGGACAACATGTTTGTCCGCTACTCATTCGTTATCGGCCACCTGCTGCTGCCCAGCCCCAGTCAAAACACCCTGGAGATTGAGATCCTTTCGCCCTTGCAAGAGGCAAGCAGGCGAGCCCGAGAACGCGAGGATCAGGGCGTCATCACCGGGCCCATCAGTTGCCCAAGAGCACGAGGCGACGTCGAGTGCCATCGCAATCATCTGCGCAAGATGCAAATGAGCTTCGGTGGCGAATGGAACCCAGCAGCCCTTTCCTTAGGCATTTGGAAGCCGGTTGTTGTGGAGTACTATGCGGTAGCCGTGCTTCGCGACATTGATGTGGCAATTAATCGGAACGATACTCACTGGACAATGGATTGCCGTGCCTTCCTCAGCTCGCTTGCTTCGAAGGACTTTTACGCGCGGCTGGTGGTTTATGCCAAGTAATTGTAGCGAGTTTCGTGGCACATTTCAATTGAATAACAGGGCTAATACTCCATACTTTTAGCGAGCTTTTAGATGAACGTTTGGTCCTCGAGAAGCAGTTGGTCTCTTTCGTGTCACCAGTGGTGGAGTTTAAGATACACATACCCAAGGTAAAACCATGCAATAACATGTCTAACACCTCATCTTATGCCCAACTTTTCTAGGATCGAGTTACCTTGTGGTGGCCCAATGGCTATGGGAAGCAAAAGCTATATCCAGTTTTTTTTTCAGTGAAGTGCTATGCCAGCGAGGAGGGTCCTTCTCTGAGCTCGCGCACAGAATCCCAGAAGCTATTAAAGATTGGCTTCCGTACCATACAGCTGGTGGAGGATAAAGACGGTAAGTATCCTGGCCCTCCAAAACTGTTCAACTCTCGGGAACAAGACATGCAGATTCTAAAGCGCACAAATAGCCAAACTCTGTTGGGACACGTTTATTTGGTCTATATCTACTTCTACTACTTTTTAAGCTTAAACATCCGTAGCTCAACGCATCATCTACTTTTTGAGTAGGCATCCTATTTTGTTCCAGTGCAATGCCTTGCGGTTATAATCTGTTAACTTTTTATCCTTTTGGTTTTCGAACAATTAGACTTTGGCAGGACCTTTTATTTTCGGGTCAACGGACACCCGATCTTCATAAAGGGAGCGAATTACGTACCTGCCCACACACTTCCGGAGTTATCGGCAGATGCGGATAAGGGTAAGTCAGTGCCTAAACCTAGCGATATTTAACTCTTTTTTGCACTAAATACGTTCCAGTGGAATATTTACTAAAAGCTGCACATGATGCCGGCATGAACATGATTCGCGTTTGGGGAGGAGGTCTATACGAGTCGGATAACTTCTACAACTTAGCGGACTTTTACGGACTGCTAGTGTGGCAGGACATGGCGTTTTCCCAGGCAGCTTACCCTCTGGCCAATGACTTTATAGAATCAGTGTGCTTGGAGACGGTGCAGAACGCCCAACGCCTCTCCTATCATCCAAGTTTGGCCTTGATCGTGACCAACAATGAGATCGAGCTTTTCCTGGCAACCAACAAATCGGACTTCGGGGAAAACGCCACGCAAGTGGAGGCCGACTATAAAGCTCTGTTCTTTGACAGGATAGCGCACGAGTTGAAAGTTATGACTCGAAAAGATTTCAGTCCACGCCCTGGCCCCATGATCTCCACTCCTTCGCTGGGCATCGCAGAGTCCGGCCAAAATCCGGAGGACAACCTGCAAAGCCCAAACTACGGAGATGGTAAGCATGCCCCATTTATTCACAATTGTTTGCTACGAAAACAAAACTACTGTCAAGTTTAAGAATCGGGCTTTGGAAATAAAAAGTTTTTTTTTTTTTTTAAATTTGTAAATGCCCCAACACCAAATTATTTCTTAAGGTAAATTAGTTAAAAAACTATTTTGATGAGTCAAAAGCGTTCGACAAAGGGTATACATATACCCAAATAAAGCTAACATGTTAAAAATAATATCTTGTGTCCTACAAATTTCCAACTTGTCTATGTAGACAATTTGTTAAGCTTATAATTAATTGTTTTAAACAATAATCGTAGCTTGATTGCAAATGTTGGCTTGCTTTTAACTAACCGACTAAGTTTACCTTACAGTGCACATTTGGGAGGACAAAGACGGTTTTAGCCCAGAAACTTATCCCCACGCTCGTTTCGTGTCGGAGTTCGGCTACGCCAGTCTGCCAATAATGTCCTCGTGGCAAAGGGCTCTGGGAGACGGTGCAGATGGTAGCAGCGAAGAAATTGCTGCACTTATTCGAAGCCGGCAGCATGATCCCAAGGGATTCATACCGATGCTACAGTTAATCGCCTATCAACTTCCGTTCGTTCCCCAGACTTGGGATAAGAATATCGAGAAATTCATATATTTTAGCCAGGTGGCTCAGGCCATGACGACCAAAACGGCGATTGAAGTATTTCGAAGCCTGCGCAGTGGAAATCATACAATGGGCGCTCTCATTTGGCAGCTCAACGATGTTTGGGTGGCTCCCACATGGTCCTGCATCGACTTCTATGGCAATCTAAAACTAGTCTACTACTGGGCCAAAGAATTTATGGCCCCGACGAGCGTTATAGCTCTGTACGACAGCAACTCGGATAGCCTCAACATCACCCTCTCTAGGGAAGACTTTTCCGAGCACAGTGACTCAAAACTGTACTCTGTGCTGCTAAATACTTATCTATGGACGGACTTGGTTGCTAAAAAAACGATTGCTCGTGCTTTTGGACTGGTAAGCGAAACAATAAAAGCAATCGTCATTACAACCAACAATTTTCAGAGCTCTAATGGCATTGAGGTGCGTCAAATACCATTGAAATATTTGCTATACGAAAACCATTCAAAGGAAGAAATATTTTTGGAAGTTGTTTTGGAGGATGAGCAGGGCGAGTTCGTGGCTAGAAACTTTTTTTATCCGGTGCCTCTAAAAAACATTGTTGGCATAAAAGATCCAGAATTAACAGTGAGTAAACGTGCATGGGTTCAAACGCTGAAATTATTTTTCTCTTACATTTTCGAGCAGCTTGAAGTTTCAGGCCAAGACTGCAATTCTGCAACTTCGCCGTATGCCAATAGTTTCAGTCTGCGCATTACCGTGAGATCTCCAGCTCTACTTGTGTACCTTGAGGTGACGCACCCGGATTACATCAAAGAGCAGCACAAGTTCTCGACGAATGGCTTTACTCAGACACAGCCAAGGAAGACGGTACACTTAGTTTTTGAAAACGACTCGAAATGCATGGCGTTAACTGCCAGTCACATTAGAGTTCAAACGATGAATCAATATTTAATTTGAATTATGCTCTCACAAGTAATGTACATACGTGTTCAATTCAACAGCAAATATATATTTTTCTATGGCGTTGCCTGTACATGCTGCCCGATGTCCAGCTCCTTCCTTACTGCCTGAGTTAACTATCAGTTCCCTTTAAAAATTTATTGCAGTATATTCAATTTCCAATTAATGTATTTTTGAATTAAAATAAACGTCTGCCTTATTTGGTATTCAAATTCAGAATATTTTTATAATGGCAAGTTGGTCCTCTTGGAACCTCAGCCCGAAAATTTGGTGTGTATTACAATAATATATGTGATAGTGCTTAAATCCTATAGCATGGTTATAACTTTTTATAAAAGGTAGTTTTCTGTGTCTTTCCTCGAGCGAGTGTTCGTCGCCTTTTGCTTACAATGCATTTTGGCCAGAAAGTTATATGGGGCAATGAAAAGCTAGCTACCGGTCATCGTCCAGATACGTGGTAGTTCCTTGAGGCCCAGGCGATGGTACCGGTACGGTAACCCAGGTGTGACAGACAGTCGTCCAGGCGGCGATGGTACGTTAACTTGTGTTATCGACACACGTGTAAAAACATTTCCTGCGTGTGTGTGTCGAAAAAAATATGTTAATAACTCCTAAATTGTGTAACTATTTGCTTTTCACCACATAATTTAGTTAGAAATAATTTCCTTCCCGTTGCCGTTTTTTTGTTGTATAAGCTTCAATTATTTGAGCCCCTAAATTTAAAGCAAGGATCTACGTATAATAGGCTGTCAAATATCTTCATCCGCCTTTTTGTCTTTTGAATTTCGCTATGTGCAAAGCGCTATTGAATAAAAAACCCAATTACACGTATTCAAGAATCCGGAATGCATTCGGGTTCATACTACAACGTTAATTACTTTTCCATAAGCTTGGCCGTCTTTTATGCTGATATAGCTTCAAAATCGCATTCAATCGAATGTAAAAACAATGAGATTAGCCGAGTTCACTTCGTGCTACGTTATCGTGCAGTGTTTAAATAACTGTAGTTAGTTTCATTTCATATGATTTAGCTTCTGCTCCAAGAAAAGCAGAAGTCGCAGTCGAAGCAAATGCAAAAAACAAAAAGCGACAAAAATCGGAAAGCAGCTACAGTCGCTTGTTTTCGTTTCAATGTTTGCTGCTTTGCTGTTCCTTACAGTTATGAAAATGTCAGAAGTCGCAGATAATGAATTCTTTGGACTGTTGAATAATTTGTTTTTGTCGCTTTTGTTTTCGTTTTAGCAGGGTAAATGCCTCGTTAGCATTATGGATGTCCTGCCGAGTATTAAAGATTTCCGTCAACTCGCTCATTTCATGATTTCGTTTTGATTTGCGACAGTTCAAAAGTAAACAGATCAGCTGTTCGTGCCACTCACATGTGGGAGTAGCATTAGCTAAATGCTAATACGCAAATGGAATCAGGTAAAAAGTTCACTTATGCTGCAATGGAATCAGGCTATTACTCTATGTTGAAATAAACTTGCAGCTGCGAAAATTGCCATTACGAATGGATTATTTTACCTCCAGTAATCAGGAGAGAACGGATTACAACCTGGATTACTTTGCCATAGGCATGGACGCCTCGTAATACAGGGCGTATACAATCTGCATTAGTTATGGAAAAAGTATGTAAGAGCCGAATCTAGTTCGTTCCGGTTACAATTCAATATACAATTCAAAAAAGTATACTGAGTTGTAATGTGACGGAAGAAAAGAGTAAAATATTGTAAATTGTAATTGTTGAAAATTATGTAACAGGTAGAAGAAAACGTTTCCGACCCATTTAAAGTATATATATATATATATATATATATATATATATATATGTATATATATATATATCATGATCAGATTAATGGCCAAGTCGATCTAGCCATGTCCGTCTGTCAGAAACGTCTCAGAAACTGTAAAATCTAGAGATTTGGGATTTTAAAAGCAGATTCTCCTCCATTTTGCTTGCCAGTTCAAATCCAACAACACCAAAGACAAATTTTTAATTCTCTTCGACAGGGTCTGACATCGGGAGCTTTGCACATTTCTAGTATTTTTCCGTCGATCTGACGCTTAAGCCTTAATTAAGTTTTTTGCCTTTTCCTCGGCTCTAAGCTGACCTCGTGACTTGTGTTTTGTGATCTTTTTAGAATGTGTTGGTAAATGCTCTGCCATAAGGCAGTTTTGAGCACCCTTGATGTAGAGCAATGCATTTGGTCCAAGTAGCCACATTAGTTGGCCAAAACACAATTTTTTTTAAATTTTTAAAACAACTTTTTTTGGCGCGTTGCATTAACAGAAGACCAATCTTAAATGTTCCGTTTCAGGAAATCCGATAGAACGCGTTGATGTTAAGATAACAGCTGTAAAAGCAGCTGTTGCAAATGCTGTACTGTGTGTTTGTGAAAGTACATTATAGATGATATAGCACAATTTGAGCAAAATTTAGTCACTGCCAGCTAAAATTTTTGCTATCTAACGAACAGTAAATAGACAAAATGTAGATCAAATTTGAAGCAGTTTCAGAAAAGGCATAAGTTAAGTTCCAAAACAGTCGTTCGTGTCACAAAATCTGTAAGTCCTGTGGGACGACCACCGCTGAGTCTTACGACGATAGGGAAGGTGGCAATGTGACTCTATTATTTCAAAAAGCAAGTATTGCTAAGCGAAAACATCCATTTGCCCAGAATTTTCCAATATCTTGCCAATTACCAATAAAAGTTGACAAGTTTAAAAAATTCTGTTTTAAAACGGTGTTAATTATTATAGATAAATATAATTAGCTTCCAATGACTGCAACAGTCCATAAAATACTTATACATGGTAGCGACATCATTGAAAACACGGTACTTCCTGAACGATATTTTGGAGAGGGGAAACCGAATGCAGATATAAAATTTAAAAATCTGATCGGTTATATCATGGACGAAGTGCACCTGAAAAGATAATTTCACTGACGTGTTCAATAGAGCTTTGGATACATCATATTCAGTTATTTCTTCTGTTAATCTGAATAGGCGTATCCAAAGGCAAAAGAAAACAAACCTTTTTGCTGAAGTTTTGGAAATGCTGTCGAGCGAAGGCGCACCATAGATGACTATGAATTTCAGTACATTTTACTTAATATGGAATTTTTTATATTTCAGAGCCCCTTGAAAAAAAAGTTTTTCTTCTATGCGTAAACCTTTTCAAAACATTGAGTTCAATTAAAATGTGTAAAATATAACCGTATCAAGCCTCCTCTGTATAATACAAATTTAAAAGAACGCCGAATACTTTGTATGTAGTTTGGTATTGTTAATATTAGTTTGTATTAAAAAAACAGGGGGCGGTGCTACACCTATTTTTTTTATGAATCAATTTTTGTTAACTATATCTATCATATAAAATAAACTAAATCAAAAAGTTTTGTTCCGATCCCTAGTTATTAATTTTGGCCAACAAAAGTGGCTACTTGTACCATAGTGCAGTGGTCGGCACACATACTACATAGGTATAACATGCTCGCACTTCTTTGTTTGATTAACTTGCACGGCGAAATTTGGCAGAGTGTGTGTGCCGACTGCGGCTTTAAAATGTTCCGACTTGGCCATAGCCTCTGTTCCGTATATAGGCCTTTGCCGACCACCGATGGACAGAACGAAAGAACTGTTAGTCCAAAAAAACCTGTTAGTTCGAAATTTAATTTTAAAAAAGTATACAATATATATATATTAATATTAACCTGAAAATGACCCAGACCATTTTACTTTTTCAAATTTATGCTTCACCGGACTTAACCAATGACAATTTTTTTTTTCTCACTGCTGCTTATCGAGTACCAATTTAACCAACCATACAAAATTGTATATAGGGTAAGATATATGCGACGCAATCGGATTAAAGTGTTTGGCGTTATTTGAGTTTCATCGCTCTTTGGACACGAACTTCTGAGTAACAGCTGATGTGCTCAGGGGAGCGTGACATTGAAAGTAATTTCTTTACCAATGCATATTACAGTCTCTCTGCCGCTATCACTCTCTCCCACTCTTCCGCTCTCTCACTCTCACGTGTCAATCCAACGATCCAACGATCGGTTCCAAATCGTAGAGCGGCACATTCGCGATCTGAGAGTCGGTGAAGCAACTCCTCGCTTTACGTAGCGCTCCATGCGGTTCCCTACATATAGGTGTTGATATAGCTCACTGAAAAGGGGAGTCGGTCTTCTTTTAAATAGCCCCACCGAGTTGGGACGACTAATAATTGTCAGATGAAGTGTCGTCATGGATGTGGATTATCCGGAGGTGGTGCCAGTGGCGCGGTTCTGGTCGGAATTCTCGCATTTCTTATTTGCGGCGTCCACGGTGATAAGGTTGAAGTAATAGAGCTGGGCAATTGGACGATAACTAATCAGAATGGCTGTGAGTATTAGAAAGTAGTTTACTTTATCAAAAATCTAACACAATAATTGAAATTGTGTGAGATAAGTTTAATGGGGGAGATTGTTTACCAAACAATCGCAGTAAAGGGGATTTCTTGTAAGAATTGACCCTCAACATATACATTTCTTTACAGCCCTTACCATCGGTAACCAATCGTTGCCCTCGGGCATATACAGTGCCTTCGGACCCCAAGTGTTGGATTCCTACAACGATGTAGGCCTGCGTTATCTAGCCTACGAAAACTGGACCTACTCGAATGTATTTCAGTGTAAGTTTATTTTATTTGCATACCATACAATAATCTTAAAGTGGCATTATTTGTTAAAAACAGTTTTGGTCCAAGTAATAGCACATGAAATCCATTACCTAGTTATTTTCTGGCTATGTTCTTGTACTGCGCTCTTTATGCCTTTTTCTAAAATAAAATACAGCTACTTTATATTTAGACTACGGCTGAGTGCAACGATCCTGGAATAAATGTAACTCTAGTTGTAATTCGAATTCCGTTATTATGGTCTTAGCACTAGAAGTTCCTGAAAAAATAAGTTCGTCAAAATCCATCTGCACTAAATGTTTTGTCGTGCTGTGAACACCTTTATACTACTAAAAATGAAAGAGTCTTTGCCTTGCCCAATATGATGTCTTCCCATATACTTTGAGCAATATACAATAATATAAATTCACACAGGTAAATAATCTAAAGTCTTCAAATGAGCAATGATTGTCTGATGAAAATGCGTAATGATTAGAAGGTGTTTAATATTTCATAAATGAACTCTTTCTTTTATTTGATCTTTACGATTCCATTTAAAGTACTCATATGATTTATAATTTCATTTAATATAAATTAGTTGATCAAAGCCAACATTACGTATGAGCAATATACTTTGATCCCAGTGCACAAACCTTTTATTCCAACCATTTCCTTCTGGTATGCCTTAAGTATAGCGGGTATCTAGTATAAAATGTGAGTATCTAATACAACAGACGGTCAGTAGATAGATAAATAAAATATATTGAATCTTGTCATCACATTGTATGGGACAAAATAGGAGCCGATTGTTCCTTTGGCACCTTCAAGTACCGAGGTACTTCTAACCATTGTCCTCGTGGACTTAAAGTATGTTATTTGGCTTAATAATTTTCTTAATATATTCGTCTAATAACCGGCACAGTCGACGTCCACCACTACCAACGCGGCCACATCAACCTGACCTTTCACGGCATTGACACTGTGGCGGAGATACGGCTGAATCACCAGCTGCTGGGTCGCACGGACAACATGTTTGTGCGCTACTCCTACGACGTGACTTCGCTGCTCCAGACGGACAACTTGCTGGAGGTGGAGATCCAGTCTTCCGTATTAGCTGCCCTGGCGCGGGCCAATATTCTGAATGAGGCTAAGAAAAACGTGCCTCCGGAATGCCCCAATGACCGATATCATGGCGAGTGCCACATGAACATGTTGCGCAAGATGCAAGCGAGCTTCTCCTGGGACTGGGGTCCCGCTGCCCCCTCCGCCGGGATCTGGAAGGCGGTGCAACTGGAGATCTACGAGGTGGCCGTCATTCGCGACGTGGACGTGGACGTCAGTCGCATCAATGGCACGCACTGGAACATGCATATACGCTGCTACCTGGACGCGGTGGGCGGACAGGATTTTAACGGAAAACTGATTCTGTACGCTGTGTAAGTGACCTTTCCCCAAATTGAATACAGCGCACTCTCATGGGCATTGCGAGTTGCAGCGAGCTATTGGAGCGTCCGGTGGTCGTGGACACATTCGCAATGGAATCCATTAGCCACTTGGCGCCTGTAATTGAGTTCGATCAGGCCGTGCCAATTGTGAGTACCGCCTACTAATTGCATTTGCGCGACTTTGTGCTGTGTAGATCTGTGTCAAGTGCCATTATCACTTTGCAGGAGAAAGTCGTAACCTGGTGGCCCAATGGCTACGGCGAGCAGAAGCTTTATCCGCTTCACTTCACCCTAAAGGCCTGGCACGGAGGTGATGGGCCCGAGGTTCGCTCCAAGACCAAGTCGTACAAGTCGCTCCAAGTGGGCTTTCGCACGCTCGAACTGATCGAGGTCCCCGCCCCAGATGGCATAGGAAACACCTTCCTTTTCCGTGTCAATGGCGTGGAGATGTTCATGAAAGGCAGTAACTATATACCGTCCCACATCCTTCCCGAAATGCAAACAAAAGAACAGAGTAAGTCAATATCTGATTGAAATTATAATACAATCGCAAGAGTATACAAATTAAAGATTGCAAAGTATCTGACTTCGTAAAATACGGCTTTAAATAATAATAGTTTTAAAATATTATTTTTAAAAATTAGTTTATACTTTAAAAATATTTAGTGAAAACTTGAATCAGTTTTTTTCTTTAGTTTTAGGGTAAGGCAGAGGATTTAAAAAAAAAAAATTCTATACACAAATTTTAAATACAAAAATTTGTATACCCTTGCAGAGGGTATTATAATTCTAGTCATAAGTTTGCAACGCAGTTAAAAAGACGTTTCCGACCCTATGAAGTATACATATTCTTGATCAGCATCACTAGTCGATCTAGCCATGTTCGTCTGTCCGAACGAGCCGAATTATAACTTTGATGTTTTAAAATTTTTAGTTCTTCGACTTATAATAAAGGTTAAATATTTGAGAATTACGGTTTAAATTTCATCAAAATCGGAAACTTAAAGCTTCCATCGGAACAATTAAAATATTAAAAAAAAAAATTTTGAAAAAATGTAACTTTTCCATTTTGTAATTTTATTTTTAAATTCTTTTTGACTTATTAATAATTTGAGAATTTTTTTTATTAAAATCGGAAAACGATATCATAAAGCTGCCATAGGAGCTATCGAAAATTTGAGCTGCAAATCATCATAGCTTCAATGTTTTAAACAAGCTAATCATAATTTTTATGTTTTCAAGAATATTTCATTTTTGCAATAGCTGCAAGGCTATACGAGCTTCGGCTGGCCGAAGTTTGCTTCCTTTCTTGTTTTGAATATGTTACTTTTTAGGGTAATCATTCCTATTATTAAGAAAATGGTTCCTCAACAAGTGCAAATTTGTCTAAAATATAGAATTTTTCTTATGTTTAGGGCAATAAAGATTTATGGTGACAATTTCTAAAAAAAAATAGTATTTTTAAACTATCGGTTTTTTCTTGGAATTGCAAATAATATAGTTTTATGGCGAATTTATATTTTTTAGGTCAAATTTTATTTTGAGTGTAGTCAACTTTCTTGTGTAAACGAATACATGAAGTGGTGTTTATGCACACACGTAATTCTCCATTTCGTGAGATCTCAGGAAAACGAATTTAATGATTTTTGTTCTTCATCTCAAGTTGGCCACTTACTGAGGTCCGCCAAGGAAGCGCACATGAACATGCTGCGAGTGTGGGGAGGCGGTGTTTACGAGTCGGACTACTTCTACCAGCTCGCCGACAGTCTGGGCCTCCTGATTTGGCAGGACATGATGTTTGCCTGTGCCATGTACCCGGTGGGCGACGACTTCCTGTCATCGGTGCGCGAGGAGGTGCGGCAGAACGCCTTGCGGCTATCGCACCACCCTAGCGTGGCCATTTTTGTGACGAACAATGAAAACGAGGCCGCCCTGGTGCAGAACTGGTACGGGACGTTCTATGACGTGGATCGCTTTGAGAGCGAGTACCGGCAACTCTACCTGGCCAATGTGATCCATGAACTCAAAATGGTCTCGCACATCTCCCGACCCCAGCCCCTGGTCTCCTCGCCTTCCAATGGCAAGGCCAGTGAGCAGGACAACTACATTTCTAGCAACCCTCAGGACAATCACAACGGCGATGGTAAGAAGTGATTTAAAAAAAAAAAAGTCCAAGCCCTAAACGGTTCTCTCCTTCAGTACATTTCTACGACTACCTTAAGGATGGATGGAACCCGGAGATTTACCCGCGCCCTCGATTCGTCAGTGAGTACGGCTTTCAGAGCTTTCCGGGCGCATACGCCTGGCAGCGCAGCAAGAACGACAGCGACGATCTTCTCGCTCTGATCAAACACCGCCAGCACCATCCCTTGGGTAACATGCCCGTGATCGCCCTGGTGGAGAGACACCTGCCGCTCCCCCTTCCGGAGGAGGAGAACTATGCAAACGCCCTGATCTACTTCAGCCAGATCGCCCAGGCGATGGCCACCAAGGTGGAGACGGAGTTGTACCGCAGTCTGCGGGACACACCACACAGAACCATGGGCGCCCTTTACTGGCAGCTGAACGACGTGTGGGTGGCGCCGTCCTGGTCCGGCATTGATTTCTACGGCAACTGGAAGGTGAGCTGTAATTGTGGAATAGTTTGTTTTAGTATGAAGCATATCCTAGCATTGTCCTAGCTCAGCTTAACAGTTTTGTTTTGTAGACGGAGGGCCGATTTCTCAATGTTATGTTATGTTTCGATGTTAGATAAATTGCTTTTTTTTTCTCAATACCATCTTAGAGTTTATCTAGGCAATATTCTTCTTTAAATATTCCGGACTATAAATTAAACTTGATTAAAAAAAGTCGTTCAAAACTGAATATTGCATTGAGAAGAAGAATTTATGTTTTCGAGCAATGGGACTTCCTGTTATCTTGATCTCACATATTGAAAATTATAACCTTAAGCAATTCTACTACAGTATCAAAGCAAGGTTTCTAAGCTTTCATAGATCACATAAAATAACTTGTCTGATCTGCCAATTGTGTTTACATGAGATATGAGATATGATTTCAAAGTGTTCGTTGGAATCACTTTTCAGGATCTTTTATTCGATGACTTAATAGCTCAAAAGTCCAGTATCTGTGAGAGAATCTGTGATATAATAAATTTTTATTATTTATAGAGTTACAGGTAGAAAAAAGCAAATAAGCCTTTATAATCTGGTGCATAAAATGTAATCACCAAATAGTAATTTAATATAGTCCAATTATTATTCGAGTTTCCGGACAACTATTAACTGGTTACTCAGCCAACCAACTTTAAATTAAGTATTCGCCAAACAAATCAATCAAAGTTAAGGTGACGCCATCTGTCGAACTGCATAGTCAAAACTAGAAGCTAAAAGCGTGCAGCACCCCCACCTCCCGCGAACAGTTCTTTTGTTCTGTCCCTCTACTGCAGCATTTATCGGCAGAGCAGCGGCAGAGCAGCGTCCGCAAGTAGGGCCGTTTTTAAAAAAGTTACCAAATTAAACCTGCCGGAAATACCATTGCAAAAGGGACGTGAATGTGGCATGCCATGTGACAAAAAGTAGTACAAGCCTATTCTTTACAAGTGTTGTCCGACTCTGTCTGTCTACCGCAGATACTTCATTACTGGGCTCGGGACTTTTTGGCGCCCATTGCAATCGTGGCCCTGTACGAAAGGTCCACGGACTCGCTGAACATCTCGCTCATCTGCGACCAACTGGAGGTGGACACGCGGGAACTGAGTGTCGTGGCCAACGTTCATTTCTGGTCGCAGTTGCTGCCGCGCGAATCGACCTCCTGGGCAGTGACCCTGCGCCCCAACGGCGTTCAGTACGACAAGGTCGTTCCCATCGACGAGCTACTGAAGGGGCAGTTCACCAGAACCAACGCTTTTCTGGAGCTGCAGCTGCGCCGCGGCCAGCAGGTCATCTCCAGGACTCACTTTTTCCCCAGCAGCATCGCAGCAGCTGTCGGATTGGAGGACCCCGACCTGGAGGTGAGTGTGCCCCCCATGCAGTCTGTCACCTGCCTGATTTCCGCCTCCTCCGCAGTACGAGATCTCCTCCCGGAACTGCCTCAACACCAGCGATGTCATCCGCAACAGTGTCAGCATCAGCATCCAGGTGAAGCGCCCGGCCGCGTTCGTGTACCTGGAGCTGCTAAAGCCGTACCGCTACACCCTGTCCGAGAACGGGTTCATGCAGACCACGCCGATGCACGTCGTCTACCTGACCTTCGACGCGCCCTCGTGCGCCTGGCTTCTGCGCAAGAGCGACATCCGGGTGCTGACCGTCAACGACTTTATGCGATAGACCAGACTAGATAGACGGACGGCTTCCTTGACAAACTTTTATACAACGTTTATAAATAGCTTAACAATAGACAAATCAATAAATAGCAGTAACCGTTGAGCACCCGACACCGACATCCTTCTGGTCCCTTCCTGGTTCCCTTCCTGGTCCCCTTCTGCTTCTACCGGTCGAAGCTGGGCATCTGCGCCCTCGGCGGCGTGTAGCCCTCGGGATATGGCACCAGCTGGTTGTTCAGGACGCGGGCGTTGCGCCAGGTCTTCACCTTGTCCTCGGCGCTGTCCGGCACTCGGACGCCCTCGATGAGCGTCACGGCGGGACCGTCCACGATGCTGTGCGTGCTCTGTCCGATGGGATTGTGGTGGGGGCCGCCCTGACCCGGACGCCGCGTGTGTGCGACTCCCGCCGAGGGCGTGGCCACTCCCGCACTGGCCGTCACCACCACGGAGTGCGGCATGTATGTGACGTACTTGGACTTTTGCGGCAGGGCGTTGTAGTTGTAGTTGTGCTTGGTGATGAGGTTCTGGGGTCGGTAACCCTGGGAGCCATAGGCCCGAGTGTCCCTGTCGCCGGCGAAGTGCTCATGGACGTCGGAGGCGGCGAACTCCATGTCCCTGGTGGGGAAGCTAACGGAGGATCCGGCTGCCGGTCGCTGCACTCGTGGCAGGATCTCAACGGAATGCTGCAGTGCGAAAGGTTGCCACTGGCGGTCAACCTCCAGGGAGAAATTCCTGCGGGGAACGGGATGCGTCGGGAACTGGGCGTAGGCCGGCTGCCAGGATACGTCCGCGGCCAGCTGGCGTCCACGGCGCGACTCCCCCTGCTGCACCGCCTGGTGCTGCAGCTCCACCGCCTTGCTCTGCGCCTTGGCCAACTGCAGCTGGATGTGCTTCGCGTGGCGCTGCTCCGCCTCCGCCTTGCGCTGCCGGTAGTCGCCCATCTGCTGGGCCAACTCGCTCTGCTTGAGCAGCGCCGGGCTGTGCTCGAAGGTCAGCTGGCGGCCGCTGACCTTGACCGCCGGCCGCATCGGGGGCCGCTTGACGTCCGCACTGCGCACGAAAAAGGAACCAGCAGCCTCTTCAGCGCGGGCCTTGCGGCTGTTCTTCCCCACCAGAATCTCCACGTCCTCGCCCTTGCTGGACTTTACGTTCACCACCCGCACCTTCGAGGGGTCCAGATTGCGGCCAAAGCGGAGTTCCGTCCGGATCAGGGCTGGCTTTCCGGTTACGCTCGGGCTGCTGCCGTCGCCAAACTCCGGAAGGGATTGACTGCCGGCCAAACAGGCCAGGAGGACCATCACAGCAGGCCATCCCGAGCAGCGTGCCATTGCCATTTTCTGGTGAGTTGCGTGAGCTGTGGATGAAAGACGGTTTAGTTGGGAATTTGGACAGATTGCATGTGCAAAGTGAATCGTAACGACATTTAAGACAATCAGTTTCAAAGTTGTGGCTTTGAAAACTTAAACATTTCTACCTCGATTTTCCATCTGCCTACTCAAAAAGTCTTAAGACTTAGAAACAGAAAAAAATTCATCTCTTCCATCTTCAGCATAAACAAAAATGTTTTTAATTCATAATATTTAAAATTTTTCCGTTAATTTAATTAATTATTTTTGGGGGGAAATATTTACAATTCTTTCTTTGACTGGAACTTTGCCCGACTCAAAATTTTGTTTAAGAGTAAAAGAGAAATTTAATTTATGAAATTCGATCGATTCGATTAGTGAAAAGGTATAATTCTAAAACACCCGATGATGTTAAACGTTGATCTTTAGAAACGGTATATAAAAAAAATAATAGGTTAGCCAAAACTCGATATAAATTTAAAATATAGAAATATTTAAATTGCACTTTAAAAATAACTGCTATTTTAAATTACAAGCGATACAAAGGGTATCAAAATAGCGATATCGCTGAAGACTTGTATCTGCTCTTCAGAAAAGCGACAATTCCGGCGTAGTCAAACAGTTTGAGTGGTTTCCTCATGCCAGAGTGGCAAACGAAAGTTGCAGTTTTAATTGGTGTTTCGCTTTCTGAGCCCAACGCACCCAGCACAAGCACGCGAATGCAGTTAAATCTGCACAGATGCACTGATGAAACCAAAGCCGGCTATTTGGCTGCCGGTGAGTAGTTTAATTACAAGCTCGCCTGAAATTCAACGAGGTGTTGAAAGAGACCACCTCTTCGTGCTGGCAAAAAAAGGCGGTCAGGCATGCGCATTAGATCATTTTAGCTGCAAAAGGAAAACAAACTTTACATTTTTGAGGACCCCACTTCCGCCTAATGAGAGCCTTGTCCAATATAGCAATCCAAATATAATGGCATTAGTGGGCGTATCCCGGAAACAGGCAATACAAATGAACACTGGCACCCAAATTTATAATGTTTCTTTTAGGTAAATTACTTATATTTTTTATGGAGTTTTTGTTCCATACTCGTTGTAGGATCAGAACCCCTTACTTACTGTACAAATTTTAATACCAAAGATGAGTTATCTTTAACATTACGAGTACCGGGTAACTCAAACGACTTCCGAAAAACAAAATAATAGCCCTAAGTCAAAGCGATTGGACCACGATTTATATACATTTTTAGTGTACTTTAAAACAAATATATATTAATATATATATTCTTAATCAGCACCATAAGGCGATCTAGACATGTGCGTCTGTCCGTTCGTCTGTCTATTTGTACGCGAACTAGTCTCTTAATTGAAAAGCTATCTGGATACAACTTTTTCAGAAGTCTTCTTTCTATTGCAGATAGTATATAAGGCGGAACGGGCCAGATCGGACGGCTATATTCTATTGCACAATGGTAAATAATAAAACATCTAGCGGAAAATCGACGCAGCTTTCATTTCTTTATCATGTCCGCATAAAAATCGAAATATAGTAGCCTTTGTTAATTGCCTTTTAAATAATAAACAACAGATTACACAATTTAAGTTTATCACGTTAAAGGTGCATTTTCTAATTTTATTTTATTAGCTGTTTGACGACTTGGTTCTATAAAGTAAAGTAAAGTATTTTTTGAAATACTACGGAGTGTTTATTTTTGAGACAAGAAAATCAAAAATCTCCGAATCAGTGTTAGATAGATATTCAGGGCTCAATTAACCTAGTTCTGATGTCGCTGATTAAGAATATCATTTATTTTCGAAAACGCTTTATGCAAGAGGTCAATGAAACGATTAACCGATTATTAACCAACTTTGTGATTAGATGATGGCAAAGATATTACGCATACTCTGACAACCGCGCTAACATCGAGCCAATAAGCCACTAATGAAGGCAAATTGGCCGACAAAAAGCAAAAAGAAATAATTAAGTAAATTGTAAATTGCATTTTCAATATAAGTGCGCGCGGCAAAGTTCGCGACCGCGACTCTGATTGGCACTGGGACTGGGAGCGGGACTAAAAATGGAGCTCGGGTGGTTAACCAAGAGACTGCTCTTCGACCCAAATCGCTCCGCTCCGCCGGCAAGACTTTCACTTTCAACTCGACGCGGACGACTGCACCAAGTCGCGACTGTTTAGCGATGATTCCGCCGATGTTTTAGCTGTTGCCAATGTATTTGCGTACTGGCAAAAGGCAATGTACTCGTTCAAGAAGCTAAAAGACCCTTAGGCTCAGAAGAAAACATATTCTAGTGGGTCTTGCTTTTTGGTTATTCGCAAACTTGTAATGATCAAATTGACATGTTCAAATTTAGGAGGTGTCAGTTCGTATACCCGTTAGTCGTTGAGTAAAAGGGCATATTGTTTTCATTAAAAACTATGTATGTAACACGAAGAAAAATTTGAAAAACTCGGTAGAGTCTTGGTACAGAATATTGATTGTTTATTTGATTTGCGGAAAACATTCAGTTTTGTGTGGGTTTCCATTTAATTGTCGTGATTAATGCAATTTCACATTCTCTTCTTCTCCCTTTTCGGGTTTTTTAATTATTGTATGCGATCGTAGAGAACTAATATTGATGCTTTAGAATTTTGGCGTAAAATTTTTTTTCGAGCGAGGCAACCCACTCATTTCATCATCAAAAGCACTAATAATTTCAGTCAGAAGTTTGCAACAGCGTGAAGAAGACATTTCCGTCCCTTTAAAGTACATATATTCTTGATCAGCATCACTAGGAGAGTTGATCTAGCTAAGTCTATCTGTCTGATGTTAATATACATAGTAATGGTTTATTATTTCAGAATTACGGTTTTTTTTTTTCAAACCGGAAAACGATATTACAAAGCTGCAATAGGAACGGTAGCATAATTTTTCGGAGAGTAATTATAGGATCACTGTTGTTAAACATGCATCATAAAAATCTGAATATTATTGTTTATACAATATTTAATTTTTAAAATAGTTAGCTTTTTTCTTGTTTTTGTTTATACTTTCTGGCCCAGCTTAACAATTGTTATTAAATGTTTGTTTCTGAAGCTCAAGAATGAAATGTTGTTGATTGAATCAACGATGTTTTACAGTCAATTTACTTTTTACTGTATTGACCAATTGTAGCTGCAGTACAATTGTTTATTTTTCGAATCATCTTGTTTATGTATATTTTCTTGTTTTCCTTACTGCAACAGATTGTAAAGTTAATAAAAAAATTGTTACATTTAAATTTTTCTCCTACATTTGCATATAAAATTCCCAAGTTTTACATAACATTTAATGTTGCGTAAATCTTTTCGGTTAATAAAACCGGACTTTCCAATTGATTAGTTTTAACAAGAAATTTCTTTTTGTGTAGGTTAATAAGACAAACTGTTTACTGAAGGTTGTGCAAACAAAGTTCTATATCTAATCAAGAGTTTAAGTTATTTTGTTTAACGTGGTATCGCAAGGTTTGGGTTTAATCATTGGCGAAATTCTTTAGGTTTGGTTGGTTTTGGTGTGCACAAAATCTATTTGAAAACCAAACTATTTTAATTTTTTTTTCTAAGCTTTGTCTAAATGTTTCTGCAGAAAAAACTAGTTCGGTATTTCTAACGATTTTAGGAGAATGTTTTCAATGACCGTGTGCTAAAATTGCAAAAGTATATTTTTTTTGTTTTCTAAGCGTTAATCCTATATTCGCGAGTTTTAAAACAGGTGAATATGAAGACAATCTAGATCAAATGGATTCCAACAACCAAAAAATGTTTCTGCAGGATAAATCAAGACCTTCTGACCTCAGATCTGTGATTTTCTAAATTCCTAATTCATGTTTGTGTAATCTTCAGCAAAAAAGTTTAAAGTTATAAATTTGCTTAAAAGAGGTGCTTAAAAAGATCAAACAAAAATTTCTTCCCAAAATATTGAAGAATTGGCGAATGCAGATAGATATATATTGTGCTCCTCTATCAACATTTTTCTTAAGCATAGGCGCTACATAATATTGTTCCACTTTTCTGGTCGGACGACCAAAACCAAAAATCTGGAAGGTTATCTAGGAAGTTAGGAAATAAAAGCTGTTATACCAAAAATGCATCAGTTAATTTGGCCACAGCGGTTGGTATTTCAAAATGATTACCCCATTTTCAGTGGAAACATTTAACAAGTTATTGAATTTATTTTTAGGGCAGATTACTTTCTCGAAATATCCGCATGAAATCGAAAGTGTCCGGCATACGTTTCAAGAACTTGAATTTAAACAATTAAATGAAGTGCAAAAAGCGCCCAAAAACGAGATTCGAGCTTCCCTTCAATATCTGAATTAAAAGCTTCGATGAGTACATATAAAATACTCTGGATACTGGCGAATTGGGCTCTTTAAGGCCGTTTATTTGCTTCCCCGCTGGCCGGCGACTGCAGTGACAATGCGCACGTTCCAAAGCCTCGACTGATTCGCTTTTTCGGCCACTCTCGAACACACTCTCGGCCATCGGGGATTACATCACGGCCATGATGTGGGATTTGGGCCATGAGTGAGCGGCGGAAGCGCGCCCGAGACATTTATCTTGGCCATAACCCTTGTAATGGTCATAAGCGGCGCATAACAGCAGCCAAAGCGGTTTGGGGTCGAGTGTTGAAATGCAACCTGCAATTATAATTTCCTTTGATTTGAGTCTTCGGCAATTTGTGACGGTAAGTTAACTGTGCACGTGCATCGACCTTCCCAACGCTTGATACCTCATCTGGAGTTTCGGCCAACTCGTGTTTCCATGTCTTTTGCATACAAAACCAAAGAGCGCGATAGGCGGCGCACACCTAATGACGGGTTTCTAGCCGATGATGCAACTCTTGGTGCACAGAATTTGTGGTTCGGCGATTGCAACTCTCTCCCTGACCCACCGTAGCAGGGGCAAACTCAATTGGTGCTTCCATTGGCTTCTTTAATCCCATGTCAGGTGTCAATCAAGCCAAACTTGCCGCCCAATGCGTCGTGCATTGTGAGGAGATTGGACAACAAAGACTGAATTCAATTACCGGCCACGCCCCCAACGACTCCCGAACCAGCTAAGTGCATTCAAATCAAAGGGGCCAGTAGCATTTATACAGAGAAAAAAAACAATATATGTATCTCATTTCAAATAAATGATATGATTACAATCAAGATTTGCAGCAAAAGTAAAAAAAAAAAATCTCTTAGAAGCTGTGCTAATCGAACCTGTCACATTTTAACCAGAAACAGACGACATTAGTTTGTATGGCATGTTTCTCACATATCAAAGCGATCGATCTTATTATCATTGATTTCAGTCAGTTTTTTTTTTCAGTGTAGTGTGCCGAGGCCCGGCAATTGAACGGCCGCTGGCTCTGCTTATTGTTATCGACAATTGTGGCCGTTTCTGTAGCCACCAGATGGTGCAGCGTTAGTGCCATGTGCGAAATGCAAATGCGACCGCGGCTAACGAAGCTGGCTGGCGCTGCCTCGACTCGTAATATTTTACTTTTACTTTTTATGATTAACATTTCCCACCCAAAAGTGAGAAACTTAACATGATTTTTGTCCGTCGTTCACTTATGCACACTCGTACTTTCTGCGCAATGAAACGAGAAATCACAGAGATCGTAAACTTTGAAGATCAGCTCGGTGGCGTTATGTTTTTTTTTTTTTTGCCATCAGTGCCAGCATCTTTTAATTACACGTGTTAGTCACCGCCCTCCGCTTTCCATCGACCTAGGCATTGGGTGATGAGTGCTGGATGTTGGGTGTTGGGTGTTGGGTGTCGCAATTGAAAGTGAAACTCTTCTTACTTTCAGCCCGAGTCAAAGGTTGGTGGGCCTGACACCTCTGCCTCTGCGCTTCGTTTCTGCGCAAAACCCACGCACGAGCTCAAGTGTGAAGTGTTGTCATCGTCTGGATGAGTGCGCAACTCGAGTGCCGACTGATAGTCATTCAAAGTCGCCAAGCGGTGAACAAATCGCATTTGGGGTAGGTCGGGTGCCGCAATGGAAAAACGGGTCCAAAACGACCAGATGTCTGCCGGGGATTTCCCGGAAACTTTTCAAGACTCATAGCAGCGGGTTATGCTTGAAAATCCAGTGATTGATCGATGGCCTTACTTATTGCTCTCTGAAGAGCAAAGACGCCCCCGAATATTACGCATACGCAGCGTGTTACATTGCGCCTACTCACTTTTCTTTTCCGGGAAGCTGGTTGTAGCGTTTGTAGCTTCACGTACTACGCTGCACAGGATATAGAGATCGGGATCAGTATCGGTATCGGGATCGGGATAATGACTCTGTTGCTCTCGCAAGCGGTGACGACTCTATGTCCAATGTGCGACAGATCGCGGCGCGAACCGAAATACAACTGACGGCAAATGAAAAACTTTTGCTTGCAAGTTAAAAAGCAGCGAGCTGGAAAACGGCAGAAAAAAAGTAAAATTATTATGTATACATATGTTTAGAGGCCGACGGCGCAGCGGTGAGGCAGTGGGACGGCAGCAGAGCGTCAACGAACAGCGAAGGTAGATCCAGCGAAGCCATAGCCATAGCCACCACTCGTACTCAGTCAATGGCTGATGGCTGATGGCGGAGTGGAGTGGAGTGGAGTGAGCCGGCCGATCCCGCCCGATCCATCGCTCTCGACCGGGCCCAGAGACAGAGACACTGAGGGTAAAGCCAGCCAAAGCCAAGGTAAAATTGCTCTCGAAAACAGCCGCATTAACTGAGACTGAGACTGAGACCGAAGCCAAAACCGAATCCGAATCCGAAACCAAAACCAAGGCGGTAAACAAAGCTGAAGCACGCCAAAAAAAAAAGAGGCAGCCGAAATGAGCCAACAATTGCGCAATTGCGTCGCTGCCAGCAAACTGGCGGCATCAGAAACACCAACATCTTTTAGCTATCGATTTACCATGGGACAAACTAATCACTAACTAACTACTTAACTAAAAACCGAAGCAGGGTTTTTTGATTAAGGAATACAAAAGTAAAAAATGTGCCTTAAAAAGCCTAAACATAAAAATGTTTATCCCATAGCTTTTAAATGCAACATTAAAGGTGCAAAAACAGTGTTAAATCGTTTTAGTAAATAAAACAAAACTTTTTCAAAAGAATACGAATCAATAAAAATAAAGATTTTTTTCTTTTTTACATATTTTGCATCTGTTTTAGAACTTAACACTTTTATTTTTTCTGTGTTGTGCATATTTTTAAGAGCAGCTGTGTTCGATTTTGAGTCAATAATATTACTTTGCTAGTTTACTTTCCTTTTAAATTTTAAACGTGTGTTAATAACCAACATATTCGATTTTCAGCTAGTCGAAGAATAATATGCTTTATAAATCGTCTACCATATTCGATTTTGACGTACCCATTTTTTAGCAAGTTTTTTATTTCCTCGTATATTAACTATTCGTTTATGTAAAAATTCTTACTATGTTGACATTGAGCTTGGCTGTCCAGTTTTGTTCGGTCAAAGTGGCTGTATGCCCCACTGTGCAACGGCGTGCAGCTGTGGATCTCCCATTTTTAGTTTGTGTGCGTTTTTTCTCAATCTTGTTTTTTATTTTTTGGCAATCTGCAAAGGGGTTTAACATCTTGTCAATCAAACTAGACATCTTCACTGTCGCCTGTTAACTCCATGGAATGCCACAGACACAATCAGCACCGCCGTTTAGGTGTTCTACTTAGCCAAATGTTATTGGAACAAAAAATGTATTGATTGGGTTATTATGTAATCAGTGATATATTTACGGAAATTAAATGGTACCAGTCCTTACTTCCATTAATCAGTTTCTAATTGGTTTAACAAATTAATTATGAAGACAACAGTTTGATTTCGTAATGTGTTTTATATGTTAAATATATATTATTTTTTATAGCATGTATAAGCAAAGGTAATAATTATTAACAAATAACTAATACTAACCAACAAAAAAAAAAACAAATAATATTAGAAAACACTAAAATTGTACTTTACTTTTAAAAACATAAAATTAGAGTTTTTCCCATGCTGTAACTTATGGGAAAACATGGTTTTTTTAGCTTGTCGTTAAAAATGGTACACTTTTTGAGTACTTTTTACTTACCAAGGTCATTAAATCACCACCTCTTACCATAAATATATAGGCAGGGGTTTCTTTAAGATTTCTGTCACCTTTTGGTAGCTGTTTTTTAAGTACCTTGTACCTATATTTTAAAATTAGTCTTAGTCTTTAAATCTTTAGCTCTCAGCACAGCCCGCTCGTGTCGGTAGCTTCCCTTGGGAACTTGACCCCACCCTTTTCGAAGCGGTAACCATTTGCGTCTCTAGAGATTGAAGGGTCGGCGCCTGCCACTCCCCATTTGGGATGGCGGGCAGAAAAGTAATTGCCCCAGCGCGATCGTTAACGAAAGTGGCCCGAAGAACGATTACATCCGTTTGTAGGTTTGTATGTGCATTGAGGTCTGAGGCAGTCGCATCATCGCTCACAGAAATTTTAAGCCATAGTTTTACTGCCAATTTTTGCCATTTCCATAGAGCCCGGTGCTGCTAGGGCGGGGGCTTCGAATAAAAGGCTTTTTAATTAACAAAAATTTCACTTTTTCACTTAGCATGTAATAGACGGGCGGCATATGCATGGATCATGATGAATAACAGCGGGATTGAGGGAAGTGGAGGAAAGTGCTATTGGGCGTACGAACTGAAGCTGCTGCCATCGGCCAGTTTGTTATTGAGCTGCTCCGACACCAGTTCCGCAGGGTTCTGATCCTGATCCTGCTCCTGATCCTGCAGAGCGTCGCGCACGAAGAACACCCCATTGACGCCGAAGCGCAGGCAATTGAAGCGGTACTCGAAGAATTGATTGGCCAAAACCTTGAAGACCACCGACAGGCAGACCTGCATGTTGCCCTCCCCAAAGGTCCGGATGTCGTGGAGCCGCAGGCAGCTGAAGAGCGGCAGCGGCAGGAGCAACGGCATGCAGTAGTCCGGCGGATTGCGGGCCGAGAAACCAAAGTTGGCCACAGTGCGTTGGTTTAGCTCCACGCTGAGTCGCATTCCCAGGTCCGCCCGGCTGTACTCGAGGGCGGCGCAAAGCCGCTGATTGAGGCCCTCCCCAAGCCCCAAGGTCATGCCCAGGCAGCAGCGGCAGGCGAACTCCGTGCAGGAGCACGGCTGCCACAACTGCGGCAGCTGCACAATGTTCCCATTGACGGGCGGTTGCCTGGCAGCTCCGTAGCGCAGCGGCTCCAGCTGCTGACCGCTGAGCGGGTTGTAGACCACCAGGCGGGGCAGTGCACCCAGATCGGGGCCAGCAGCAGCAGCAGCCATGGGATAGAACTGGGCCTCCGACGGCGCAGTGAAGAGGGCCAGGGCCAAAAGCCAACAGATCGATTGGCAGTGCATGGTTTCGCAGAACCAAAATGCGGAATGGGGTTTTCCGGGAGCGTGTGTTCTCGCCGGCAATTGTCCAAACAGAGTGCGGAATTTTCCACTAAACCCTGGCCGCTTTACCGGCCCGCCAAATGGCTCGGAAAATGTTTATTGTCTTACATTAGGTGACGGCAATAGGTGAGTGCAATTGCCTAAAAACTGTGTCAATGTTGGATCGGTGCGGTCGATACAGCTGCCTGCACTCCCTTCTCGCCGGCTAATGGATACGCTGATAAGCCAATGGCATGTAATTTGCATTGCCAGGCGTTACGTGAGGCTGGCCAAGTGCAAACAGAAAATTGCACACTTTTGTCACTCTAAAGTGTGTCAAAATTAGTGCACAGCTCGATTTGCGCAAACCTGCGGCACAATTCGTAGGTATATCTGCCATCATCGGACCAAAAACTAACGTAACGCAGCTCTCATTCAGCCGAACAAAGAAAGACAATTTAAACACTTTATTGAGGGCTCAGCCCTAGGAAAGGTTTACGTTAACTTCCATTGGCGGAAGCTTAGACTGGGGGTTTCCCAACCACGGTTCGAGGCTTTAACTTGCTTTAACTGTACATAGGAAGCTCGAGAGGTCGATTTTCAGAGTTGGGACCTTGAATTGGCTCAAAGACACATGTGTGTATGGCCTGAAGTATTATTCAACTTTTGATGCACATCCAAACATGCGGGAGTTTACACAGCCGACTCAAAGGGCAAAGACTTTTTAGAAAAATAGTTATAACTATTCCATGACAGCTAGAATAGCCTTCTGAAAAACAAAAAACATTTATACGAAACAGTTATTATATCTGTTAATAAACGTATACATCATATTTACATTTTTATATCGAGAAATGTAAAGAAGAAACAAAAGTGAACCACCCTCTTCTACAGTACTTAATGTGTGTGTTTTTTTTTTTTTTAAACAACAAAAGTTAGTTTCCAACTAATTAGGGCCATTATAAGGAACCAACTAATTATACGTTATACGTGAGGAAAGATAAGCAAATTAAACTTTACCGCTTATAATACCCGTTACTCGTAGATTAAAAGAGTAGGTTGTATTCGTTGTAAAGTATGTAACAGCTAGCAGAAAGCGTTTCCGACCCTAATGGGAATCCCAGAAATCCCAGAAATCCTTTTATTCTTGATCAGGATCAAAAGCCGAGTTGATTTACCAATGTCCGTCTGCCTATAAAAGCCAGATTTACCACGCAGATCCTAGTTATGCCCACTTCATTCATTCATAATTATTCTAATCGAACCAGCATAATCCTAATATGCCAATCAAGAATGTATATATCTACTTTATTGGTTCGAAAATGTTTCTTTCTATAAGACGGAAATGAAAAATTAAGTTAAAAAATTGTAATCTCCCTGTTTTTAAATTTATTTAAATTTACTTCGAGAAATAGTGATAAATATAACCTTTGGCTTGCCGTAATTTGTTTTTTTTTGTTGTTTTCTTTTCAGGCATTGCGTTTCTTATTAAACATTGTATGCATTGTATTACTTAAACTTACAATCAAAATGGTTGTACTTAGCGCCCATTTGACTACCAAAATAGTTGTTAATTAAAACTTTTTATATTTATTGTATATTTACGTAAAAATGCGACTTTATTTACCCACATTTTAACAAAAATCAAACAGTAACTTTAAAAATATCTTAAAGAATACAAAAAGAACTTGAAAATCAGCAAAGTTGTAATTTTTATTATTGGGTTTTATTTAGTCATCCGATCCGGCTCGTTCCGACTTATATTCTACCTGCAACAGAAAAATAACTTTTGGAAAAGTGTTATGCAGATAGATTTAAAACTGCGAGAATAGAATTGGATGGTCGGACGAACATGGCTGATCGACCATCCGATTGACGCTGATCAAGAACATATTTAATACTTGCAAACATCTAAATGAATTTAAAATACTCTCTGCAATGGTAAACAAAACACGACTTTTCGTGCTGTGCCCCTCCATATCGATGGGAGCGAACTATCAAGGTATCGATAGCACGCCAGGGCTGCGGCATAGCGTTATCGGAACCCACCGAGTCCACTCGCACCTGCTGCGGAACCAGCACCGTTGCAGCCCTGCACATTGTTCTTTTTATTTTTTGTGGCCACAGTGCATCGAAATGTTTTAGTTCTGTTTAGCGGGCGAGATAACACAGTGAAACAGATAGCGACAAAGAAAAACGCACTACCGTTGGCCACCAGCAAAATGGGCGAGTTCTTCAAGTCGCTCAACTTCAACTACTTCTCCTCCAGCGATGGCAGTCCATCTGCCAACGGGGCTGCTGGTGGCGGCGGCGGAGGAGCAGCAGCAGGAGCTGGTGTCCTCGGTGGCAGATTGGACAACGACTTTGTCGGCCAAGTCGTCGAAGTGGCTGGCCACAGGCTGCGCATCAAGTGTGTCATCGCCGAAGGTGAGGAACGTGGACGTGGGCGTGGGCGGGGGGGGGGGGGCGGAGCGGGTTTTGGCCCGCGACTCGCAAAAAATCAATAGGAAGTGGAGCCGCCAACCAGCAAGCAGCATTTTACTGCGCTTTGTTTACGCTTTCTGATTTCGAGGCGGAGACAGAGGCATAGCTGTTCCGCCAGTGCAAGGTTAACATCCGCAGTGCGTTGCCACTTACTCTGCTTCCACTTCCATTTGCCACCCGCGTTCCATGACTCCCGTGAGTCACCGTCACCCATGCCAGATCATAGTGATCGGAATTTTCACAAAACCAGTTCTTATATAAGAACGGACCGGAAGGCGGCCAAAAGTTCGCAACTCTAGCGGAAGTCGTCGGGCAGAAGACCACTTAGATAGCGAACTAGCAAACTGCCCCATTTGGTTGTGCCCAACGCAATTAGCATTTGAGCAGCCCATTCCTTATCAGCGCTGTGTTATCAACATTCTTTCCGCTTCCACCCCTTTTTCCAGGCGGATACGCCTTTGTGTACGTCGCCCAAGATGTGCAAACTGGCATCGAGTACGCCCTCAAGCGTCTAATCGGTGCCGATCAGCAGGCCTGCAACGCCATCATCAACGAGATCGGCATCCACAAGCAGGTCTCCGGCCACGGCAACATTGTCGCCTTCGTGGGCTCCAGCTATGCGGCGCCAACGCCCCAGCACGGCGCTCAGTACCTGCTCCTCACGGAACTTTGCAAAGGTGAGTGTGGCGTGTATGTACGAACCTATGTATGATCTCAATTGGTTTGCCTTGCAGGTGGCTCCCTGGTGGACTGTTTCAGGGCCAACAATGCTGCCATCGATCCGCCGTTGGTGTTGCGCATCTTCTACCAAATGGCTCGGGCCGTAGCCTGTCTGCATTCACAGTCGCCGCCGATCGCCCATCGAGACATAAAGGTGAGTCGGCCCGCTAAACGCAAGTAGCGAAGTAATCGTCAAACGTATCCGTTTCCAGATCGAAAACTTCCTCGTTGGCAACGACAAGCAGATCAAGTTGTGCGACTTTGGATCCGCCAGCAAGGAGGTGCTTGCACCGACGTTCGAGTGGAGTGCCAACCAGCGCAATATGCTGGAGGATCAGCTAAACACCGTCACAACACCCATGTACCGGGCCCCCGAGATGCTCGACACTTGGTCCAACAACCCGATCGGGCCAAAGGCGGATGTTTGGGCTCTTAGCTGCATCCTGTACTTCCTGTGCTACCGCAGACATCCGTACGAGGATGGCGGCAAGCTGCAGATCATCAACGCCAACTACATTCTTCCGCCGGACCCGCAGTATCAGTGCTTCCGCGACGTCATCAGGGGATGCTTCAAGGTGAATCCCGCCGAGCGTATGGACATTGTCATGGTGCTCGAACGCCTGGCAGCCATTGCGGAGACACATAATTGGTCGCTCAAAGGGCCTCTTGACCTGCACGGAGTACCCATCGACTCGTTTTCGGCTGAGAGCCCCGCTCGCAAGAACTCCGTGCAGTCGGAGTTTTACACCGAATCGCATAGTACCGCCCCAAACGCAGCGCCATCGTCGGCCAGCGTTCCATCCTCTAGCAATGGACACGGAAGTCTGCTGTCATCGCTGCGTGGCGGCGCTGGTACGCTGTTCAAGAACATTAAGGACACGTCCACCAAAGTGATGCAGACAATGCAGCAATCAATCGCCCGCACCGATCTCGACATCAGCCACATCACCTCGCGCATCCTCGTTATGCCCTGCCCCTCCGACGGCTTTGAGTCCGCTTACAAGACCAACAACATCGAAGATGTGCGGCTGTCTCTGGAGAGTCGTTTCGCCCCGCAGAAGATCAGTATTTACAACTTTGGGCAACGCACAGTGCCCCGACTGCCGCCACCAGTGCGCACGGTTGAGGCAGGCTCCGTTTACGGGTGTCCACAGGCCCATGCTCCCAATCTGCAGGTATGTAAATGGGGAAAAAAGGTTTCTAAAGTGTTGCGTTATTGTAGCGAAATAGGACAAACCTCAGATTTAAGTAATTTTTAATATAAACTCGTTTGATTTATTGTTACGAGTAGCTTTGGAAATTGTTCTAATACTTAATCAATAACTATAGTTTCGCTGCTTACCTCGTAAGACTTTTTAAATTGTGTCCCTGCTTTAAAAAGTACATAGTTTTTTTTTTAACTTTAAATGTTTCTTTCTTTCTTTTCTAAAAGACTTTCACTTTTCTAGTTTTTAGTTTTTCGAAATATTTAAAGTGCTTTATTCGCTCAGTTTTAAAGCTACCAACATACAATTTTAACAGCCGTATTTATACAATACATATGAACAATTTCTTTAATTCTTAAGATATTTTCTATAACTCCGTTTCAATACCCTGTTCTGAAGTTTCCAATTGAGTAAGGCAGACAAATTCATTTTCGACTGTATAAAAAATAAATGTTGCTGTACGTCCGTCTGTTTCAACAACATTTCCGATCTCAATTGATTTATTAGAGACTTGAAAACATATTAAAATCGAGAATGTGTAAAAATCACAAACTATCGGAAAATATTCACCCTTCTTCTCAAGCGATTACTGACCAATAGCTAATAGATCATACATAACAAATGTATTTTATTTCCTTAGAAAATGTTGTAGCCTCTTAATTGATTGTATTTTAATGCTTATAAATGAATAACTATATATATATTTTAATCTAGGGCCTGTTCACCGTGTCGGCCGACATGTACAACTTCCTCAACGCCGACCCCAAATCGATTGTGATCGTACAGACTGGGGACTCTGGCGGATGCAGTGCCGCCACCGTCATCTGTGCACTGCTCATGTATGCTGATCTGCTGCAGGAGCCGGAGGATGCGGTGCAGGTGTTCGCCGTCAAGCGGCACACCATCAATCTGCGACCCTCCGAGTTCCGCTACCTGTACTACTTCGGCGACATCCTGCGGCCCACGCCCCTGCTGCCCCACTACAAGAACACCAATCTCGTATCGCTCAGCTGCCAGCCAGTGCCCCGGATGACCAAGGCTCGCGACGGCTGTCGGATCTACATGGAGGTGTATTGCAACGAGACCTTGTTGCTCAGCACACTGCAGGATTACGAGAAGATGCGGTAAGATTGGATTGAGGATAAGTCGAGATTGGAGTCCGCTATTTGCTTTGTCATCATCCCTTACAGCTTGCACCTGGCTGGGCCGGGTAAAATAGTTCTGCCCATCAACTTGACCGTCTGCGGCGATGTCACGGTGGTTTTGTACCACGCCCGTAAGGGAATGGTGCGACCCCAGGGCCTGAAGATATGTCAATTCCAAGTGAACACGGGCTTCATTCCAGAGCCCGAAACGCTGATCACGTTCACCAGTCAGGATCTCGACGATCTGCCCGATCCCGAGCAGGTGACGCCGGGCTTCTGCGTCTCGCTTTCGCTGACGGTGACCGACACGGAAACGCCTCCCAGCCACAAGCCGCCATGGCTGCCGGCCAAACCCCCGCGATCACCAGCAGCTCTGTTTAGTTCGGATCTGGAATTCGCCGAGATGTTGGATAACTTTGGTAGGTGTGCTCGAGTGTGCCGTGTGCCTTTTGTGCCTGGGCATTGTGATTCGATTCTCTGACTATTCCAGTGACCAAGCCCAGCCCGCCTGCTGTCCATAACAGTGGGAATAGGGATCGCTCTCCCAGCTCTCCCCTCGTTCTGCCCGATGTCACAGAGATCGCCCATGAACCTGCGACGGCAGTGGCAGAGCCTTCGCCGCCCATCGACCTGCTCAATCTGAACCAGCAGCACAGTGATGCCCCGACGCCCACGGATCCTCTGGCCAGTGCCAAGCCCAGCTCGGATGCCAGTTTCGATCTGCTGGGCGCCTTTGGTGACGATGATTCCTCGGGCATTGGCTCAGCGCCGATTCCGGACATACTTCCAGCAGCTCCATTGCTGCAGCAACAGCAGCAGCCGCCGCCAAAGGTCAACGCCGATCTGTTCGACATCTTTGGCTCTGTGGAGCAGGCCCAGGCGCCCAGCTTGAAGCCATCGGCTCTGCCAACCTTTGTGACCAAGCCAGCGGTGGCCAGGAATGACCAACGATCACCAACCCAGCCGATCACCAAGGCTCCGGCCGATCCTTTTGCCGACATCGCCAATCTGGCTTCCGGTCTTAACATCAACTTTAACCGGAGCACACTGAGTGGCAAGTCCCCCGTTGGCAGTAGTCCCCAGCCGACGCAGTACTCCAGTCCCACCCACAGGCCATCACCATCCTCGCAGCCTCAGGCGAGTTTTATACCGCCGCAGCCGCAGCCAATGACAACCTCTGCCAGGGCAGCTCCGCAGCCTCAGTCGACTCCGGCTCAATCGCGACCTGACTACAGTCGAGCCCACTTCGATGCGCCGAAGGCAGCACAGCAAGCTGGCGCTGGTGGCGGCACCAAGGGATCCGATATATTCGCGGACATTCTGGGCCAGCAGGGTTACTCCTTTGGCAGCAAAATGAATCAGGGACCGCGGTCCATCAATGAAATGCGCAAGGAGGATTTGGTCAAGGACATGGACCCCAAGAAAGTGCGCATTATGGAATGGGTAAGGCAATAGCTTCGGGAGAGACACAAAAGAAACCATGTTAAGTATACGCTTTGCAGACCGACGGCAAGAAGAACAACATCCGTGCGCTGCTCTGCTCCATGCACACGGTGTTGTGGGACAATGCCAAGTGGCAGCGTTGCGAGATGTCCACCATGGTGACTCCGGTTGAGGTGAAGAAGGCGTACCGGCGTGCCTGCCTAGCCGTGCATCCTGACAAGGTGAGTGTCATGTGTGAATGGAGAGCTCTTTTTTAAGACTTTAATTAACACTCTGTTTTGCAGCATAATGGAACCGAGAACGAGGAGATTGCCAAGCTCATTTTTATGGAACTGAACAATGCATGGACAGATTTCGAAAACGATGCCACGCAGCAAAATATGTTCAATGCGTAAAACGCGTCCTATAGCTATTATGTCCCATATGTTTATCGCAATTAGTTGTAATTATCGTACTCTTAGCGGAATCTAGTGTAAATTCGTGTAAAAGTCTAAGCTTTAATGTGTAAAGTGAAAGAGTTGGCCAATGCCATCAGCCCTTTGAAATTCGGAACACACACCCGTGGACATTTTACTTAATTTCGTATAACAAGAAAGCCATTCCAACACTCCTATTGCATCCCAAAGCAGTCCGCCCGGAACACGAAAAAGTGTTTGAAGGTATCTGCCAATCATCCACTAAAATGAAGCGGAGATTGCGATTGCACGCCTTATCCATCCATCATCCACCACATGAATCAAAGTTTCGTATATGAAATACTATACTATACTATATACTATAGCTGCAATTAGATTAATTACGACATGTCCTTGACCCGTTTGTTTATAGCCAATATGTGATTAAACTATAATTGATTGAACTTCATAGTTTATGTACATAACTGTTCCGAGAGTATAAAGTATAAAAGCGAGTAGGACAAAGTTAGTTTTACCTTCTAGCAGCCCTAGTGTACATAACAGAGTATATTGGAGGTTATATTTAAACGCAAAATTCCGGTTCAGCATTTAACGTTTGTCGCTATAAAAAAAAAAATAATAAATTCTCTATATACGTTTCCTTGTGAAATGCCACTGTTAAATGTGTAGTAAATGCCCTTATTCTGGTTGGCTTCCCTTTTTAACCCGCTTGCCGGCCACGAAGACCTCGACAATGTTGCGATCACAACCGGTGTAAATGAACTTCTCCACCAGCTCGTCGACGTTCAGCCTGCGAAGGGGATGTGTCACAATGCTAACATCCACTAGCAGCGCATCGAACTCTTTGCCCAGGACAAAGTTTCCGGTCAGGTGGTCCATCGCGAGCGCCTTGGCGCCGCCCAAAGTGGCCATGTACAGGGCCTGCTTGTACTTCAGCTGCACGTAGCCGGGGTCCTGGGTCTTCGCCTCTCCCGTTCCGCGAATGTTCTGCTTCTTGAAGAAGTCCAGGTGCTTGGACACATCCAACGCGCGCAGCATGGCGTCCTGGATGGACACCGAGTTGCCGCCCGAAACGTCTGTGCCCAGGCCCACGGTCACGCCGGCTCCAACCAGCCGCTGGACGTCGCACAGGCCCGAGCTGAGCATCGTGTTGGATGCGGGACAATGGGCCACCGAGCAGCCGCGCTTCCTTAGCAGTGCGATCTCGTCGTCCTCCAGGTGCACACCGTGCGCCATTACCGTCTGTAAATGAAAGTTGGAAGATTGTAGGTGCAGGTGGGCAAACTGGAACCGGAAAAACGAACCTTATTGGTGAGCAATCCAGCCTCGTCGTAAGCTGCGGCGTAACTGGTCCCGAAGATCCCCTTGACCACCTCGATCTCGGCCAGATTTTCGCTTATGTGGCTCTGAACATGCAGGTCGAATCGTTTGGCTATGTTGCCCAGGTCCTTTAGCAGAGCCTTGCTGCAGCTGAGGGCGAAACGGGGCGTGATCGTGGGCAGCACCAGCGGACTGCCCAACTTGCCCATCTCCTCCACGAACGCCAGGGTGGCGCTGGCCGACTCCTCCGTTGTCTCCCTGTGCAGAGCAAGAGCAACCCAGTAAGGTCAGCACACACACACACTCACACACAACCCACGTCACACGCGGTACTCACACGTAGAAGGCGGGACTGTTGCAGTCGGAGCAGACCTTGCCCAAAAGCGCCCGCTGGCCTTGGCGCACCGCCTCCCGTGCCAGGATCAGCGTCGATTCCAGGTGGTTGGTGGCGAAATAGGATGCCAGGGTGGTGCCACAGCGCAACGTTGCTTCCTGGGTAAACAATTAAACTAGTAGTAGTATTTTATTACCATTATCAGCAAGCGAAAGCGAACGCTTGTGCGTTTTGTGCCACGCAAAACTGATAAACTGATAAGAAGTGTAAATGATGCTTACGACAACGCTGTGGTAGACCTCTTGGGCGAACTGCTGGTCGGAGAACTTGGCCTCCAGCGGGAAGGTGTAAGTGTTCAGCCAGTCGAGGAGTGGCATGTCCAGTCCCAAGCCCACTTGCGCAAACTGCGGTGCGTGGATGTGGCAATCGACGAAGCCCGGCATGAGGAACTGGTGCTCCGACAGCCGAATCTCGGCCAGATTCTTGGCCTGCAGCGAGTTGCTCGTCAGCCACGCCTGGTAGTCATGACCCACTCCTATTATCTGCGGGTTAAAAAGCATATTAGATCACGGTTTTATTGTGGAAAGTGGCTATGAAGGACACCTTTCCCTTGTCGTCCACTGCCAGGAATCCGCTCTCGAAGGACTCGAACTCGCTGAAGGACTTGGTGTGCACAATGGTTCCCAGGAAAACAGTTGCCATGTCGAAAGTATCGTTGTGGGCACGGCACCAACGTGTTTTGAAACGTGTTTCCGATCGCACCTCGCAGAACGCATTGAATTCGATTAGCTCAACAAGTATTTAAATTGTCGCCAAGGTGCACGCGTCTCGCTGTGAATGCCGCCTAATAAATTGTACGGAATGACACTTACTTAAAATTACCCTGAAGATTGATCCGTACATTGCGCGTCACTTAAATAGGTACACAGCCTTAGGAAATAATGCGAATTTCGGAAAAGGTTTGATTTATTTTGCTACATTGTCTGCTTTTAAATGGATAAACTAAACCCAAACAAAAAAAAAGAAGAGAAATTTCGGCAAGCCGATGTTTATATAACCTTGCATTTATAACAATTAATATATTTTTTCATTTTGTGATATGAAACCTAACCAAATCAATTGTAGAATATTTCATTTAATCACTTCCACGCTCTTGTGGCGATACTTTGTTTTCTTTTTTTACACTCACAATAAAAGTAATACTGTGTTTATACTCACAAAATAAATAAATATTCATATTTGTTTGGTATATATTTATTCGTTCAACATCTGTCGATACCGAGTAAACTTTTTAACTCTTCAAACTTTCTACGCTAAATAGATGTCAGATTTTTGATAAATTAAAATTAATATTTTTAATACTTTTTAATCATTAAAATAACACTTAAAAATTGTATTTATTTTTATTTATAAAAGTAAAAAATAAAAGGTATTTATAATTAAGACTCATAATAATAATAATTCTGAAAATGTGCCAAATTAAAAAAGGATTTCATAATAACAGTTTATAAACTTACGCTGCTTTAGTTATAACTAGAATCTGCTTGGTAAATCTCAAATCGAAAAGTCTTTTAAAATCTCGCCGTCGAAACGAACAGGCAGGCATTAACTGAAGACACATAGGTTTAAGTTAAATATTCTACGCTTTTATATGAATTTTTCCTTTTATTTTAAGGTCCATACATAGTCTAATAGTGCTAGAAAGAAAACGTAGCTTTGGTCCACGGAGTTTTTTTTAATTTATTTTCGATCTTTGTTGGGGGTTTTATAAAAAAGCTTTTTTCAAGCGCAAAATTTGTAGATAATTTTATTGTCTATTTCTTCACAGCTCCCATCCGACTGGCGTCCTGACTGGGATAGGGTATTTGGCCAGGTGGCGGAGGAATATTTATGGAATCGAGCCCCACACCCGAGGTAGACGCGGCTGTGGAACTGGCGTTTCCGTAGGGCGCTGCGTAGGTCGGCTGGCCGTACATCTGGTATGCCGACGCCGGGACCAGATTCGAAGGCAGCTGGTGCAACTTCATGCCGGCGGGCATGACATTGATCTGCTCCTGACGCAGATTGAAGTAGTCGTTCGGCTTGGCGCTGGGCGGCGGAATGCCGGCCACATCGAAGCGTCTGTCTGTCTTGGCGGCGGTGCCCTGTTTCGCCTGCGAGTGTGCCCACTTGATGCTCACCTTCCGGCCCTGGATCACCAGCTTATTGAACGTTCGCTCGGCGGCCAGTTCGGCAGCGCTCCGTTTGGTGTACTGCACAAACGAGCACTGCTGGCGTGGCACCAGCGCAATGGAACGGATTTCACCAAACTGGTAGAACTGATCACGCAGCTCTGGCTCCGTTATCTCCTCGGGAAGATTACCCACGTACAGCGTCGTGATGTTGCGGTCCTCCGGCGGCTCGAGGGTGGGCAGCGAGGCGGCCCGTTTCATGATCTTCTCGGCCACGGGATCATTGCGTCCGTAGTACCTGTCCTTGATGTTCTGCTCGCACAGCGGATCGTCCGGCTCGTTGGGCTTGTCGTGGCGATAGGGGCACTCCTCGCCACGCTTGCACTCGCCCTTCACCCAGAAGGAGCAGATGTGCGGCCTGTTCCGCTTGTAGTAGGGTGCCGTGCGCGCCAGCTTCGAAAGCATTTCGTTGGCGGCGAGGGATCGGCCGACCGCTCCGGCCGCTTCGGTGCCGTCACCGTCCTGCAGCTGGGCGTCTATGTTCTGGATGTAGTACTCCTTGTTCACGTCGCTTTGCGGCATATTGTCCGCCACTTTGAGGGCGGCGTCGCGCACCTGAATGGGAAGGCCGTACTCCAGGTCGAGGAGGCAGGTCTGGCATACGTTCTTCAGGCGCGCACACGTCTGGCAGATCTCCGTCTTTTTGAAGCGCATCCGGGCGCCAGGACACCATCTAAATATGGTGAACGGTCGCGTGCAGATCTTGCACTCCTTTCCGAAACGCTCTTTTATCATCCGGACGTAAGGATTGTCGCCCAGGCAAGTCTGGCACAGGATAGGGAACTCGGCGTCCTCCCAGTTCTGCCGATTGTAGGTGTTTGTGGTCTTTGACATGGACATGGCGGCGGCAGGTCTGTCTTCTTTTCTCAAAATCTGAACTAATCCACACAATGCTAACTTTTTTCTTGTCAAAATTGGTGATGGGGTGTATGAACCAACATCGATAACATTATCGATAGCTGTCGCTATCATGAGTCTGATTGGTTATCCACGTAGTGTCAAAGCGTACAGAAAGGGAAATAAAATCTATTCTATCTTGTTTGGCTGCGATATTTAGCTGATTTTATCGTTACATGTATTTCCATTTTTAATATGGGTAATGTCAATTATAAGACGAGATGCAAGTGCCAACCTACTTGGCCCCTTGGAAGAGCGTATTACGTTGCAATGCAGAAAATTGTATATATGTTCGATCAGCGGCCAAGTCCTCTGTCTATCCGCTTTTACGCATTTTTGTCTCTCAGCTTTAAAGCTTTCTAAAAAAAACATTATAAATTAATTTGTTTCGGGCAAAAAAAAAATAACGCCAAAACGCAATGCAAGTGTAAACAGCACCTAACTCCACAACTGCAGTCCATTGTGAACACACACTGCGTGCGTAAGTGGATGCTGGCTGTAATGGAAACACTTTGGGTATTTGTGTAGCTCAAAACGCGAGAATACCTTGTAGTGGAATCACCTTGTTTTGAAATCATTATATTACGGTTATTAATGCTCGTGTATGTTTAGTATATTTTTGTGGCTGCTAGTTGCGAAACGGGCACACTTTGCTGGGGTTTGTTTACAATCCGGCAAAAGAAAAATAAAAACATACTCGGAATTTCGAAACAATGTCACAGGTTAAGCGGTACCGCAAATCCTCGAAGTCATCCGATGACGGCGAACAGGACAACGATGACTACGTGCCGTACGTGCCGGTGAAGGAGCGGAAGAAGCAGCACATGATGAAGCTGGGCCGGGTGGTGCAACTGGCCTCGGAGACGTCGCAACCCAAGTCCTCGAGCGAGAATGAGAACGAGGACGACTCGCAGGGGGCCCACGATGCCGAGACTTGGGGCCGGAAGTACAACATCAGCCTGCTGGACCAGCACACGGAGCTGAAGAAGATTGCGGAGGCCAAGAAGCTCAGTGCCGTGGAGAAGCAGCTGCGCGAGGAGGAGAAGATCATGGAGAGCATCGCCCAGCAGAAGGCGCTGATGGGCGTGGCCGAGCTGGCCAAGGGCATCCAGTACGAGGAGCCCATCAAGACCTCCTGGCGACCGCCGCGCTACATTCGCGCCATGTCGGAGGAGGAGCGCCAGAGCATACGCCAGCAGCTTAGGATCCTCGTGGAGGGCGAGAACCCAAGTCCGCCCATTCGCAGTTTCCGCGAAATGAAGTTCCCCAAGGGCATACTGAACGGCCTGGCGGCCAAGGGCATCAAGACGCCCACCCCCATCCAGGTCCAAGGCCTGCCCACTGTGCTGGCGGGACGCGATCTCATTGGCATTGCCTTCACCGGCTCTGGCAAGACCCTGGTCTTCGTGCTGCCCGTCATCATGTTCGCCCTGGAGCAGGAGTTCAGCCTGCCCTTCGAGCGCAACGAGGGCCCCTACGGCCTGATCATCTGCCCGTCCCGCGAGCTGGCCAAGCAGACGCACGAGATCATCCAGCACTACAGCAAGCATCTGCAGGCCTGCGGTATGCCCGAGGTGCGCTCCTGCCTGGCCATGGGCGGGCTGCCGGTCAGCGAGGCGTTGGACGTGATCTCGCGCGGCGTTCACATCGTGGTGGCGACACCCGGACGTCTCATGGACATGCTGGACAAGAAGATCCTCACGCTGGACATGTGCCGCTACCTGTGCATGGACGAGGCTGACCGGATGATTGACATGGGCTTCGAGGAGGACGTGCGCACCATATTCTCCTTCTTCAAGGGCCAGCGCCAGACGTTGCTCTTCTCGGCCACCATGCCGAAAAAGATCCAGAACTTTGCCCGCTCTGCGCTGGTGAAGCCGGTCACCATAAATGTGGGTCGTGCCGGAGCGGCGTCCATGAACGTCACCCAGCAGGTGGAGTACGTGAAGCAGGAGGCCAAGGTGGTGTACCTGCTGGACTGTCTGCAGAAGACGGCGCCGCCCGTGCTCATATTCGCCGAGAAGAAGCAGGACGTGGATTGCATTCACGAGTACCTGCTGCTGAAGGGCGTGGAAGCGGTGGCCATACACGGCGGCAAGGATCAGGAGGAGCGGTCGCGGGCCGTCGACGCTTATCGCGTGGGCAAGAAAGACGTGCTGGTGGCCACCGACGTGGCCTCGAAGGGCCTGGACTTTCCCAACGTGCAGCATGTCATCAACTACGACATGCCGGACGACATCGAGAACTATGTGCATCGCATCGGACGTACGGGGCGCTCCAACACCAAAGGACTGGCCACCACGCTCATCAACAAGATCACCGAACAGTCGGTGCTGCTCGACCTGAAGCACCTGCTCATCGAGGGTAAGCAGCAGGTGCCCGATTTCCTGGACGAGTTGGCGCCAGAGGCCGAGCACCAGCACCTCGACCTGGGCGACTCCCACGGCTGCACCTACTGCGGTGGCCTGGGTCATCGCATCACCGAGTGCCCCAAGCTGGAGGCCGTCCAGAACAAGCAGGCCTCCAACATTGGGCGTCGCGACTATCTGTCGAATACTGCCGCGGATTACTAAGCTAGTGGCCAGCCACCTAATTATAAGAAGGTTACTACGACGCAGGAATAAACTAGAGATGGAGATTAGTTTACATACATATATATGTACGGACGTACGTTTCTGGGATTTTTCAAATTTGTTTTCACTTTGTTTTCGGCTTGTTGCTTATCGCACGAAGGGAGCTTTGCTTATCAATCATCCAGCAACCGCAGAGAGCGATCGTGAGCGCGATTCGGGTTCGGGCAAAATTTTATAAAAGCAAAGTCGAGCTTTGGCTTTCGTTTAGTGTCTGAGACAGAGCTCTGTCTGTCGTTCGATCGCACCGGGATCGTCTTTAAGTCGCGCTGATCGTATTGACCTACAAGTAAGTAGTGTTTTATCTGTGTTTTAAAGTCTGTTTATCAAGCCATTATGCTCTAAGATTGTACCACAAATCAGTGTAACCCTAAAGTACATGGTAAAAGCAAGGAACAATTAGCAAGCCCAAATAAGTACAATTCAAGGCTGATTACATAAATGCTAATGCAATAATTTTTCTATAGATCAACAGCATTCAATGTTATCATTTTGTTGAGCTCATTTCGTTAAATTGGATGCTGATTGGGCTTATCAATTGTTTTGAAAAATATAAACTGAACTACGGTCGAAACCTTTGATTCTACGGCCATACAAATGTCAAACAAAAACGGAAATTCCAATTATAAAATCCAACAATTATAAAGTCTTAAAAATTAAGTCTAAAATATTTGTAAATAATGAGTGCCTGCTTGGTTGACTCTTTATTAAGTGTGATTGATTGGGTAGCTGTCATCTTTTAACCACACTATTAGCTTGACTGTATATACACACATTCGTGTGGACATAGTACCATTTAGGCATAATTCATATTCAAAACTCGTGAAGAGTATGTGTACTGCCTGCCGAATAAAGGTAAACTTGAAAATAATACATTCTAGTTGTTCAAAGACACATATTTTGTTCTTTTGAAACTTAAGTAAGGAGCCTCACCATCAACAATCAGATATATTTGACTCTCGTTTATCTTCGATTCCATTCCCACGTAGCAGCACTAATTTAAACTTAATTTCTTTTATTTTTTGGGTTATGACCCAGTTGCAAGGAAGGGCTAAATGGGCTTGCCGCTCTCGACATACGCAATCATGATATCATGCCCAGACCAGTCAAGTCGCAAAACTAATTACCTGAATGACAATTTGTGAAAACATGCGTGCCGCCTTTTTATTCACATCTTTGGCCTTATGCTCCGATCAAATAGCACACTGTCGATGAGAAAATGATATCATTCGAGATGGGAGCTAATAGGAACAACCACTTTTATAGCATTTACTAGTAACTTATTTCCATAATACTTATTTAATGATTCTATTAGGAAGAGAGCTCAAACAAGTTTGGGGGAGTTTTAATGGCCGCGACTCCCAAACTTTGTTCATTGGGTGGCCAAACACCTGTGAGCCATCGCACATAGAAGTGTAAAGATTGCTCTTAACTCACCTGATGCTTCTCTTAATTACAGCTGAAATCAGCAGGAAAAATCGTCTCTGTTTGATCTGGAACAAACGCGGCGATAAAAACAAAGGCAAATACATAGTAACGAATACCCAAACACACAAAACACATCGGGCGTATACGCTATACGCGGCTTGTTATATTTATCGCAACAATAAACAAAGCACCCGGGATTCTCCTCGCCGCAACCGCCGTCGAACCGAGAAAGAGGCAACTCGAAATGGCAGCGCCTGGCGTCGTCGGCATGGCAGTCATCTCCAGGTAAAGCAAGTGAACAGTTCGCTGTCTAGAAAGCTCCGCCAGAGTTAAAATTTAATAGAGTTAATCAGAGCAATAATTAAACAAGATCACTCACCGCAGTACCAGTACCAGTTTGAAGTAGAGTAAGTGCGTAGAGCTATGGAATAAGTCATACGGCGTCTAAAATATTCGCCTTCAAAGCTTGTGACAAATTTGGTGTGTCTATTACTTTATGGCTTTTTATGGGCATGACTCACATGTAAACAGACGTATGTATTTAGTTCGGAAAGAAGAAAACTCAATGTGCAATTAATGTGTTTGCCCTTGCATTATCACTCCTTCAATTTTTATAGGAATATCATATTATAAGCTATCGACAATATAGTCCAATCGGCTTTTTATACCCTAACGAAGGGTAGAACAATGTTAAGAAGAAGTTTAAAAAATGAGTTTAAAAATATTCAAATAAAATCATTAGTCTGTCCTGTAAAATAATATTTATATCCAATGATTTGCTATTGCAAAAGTAATTCAAATTGTAAACAAATCGATTTTCCAGATGCTTTGTATATCTTCCATTTAATATACCATTTAATTTAATATACAGAAAGTCATCTTTAACTAACTTAAAATCTTCCAAAAAAACAACATAAAATGTTTGGTTGTTTTCAATAAAAGAGTAAGTACCAAACTAGCACAGGCTTCCAGAAAATTTAAAAACATATTACGCGAATTCTTGAGTCCCCATAATCAAACAATGACACTCAAACTTAGCAATCTGCTTTCAGCCTGCTCGTGTTGGTGGCACTCTCGTTCAGTCCCTGCTCCGCCGGCACCTTCAACGCCCGTCCCGCCTTCCCCGTGCAGAGCGGCCAGATCCAGCCCAGCGGCCAGAACAACAAGCAGCCCGGCAGACGCGTCATGAATCCCGCCTTCGCCAACGCCGGTCGCACTCCCGGCCTGGAGATCTGGCGCATCGAGGTGAGTCATCGGTTTTGGGTTTTGGGTTTGGGATTGGGTCTAATTTCACTCGCTGGCGTTCGGAGAAGCATATAAATAGCTGGCGCTTGTTCACATCACTTGGAACGAGTTCGCAGCCCACGCACGAATGCGTTGCTCATGCAGTGGCTTCTACCAGCGGCCTGAGGAGAAAGGGGCGGGAGAAAGTGGGTGGGACGGCGGACGACGATGCTTTTTCCCAGCTGGACGGCTCGTGCCACCGGCCAGTGGATTTTCCCTCCTATTCACTGAACTCGCGCTGTGTGGCTGCCATGTGTTCATAAATACATTCATTCTCCCGTCTGCGTATATGCAAAATGTATACATTAAGTGGCGGATTTTTGTTTTTTAATTAACTCGGACATCAGCCAAATTTATTAGGTTCGAATTGGGATGCTTTTGTTTATATCGCCTAGCATGTGGTTCCAGGAATACATTTTTAGAATCGAACGAATTGACTGTGGAATAACTAAACTTTTTTCTCTACTGTTCTTTTTTTTTACCCTTTCCAGAACTTCGAACCCGTCGCCTACCCAAAAAATAACTATGGAAAATTCTTCACTGGAGATTCGTTTATTGTTCTTAATGTAAGTATATTTATCTATTTTTATTATAATTTATCTAATTTTTACTGAAGAGGTGTAAACACCTGGTTGATTATTTATTTGCCAAAAAAATCAGAAGGTGTGACCCATTTGACAATCAGCTAAACTTTAAGTAGAACACCAAAGCCAACAAAAAATTATTTTGAGGCTTTCTGGTTCGTTTCCTGAGTTTTACCGAAAAATTTCGAAATATTTTTAAATATTTTAAAATATAGTATGGTTTTAAAAGTTTTAAGAAAACAGTTTCTAGTTGACGAATCTAAGCTAAAGACTTTTCACTCAATTTTATATAAAATTACTTGTTTGTCAGATCAGTTGTTCATTATTAAAAATTTTATTGATAGAGTTTAAATTAATTCTCTTAACATTTATAAGCAAGTAAGTAAAGCTGTGTCACTTGATCCATTCGATAAATATTAAAGTCATTAGAGTTTCCATGAAGTTTTCTAATTTATTTAAAAATTTTGAAAAAATGGCGACAAAGGCTGTTTGTTTGCAAATTGTCCAAAAATTGATTTGCACAAATTCGATTACAAATTTCAAACATGTTTTATGAAAGTAGTAGCCTTCAAGCTAACTCACAATTTATAAGCCAGTACGTAAGACTAGGTCTGTTGATTCACTCGATCACTTGCTTGGAAACAACAATAGAGTGAAAATAATTGAGAAACATTAGAGTTTCCAAACCAAGTGAGTGTTTTCAATTTATTTTAGGGGTATCCCCTAAAATAGTAAAAAAATGCCTTCAAAGGTTTATTTTTTTGTCCAAAAATTGCTAAGCCGAAATTCCATTTCAAATTTCAAACATGTTCTTTGAGAAAAAGTAGCCTTCTTAGATAGTTTTGTTCAAATAAGTTTAGCATCTGACTTAGCTCAATGCACATAATACTCGATTTCTAAATTGTATTATTCAAAAACCTCTTTTCCACTCAAGACAATTGAAAACAAGAAGGACAAACAACTCTCCTGGGACGTGCACTTCTGGCTGGGTTCCGAGACCTCCACCGACGAGGCCGGAGCAGCGGCCATCCTCACCGTCCAGTTGGACGACCTGCTGAACGGAGGCCCAGTCCAGCATCGCGAGGTGCAGGACCACGAGTCGCAGCTCTTCCTCGGCTACTTCAAGAACGGTAAGAGTGACGGCTAGACGGATCGAAGTGTCTGGAGCTCCCCATTAACCTGTCCTCCGATGCAGGCATTCGCTACGAACAGGGCGGCGTGGGAACTGGTTTCAAGCATGTGGAGACCAATGCGCAGGGCGAGAAGCGTCTGTTCCAGGTGAAGGGCAAGCGGAACGTGCGCGTCCGCCAGGTGAACCTGTCCGTGTCGTCGATGAACAAGGGCGATTGCTTCATTCTGGACGCGGGCAGCGACATTTACGTTTACGTGGGCTCCCAGGCCAAGCGCGTGGAGAAGCTGAAGGCGATCAGTGCGGCCAACCAGATCAGGGACCAGGACCACAACGGCCGTGCCCGTGTCCAGATCGTCGATGACTTCAGCACCGACTCTGATAAGCAGCAGTTCTTTGATGTGCTGGGATCCGGCTCCGCCGGTCAGGTGCCCGAGGAGTCGACCGCCGACGAGGACGGCGCGTTCGAGAGAACGGACGCCGCCGCCGTTTCGCTGTACAAGGTGAGCGATGCCAGCGGCAAGCTGCAGGTGGACGCCGTGGCCCAGAAGCCACTCACCCAGGCCATGCTGGACACGCGCGAGTGCTTCATCCTGGACACCGGCTCCGGCATCTTCGTGTGGGTCGGCAAGGGAGCCACGCAGAAGGAGAAGACGGACGCCATGGCCAAGGCGCAGGAGTTCCTGCGCACCAAGAAGTACCCGGCCTGGACCCAGATCCATCGCATTGTGGAGGGCGCCGAGTCAGCTCCGTTCAAGCAGTACTTTGCCACCTGGCGAGATGCGGGCATGGCGCACACCCGCCTCATCCGATCGGCCCTGGACATTGGGTCCGATGAGTCGCTGGACCTGGACGAGATCGACGCTGTGGTCAGCCAGCTGAAGAAGAGCGGCGGTCGCGCCTTTGGCTTCATGCCCGACCATGGTCAGAACAGCATCGAGACCATTACCCAGTATGTGGCAAAGTCCGGATCCGACGAGGTCCTGGTCAACACCGTTGCCTTCGAGGAGAACCTGCCGCTGTTGGGCTTCGGCTCCTATGTCCTCACCTACAACTACGAGGCCAACAATGGCGATACGGGCTCCATAACCTACGTGTGGCAGGGATTAAAGGCCCCCGTCGCCGTCAAGGAGCGAGCCTTCGAGGAGGGTCTGGCTCTGGCCCGGCAGAAGAACGGTCTGCTGGTGCTGGCCAACCAGGATCACGAGCCGCGCCACTTCTACAAGATCTTCAAGGGCAAGCTGCTGACCTCGTACACCGCACTGCCGGTGACGGCGCAGCTGTTCCGCATCCGCGGCACCGTCGAGAGCGACATCCGGGCCAGCGAGGTGCCCGCCGACAGCTCATCCTTGGCCTCGGGCGATGCATTTGCCCTGCTGTCCGGCAAGTCGCACAAGATCTTCGTTTGGAACGGCCTTGGTGCCTCCGCCTTCGAGAAGAGGGCAGTCGTGGAGCGCTTCTCCACCTACTGGGACGACGCCGAGCTGGAGCACGTGGAGGAGGGGGCGGAGCCGGAGGAATTCTGGGAAGAACTGAACGGCGAGGGACAGTACGATCGCAGCCTGGGCGACCTTGGGGCTCCGCTGCTGGAACCGCGCCTCTTCCACTGCCGCCTGAGCTCCGGCGGACGTGTGCGGGTCGAGGAAGTGGCCAAGTACGAGCAGGAGGATCTGGACTTCGACGACGTCATGCTGCTGGACGCCGGCGACGAGATCTACCTCTGGGTGGGCTCTGGCGCGTCTGAGGAGGAAAATGCCAGTATTCTGGACATGGCCAAGGTGGGTTCATTGCACACCATCGCTCGGGTCTCCACCATCTAATTCTGTATTCCCACTTTGTCCACAGCATTACATCCGAGTGGAGCCCACCGCTCGCTCCATGGACACGGTGAGCATCATTCGTGTTCCCCAGGGACAGGAGCCGCGGGTTTTCAAGCGCATGTTCCCTGGCTGGGAGGACAACTACTGGAAGGTAGGTGATCCGAAGCAGGTCTCCGGCTAATCTTCGTTAAATTACTTGTTGCTTTTGACCCATTATCGATTGATTCTCATCACCGTTGCATTATGAACATAATCTGAGCTTACTCACGCCATTAAACGTACTAACAACTATCGCCAAACGCCATCTGTAAGTTGATTGATAACACATTTACCCATGCTTTTCGATGTGAAATCTGCACTATATACATATATGGTTTTTATTAATTTTGGTATCACCTTTTTGTTTTGACAACCTGCAGGATTTGCCCAGCTACGATGATGTGAAGCAACAGATTATCGATGCCAACAATGAAGTCTAGAGCTTCGGATTCAATTCTCAGCAAAATTAACCAAAAATTTGTTTGTTTTTGCCCTTCTAAAAAATGTATCTAATGTAATTTTATAATAAATCAAACAACTTTACAATGTACCCACAATGTCACGGAATATATTTGGGAAGTCACTGCCATTAGTTTTGTTACACTATTTATACACCCTTGCAGGGGTTTATATAATTGACTTGCTGAAGTTTGGTTCTTTTTCTATTTAAAATACAACAAATTATTAATTAAAAAACTTAATTAAGAATGTTTGAGTTGATCTTATGAACATTGTCAACCGAAGAAATTTCTGTATCACCCCGATTAACTTAAATTCTTGAATTAAAATAAGTTTATTTTTGGTTTTATAGCTCCTAATATGACCTTTTTCAATAACAATTTCACTTGATGGCTGTTTTGGTTTTTAGCAATGATCAATCAATCAATCAATCCATAGTCGTTACGATTAAGACCAATTGGTTTCTAAGTGTAAGTCTTACTGATGTTTATTAAATTCGCTTTTGACAACACAATCAAGCTGTCTAGACAGGATCGGCCCACACAGTCTGTTCGATCCAGTCCAGAAAGGACGATACCCGGGTGTAAACCGAGGGGTAGCTACTGCGACAGAACACCCCGTACGAGGTGATGCCTATGAGGTGGTAGTGGATTCTGTGCCGCCGTCGGCGACCGGGAAGATTGAGTTGCAGCGGACCCCCCGAGTCGCCCTGGCAGGTGTCCCTGCTGAGGATGTAGTCCTGGCCGCAGATCTGGCTCTCCACAACTCCGTTGGGGGTCTCCGCGATGGGCGGCAGCTCGCTGTTGCACTCGGCATTGGGTACTATGGTCAGGTTGAGGTTCGTGAGGCGGTTCGTCATCGCCTTGGCGAAGTTCGTGGCTCCGTATCCCATGGCGAAGGCAATCGTGGTGGGCAGCTCGGGGAAGACCCAGAGACGAATGGGCCTCACGTACTCCGTTAACCTGCCAGAAACGTGTTAGCAAACAGGGGAGGTCAGCGTGGTGCTTTCTAGAGCCCTTCGCAAGTTGAGTTTAAAATCAACTTCGAATTAGCGCTTGATCTGTTTGTCTTTGACCTTGGAATCATAGGTATGGAATCATGTGATCATCGACTAACAGCTCCTTTTATGACTCGTTTGAAACAGTTCAGCTCGAGTAGGTTACAAAAAAAGCAAACAATTCAATCAAGTTCAAATTACTTCAACAGAAAGAGCTCATGTCAAATATCATTGGTGAGCAAAAATTACGGGCGAGTTCTCGTTCAACTTTGAGCTTCTTTAAAATAATTAAAATATGTATTGCAAGCTCAGCGGATTCAGACGCCAATTTTTTGAGTAACCGCGCGAATTCTTTGGCTAAAGATGGTCTAATATATTCTTAAAGGCGGGAATGATTGCCAACGGCGGCAAAATATCCTAGCCAACGGTCGCCTAGGCTTATAAATTCTTAAGAACTCGCGGTCAGGGATCAGGGAAACCATTTTCGCAAATCCTGGTTGTCAGTCCAGACCAAACAGTCCAAACAAGACCTCCTTAAGCACAATAATTACTAGTCATACATAATAAAGAATGTTTGTTACTATTAATGATTTGAAGAATTTGCAAACAATTTTTAATAATATTTAAAGAAATCCCTAATTTCTTTGATAAGGTTGCCTTTTCATCGTGACATTTCGAAGCACCTATTGAAAGATTGAGCTACTCGAACCCATGATTCCATGAGCTTATGATCCCAATGAGCCCTTTATTTCGATAGAATCAAATAGCTTTTGCTGAATGGGTAGTCAAAGGGCTCTTCAAGTTAACTTGTTTACTCACTCCACTTCCCGTTCCAGTTTTAGCAAGGCAATGTCGTCGTAGTACAGCTCCTTGCTGTACTTGGGGTGTCTGATTATTTCCTTGATCCTCATCAATTGGGTCTCCGCCGGGCGTTCCGCGGCGACCAGGTTGAGGTCCCCAATACGCACCCACTTGGGAGGCATCCTATGGGGTCAAATTACATTCACAGTCACGGGATTTGGGGTCAGAGGTCAGGGGCTTTGCTAGAATGCTCACTCGTTAATGGAAGTACAGTGGGCTGCGGTGAGCACGAATCTCTCGCTTATCAGGCTGCCGCCACACTTGTACTCGATTCGCCCTACGTCGCCCTCGAAGCCCACGGCTGCCTGCGAAAACAGATTGGATTGGATTTGGATTTGGATTTGGATTTGGGCCCTCAGCTTGAGCTTATCAGCTCCCGATGTGCGTACCATGTGGGGGTATTCACCGGGCCGGGCCAGCACTCGGCCATCGAAGTCCGCGTCGTTGGCATCGGCGGCCACTGCGGTGTCGTTGGGGAAGATCCGCTCCACGTACTCGGAGTATTCTAAGGGGACAGACACAGGCGGTGACTCACGGATGCACGAAAGCACGAATGCACCACGAACCACTTACTCTGCTCACAGAGGCGGGGTCGCTTGTTTTTCTTCTTTCTAAAGCCGCCGGGGGGCCGGGGAAAGGGCTGGCCCGGCCTTGGGGGCGGTGGGTGGTGCCTGTGCTTGGGCTGGGGCAGATCCTCCACGCGGTCGAACTGAAAATCGTTTATGCGGAACCACCGCTTCTCCTCCGACTCCGACTGTTCCGGCCCGGCACCGAAGTCCGGATCCGGGAAGACTATGTCGCTGTCCAGGGGAAAGCGAATGGATCCCGGCTCGGGGGGCGGAGGGGGCGGCGGGCGCTGGCAGTAAATGGGGGTCAGAGAGCCCCAGAGCCCCAAAATTGATACGAGACAGAGACAAACAGCGCGATCCATCTCGTAGGAGTGTCGGGAGCGGACTGAACTGAAGCTTTCGCCGCTCGCCGTGAATCCCAAGAAGCCCAAGTCGCTCCGCGTTATCAGCGGCCGTTTAAAATTCACAAAAATTCACAAAATTTAACGTTATTTATTTTCGGAGAGCACTAAATGTTGATTCTGAGGCTCTGTGGGTTAACGATACTGGCCAGCTGCGGCGCATGCACTTGCGTGGTGCCTCCGACCTGTTCGTACTGGGCGATGATGGCCCTCTGAATGCTCTCCAAGTCCTGGTTGTTCGAGTAGCGCAGGAAGGACACGGACGGATCATTGCCCGGCGATGGGGCGGGAGCTCCTAGGGCCATGGCCATCAGGGTGATCAACACTACAAGTAAAACCTAAAAACACACAGTTTGGGCACGCATTAGCTACTTTTACGCTGATCGAGTTATTTGAACTTACGCCGATGGTCTTCATTCTATCGCAGACCTCGAAAAAGACTAAACCTCGCGCCTGAAGCCGACCTCCCTTTTATATCTCAAAACCATCCGCATCTAGCATTGTGATAATTTGCAAAGATGAACTTGAAAAACTTGTATATAAGTTTATCTATAAGTGATAGAGAACATTCGTATCGTGAACCATACGAATTTTTCTATTTCTTCCTTAAAAGTCAATTAAAAAATTATTTGTTAATATTTTATAAATATCAAATAGACACATTTAAATTAAGACAAATATTTTTAGTTTGCACGTCGTTGCTGTTTTACAATTTTAGAAGTTCAATGACTGGTGCTTCACTGTATATACTGTATTATACTAAACACGTTTTCGAATTGTTGCGAAAGGTCTCTGATTTTCCGTTATGCCTTTTGATCTGATGCCTAAACTTATTCATATATATGAGTGGTTTTTGTACAGACTTAAAACTGGATGAGTTGTTCTGTTATTGTCACATGAAATGAGAAGCTCAAAAAGTATTTAATTATTCCATTGGACAAGTCATTTATATTTAAAGACATTGGTTATAATAATAATAAACATTGTGCCTATAAGCATTTAATTATCACTTAAAAACATATGCTAGTAAAATCGATCGTTTTCACGTTTTTATATTAAGGAAAAACATTTTTAGTAGAACTTTTAGAGAACATTTAAAATAAATTTTTTTCTTTAACTCGTTTGTATATTTTTTTTTTAATTTATTTGTATTTTGATTGTTTTCATGGGAGCTATATAGATATATAGTATCGAAATGATAAGCCATAATTATATCCCGAGGAACTAAGATACATTTTAAAAAACAGGTGTTATGATTTTGTTCCTTTTTATACCCATGCATAGGGTATTATAATTTCAGTCAGAAGTTTGCAACGCAGTGAAGGAGTCATTTCTGACCCTTTAAGAAACTAAATAACATTATGAATGTCTGATACGTGGCTGGGATGTGATTGTGATTGGTGATTGTTCAAAATGTTCAAAAAGAAAATAACTAAATGCCAGCCGAAAGTCAAGCCTCAGTGTCTTTCGAACTATTACTGCTTTGAGTAACCTTAAAAATATTTAAATTAAAAATAATTTTAGCCATGATATAGCAAAAATTCTTTTGATTCTGTAACACGTACTTTTTTTTGTCTCGATTGCGGAATTGACTAAAGTTGAACAATTTTATATAGTTTTTATTTCATTTTATGACGCACTTTACATTTAAAAAAAAAAATGTGATTGCCCACAAATAATCCAAAAATGTTTTAATTAGTGTGAACTCAACTTAATGTATTTTTTATGAGACTGGTTATGAACATTGGGAACAATGACCCGAAAATAATACTAACCACATCACATTCTGGCTGAAAAATGTTATTTGTATTTTAAAATCACTTCAATATATCTGTACCATTTCTCTACAGAATTTCGCAATTTGTAAGAGTATGAGTGGGTATTGCCACCTGTTAAAATAATGCCTAATAAATAAAATAATAATAAAATAACGCCTAATTAAACTCTCTAGATCTTTTTGTACCCAAAATTTCGGTACCATGGCTAGATTGACCCGATCCTGATCAAGAATATACATATTTTAAAGGCTCGCACACGCATTAGTACCGGCTATATTTTATTAGTTGAATGAACAACAAATATTAGTAGAAACCAGCTACTAGTTAAAAAAATTAGATCCACAAAATATGGTTAGTATTTTGTAATGTAAGTAAAGATTGGGACAGCCCAACAAGTGATATTAACTCATTTTGGAACTGGACTTATTGCGCATAAGGTAATCTGACGACTCCCCAATTTGAATAGATTTGCATATCCTCCTACTTACAAATGAGTTAACATTTTGATCCAATTAAAAATGCTTGGGCGTCTTGGCTGCAACTCATCCACCGCTGAGGTGATCGAATTTCCCAATCGCCAGCTGCAATATGTTGTGGAATGCACATTTGCATCTGAGACTGCAGTGCAGTCCGCATCACGTATAAAAGCGGCGACGAGATGCAATCTTGAGCAAAGGAAACCCATCCGCTGCACAGTCCACACAAGTCATCCATCTATCCGGCCTTCTGGTGTGCATCCACAGATACAAATTCAGTATGCGCGCTTTTCTGGTAGGATCATAACACGTCACGTTGCTCTGCTCTCCCCATTGACCAACCCCTTTCCAGATGCTATGCCTTCTGGCCGCGGCTCGAGGCCAGTACGACTACACTCCAGTGTCGCATGCCGGTGACGGCCACGGTGGTCTGATCGGCGGACCCAGCTCCTCCGGCTCTGCCCAGCTCTCGGAGCCCATAGTGCCGGCCAGCGAGTTCACCAAGGAGTTCTTCACCTACAGTGCCCCGGAGCAGGAGTTCGACCCCGGCCACTCCAACGAACAGATAGCCTCCTTGCTGAAGAAGAACCTCCGGGTGCTGTTCATCAAGGGTCCCGAGAACAAGGGTCTGGAGCAGGCGGCGCTCCAGCTGGCCACCTCTGCGTCCGACGACCGCACCGCCATTTACGTGCTCAACAAGCAGCCGGACATCGGCGAGCTGAGTAGCAAGCTCAACCAGATCAAGCAGCAGACCAGCCACCAGCCCGAGGTGCACTTCGTGAAGTACCGCACCCAGAGCGACGCGGAGAACGCCCAGCGCACCATTCAGGCCCAGTACGACCTGCTGCCGGGTGTGTCCAGCAACCACAACGCCGGATCGGGTCCAGTTCTGGACTTTGCCTCCAGGAGCACATCCGCCGGGCAAGTCGATGGCACTGCTCCCGGCGTGATTGCACCATCGTCAAGCGCTTACTTGCCACCTCCTAGCCGGAAGTTTTAGACGTAAGAGCAGCAGTAGATGCAATCCATTTAAAAGTAGTTGTAAATAAAAACATATCTAGTTAGCCAAAACTGGTGAATGTATTTTTTTAGCTTGATGATCGGAAAAACTATAAAGGTATTGGCCAATACTGTAGATGTGGATTCTTTATTAGAACATATAGAACAACATATGAGGTCAAGTAAAAAGTAATCCATTATTTGAACAATAGATGACTTCTGACTGGCGTTAGAAAGATTAGCTTTCGTACTATAAAAGCTTCTTTGAAAATGTTTGTGATCGATAAAACAAACGCTTTGAGAGCTCGATAAATATGGAGACCAGCAAACTCTTTTGCAATATATTATACAAATTTCAGACGCGCAATGCTATTTATATTCAAGATTTGAAAATCATTGTAATATCGTATAGTATTTCTCGTCAAAATTCTTTTTAAATATGGTATTCATATATCTATTAGCAATTTTCTTATTAATAAAATCGCCTAAATCAGTTTATTAGGCGATAGAACTTGACATGAGTTTTATGCGATTTACGACCCAATAAATAAAAATGAAAGTTGTGTTATAAAGATTTGTTTTTCACATCTATTCGATATACAAAAAAACAAGGTCGCTAAAACCAACAACAACAAAAAAGATTCCAAAAAAATTTACGTTTTTTGGCAACATGGTGCGTGCAATGCAGATTTTTATTTCATATATGTAAATTCTGGAACTTAAATTTTTTATCCATCCCTCTAAGAAAGTTACGTTTTTGTTTGTCCTCCACTGAGATTCGAACCCTGGCCTATATATATATTTAAGCAATCCGTATGCGCTCAAATATAGCATTAGTGGCTCAACCAAGAAATTCTGTGCAATCTATTTTAAGAATTCTGTAATAAACTTAATTAAGGAAACGAATTTGACCTACACTTTACCTCAAAAGCTTAAATTTAGTCATTATTAGGTTATTTCTCTAGCGGAAGTCCAAACTTTGATATTTGAGATAACGCAATACGTAAAATGCACTTACAATTTTGGGAAATTTACCTTCAATTAAGGACTCGGTTAAATATAAAAAAAAATATTTTAACTTAAAGTATGTTTTTTTAGGTAACATGATCCATTTAAAGCAACATTATATGTTACACAATATATAAATTTTGGGCAATAAAAAGCCAATTTCTTAAATATTAAAAAATCTTTTTTCTGGTTGTACGTAAAGACGTATGCAAACGCTGTATTTTTAACTTGTCGACACACCTGGATAAAAAAATTTGATAAGCTAATGGGCTGACCCTAAGAAATGTATACAAAATCGTGGGTATATTTCTCCCAAAGAACAAATTTAGGCAATAAAAGGTGTTGGGTAGTGAATGCTACTTTACCCGTAAAACTAAGTAGTTTAATACCTATTTGATCTGATAAGATATCAATATAAGTATTTGAATACCGTTAAAGTTCAAGCAAGAAGAAGTTCAAGCAATTGATGATTTAGACTCGTTGATTATTTTATATTTATTTTAAATAATCATTATTTCATTTTTCTCACTCGTATTTCTTGATAAGTGATATTTAGCTATTTTTATGATTATTACGAGCCAATGCATACACAACACTGTTTTTTCAAGAAGTTTAAGTGGGCTTGAAGACTAGTTTAAGTTGTTAGAACAATTTTTGCATAAAAATATAAAGAATAAAATGAAAAAATAATTTAAAATAAACAAAAAACAAAGCATAATCACTTTCGTTGATTAATTCATATGTTTTAAATGTGGTTTGCCTTTCCTTGTTGTTTTCAAATGTGTTTACGATTTTGTACACCAGACAAATTAATTTATGCATCCACGACCGAGCAAATTTTGAAGCGACATCGAAGCCGGACTGCCCTACTCTTCTCATCGGACGATAATGAATGCAGATCGTTTCCCATAGCTTCGAAGAGCATTCAAATTACTTTCTTTCTGTATCCCAGTTTTGTCAATCGAAGCGGCGCTTCTCCTATTAATATTTTGCATTTAATTATATTCAGCGTTGACAATGGGGAATATGTGGCGATTATTTAAATGTGAGCTCGTCTTCGTTGTCCGTATTAGATAAGATCCCGGACTGTTGAAGCCACTGCATCTCCGCATATGGATCCGTGATTTGGCAACCGGCCAACGGGGTAAGTTACATATTCATAATAGATTCAACCGTTTTATGGTAGTGCCTAAAATATTTTCTTTCTCTGGGGAAAACGAGACCACGAGGCTGGGTCCGATATAAAAACATAGCTAATTCGTAGGCAGGGCATCAGTCGACCCTCGCAGCTCAGACAAAGCTCAGTCCAAAGTGAAAATGAAGCAGTTCGTCGTTCTAATGGTAAGCACACGGCTGCCCGCAAAGGTGCCCCCCCTTCCCCCAGTGACTAACACCTTCCGTTGTCCTTGCAGTGCCTGGCGGCCCTCACCGCAGCCGCTCCCCAGGGATACAAGTACCAGCCCCAACTGCCCGCCCTGCCCATCGGCAACCTGCGTCCGCAGACGCCCCTCTCGCCCAGTGGAATATACTCGGGCGCCCAGGTCGGAGTCCAGGTTCAGCAGCCCGCCATTCAAACGGTGCAGACCATCGCCGCCGCTCCAGCTCCTGCCCCAGCTCCTGTTCCCGCTGCTGCTCCCCTGACCCTCTCCCTGCCCATTGCCCTGCCCCAGCAGCAACTGATCAGCACTGTGCAGCACCAGCAGCAGCAGCAGCAGCAGCAGCAGCAGCCCCAGCAGATCGTCTACCAGCAGCCGCAGCTGCAGCAGCAAATCGTGCAGACGCAGTACGTCCAGCGACCGGCCATCGTCACCAAGGACATCTACATCCACTCCGCACCCGAGGAGACGGAGGAGCTGCGCCAGGACGAACCCCAGCTGGAGAGTGTGCCCATCCGCAAGAACTACCGCATTGTGTTCATCAAGGCGCCGTCCCAGAACCTGAAGCACACCGCCGCCGCCCTGAAGCGGGCCCAGTCCAGCAACGAGGAGAAGACCGTCATCTATGTGCTGAGCAAGAAGCCCGATCTGGCCGAGATCCAGCAGCAGCTGCAGGTCACCCAGTCGGAGGCCAAGGTGCACAAGCCCGAGGTCTATTTCATCAAGTACAAGACCCAGGAGGAGGCCCAGCGCGCCCAGCAGGAGATCCAGGCCCAGTACGATGCCCTCGGCGGTGCCACCCACATCTCGGACGAGGGCGTGGCCCCCATCACCAGCGTCTCGAGCGGCTCCCTCAATCTGGGCAGCTTTGGGCAACAGCAGCAGCCTCAGGTGCAGACCATCGTCCAGCCGCAGGTGCAGGTGCAGTTGCCAGTCCAGCAGCAGAGCTCCTTCGTCCAGCAGTCCACCTCGTTTGCCACCTCTGTGCCGTCCAGGAAGTACGTGCCGGCCAAGACTTTCAAATGAGTCGCACCTCTAGTCCACACACTATCGCTTTCATTTTCAATTCCCCGGCAGTAGCTCATTTTAATTTATTGTAAATGCGAATGTCGACAAAAATAAATAAATATTTTTAAACGAAAACTTAACAATGTTTTGGGGAAATTAAACTTAAATGAGTTGTTAATGCAGCCATCTCTAAAAGGAAAACTAATTATATCTTAAGTCGCATATTTTGTGATATGCCAAAAATGGTCATTTAGCAAGTTATGTAAACATTTATGGTCTCTTTCTCTTAAGACCATATTATCAGTTAGCAGCAGCCCTAATAATCAAGTTTTCATGTTGCACAACCATTGTGATGTAAGACCAATCATATGCTAATTCATGCGACCGGTTTCCCCGCTGCTCTTCTCTGTCACTGATCATTGGACTAATGGATGTGGTAATATATATTATTTTTGACAAATTTGTGACTTTTTTGTCGTGCTGCAATCCCTTTTTTGTTTGAATATTGCTACAGTTTTGGATTACTGTCATCGGGGAATGGCCAAATGAACAAATTTATTTATCTAAATATATACAAGATTGAATACTTAAAAGTACGACAGTTCTTGCGCCTAAGTGCGCAGATGGGCGGGCAGGTAGTTGTTGACCAGGTTCCCTGCAGGACCTCCACTGGCACGCTGGTTGTCCAGGACGCCAATCACGGACGTGACAGGAGCAACTCCCTCGTCGGAGATTTGCGAGGTGCCGCCGAGCTGGTCATATTGGGCTGAAAGTAGAGCGAAACGTGGTCAGAGTGGATGGAATTAATACTAGGTCAGCAAAAAAGACCCAAAACACCAACGCCATAAAAGTTTCTTGCATACTGATGAGCTCGCTAAGAGTGTCGCATGTCATCGGATCGCGAGTTGTGGGTGCTGCTCACCTTGAATGGTGCGCTGCGCATGCGCAGCTTCCTCCTGCGTCTTGTACTTGATGAAGAAGACCTCCGGCTTGCTGGGCTGCTTGGGCGCGGCCTCCTCGAAGGCCGCCTGCAGGTCCAGGGGATCCGGCTTCTTGGTCAGCACGTAGATAATGGTCTTCTCCTCCACGGGGGCCGTCTTGATGCGCAGCGCCGCCTTGGAGACACTGGGCGTGGGCGCCTTGATGAACACGATGCGGTAGTGCTTGCGCGGCGGTGCAGGCGGCAGGACGGGCTGGGGGTAGCGCTCCTCGGGATCCTCCGCCGGTGGCACATGCACATAGATGTCCTTGGAGACGAGATGCTGCTGTGGCTGTGGCTGCTGAAGCTGCTGCTGCTGTTGCTGTGTCTGGTAGGCATTGAACTGCGTCGGCTGCGGCTGGTAAACAGCGGCCTGGTTTTGCTGGGACGCAGCGGAGTATGTGGTGGCCACGTTTCCGCCGGACAGGACTTGCTGCACCTGTGGGGCCTGGAGCGCCTGCTGCAGCAGCGACTGCTCGGCCTGGCTGGCGAACTGTGGAATGGCGGGCAGCTGCAGCTGCTGCTGGGACTGGTAGTTGTATCCCTGGGGAATGGCTGTGGCCAGGCCCAGGAGGCAGGGTATCTGGAAAGGAAGGTCTTGCTACAGTAGGCTGCGACTGGGGGACAGATATCCGGGAGCTTACAACGAAGAAATGCATTTCCGATCGAGCTGACGACACCGGTCCCTTGGCAATCAAAATTCAACTAAATGCTAATCACTGGCCGCCCAGACTTATATGCCGACGACTCGAAAATGTCGCTTACGAAAAAGTGATGCTGATGAGACGAAGACTTCAAATGAAACTGAAACTGAAACCACAAATGCGTCTTAAGCCACACGAAAATGTTAGAGAAGTCCAAGCAGCGATCCACCGATCCACCGGTCTTTACAAACTGGCTTGCGCTTTTGGCCAACCTTGAGATAGCGGTAACTTTTGGGAAGTTACCAAAAACCCTAAAGCTCTGCGTCATTTTTCGGACTTGGGGCCAAACTTTGGGCCCAGTCGAAAGAGCCGGAAATCATTTGTGATGGATATACATACACGTAGGAACGTGAAGAGGGCTAACACGGTGATATGTTGTGGGGCCAAGCATTTCGCTGGCTTTCATTGGGTTCGCATATATGCTGACGAGCGGTCATAATTGACGCAAAATCTTGAATCGCAGCCTGCACTAATCACACGATGGTCTCATTAGGAATGGCGTCAACTCGAGCACAGCTTTGATTTTTCGAACATGGCTTTGTTAATTTTATAAATTGCTTTGATTTCCGATGACCCAATTATTCGATCTGACCGATCTCACCATTTAGTTGCATAATTTAAACGTGAAAATGTAGTTGACTGTGATACCTCTCTTTGGGTAGCATTTAAGGCCATTTTTGGCCACCAGCTGCTGGCATCGGACAAGATTTGATGCTTCAATCAATGTCCATGTCCATGTCCATGATAGCCTATGAAGATGTGGGTCACATTTTCGGTTAGCACTGCCGGCGAGTGAGTGATGTTTTGATTTATGACTGGGGATTCGTCAAAGGCAAATGTTAGCGCGGGGGTCAAGATGAAACATAATCCCTTCAAATGACCGAGTGGCGTGCGTTTCTTTCCCGATCCGTTACGAGTACGCAAATAGGCGGCATCGCAATTATGACCCACGGATTATGCAAGCCATCCATCCGTTCATGTGTGCGCTGTGGGGGCGTAACAATAAGCAAATTGTGGGCATCACCAGCTCCTGCCGCTTTTCCCCAACTCGATTTTGTAGACAAAAGGTAAACGCGTTACGCAATGGTATTAACACTGCGTCCGCCAGTTTTTGGCACACTCTTTAGATACACCACACAAATGTGGGTACTTCGCTTACAGCTCTCCCCTGTTCCTATTTCAAACTCCATTAATTTCTCTTTCATATCTTTTCGTTTGTTGGCAATTAACATGGTCAAGGCTTATGGCGCCAACATTAGCCCACGGATTGAATTAAATAATTAAAATATTATAGAAACACCAAAGCCAAACCATAATAAATTGGCATCGCTATTCAACAGCAAATTATTGCCGATTGCTTGATAATGGGCACCCAATGGTTTGGTGTGATAGACAATTTACTAAGTTTTTTTTTAAGACCAATTAATAAAAATATAATCGTTTACATTTATTTTATTAGTTTTTAAATTTTTAAATCGTTGTTTTCAGCTGAATGAGGCTTAAATCAAATTAGATCCTTTTACATTTTGTTAGTTCCTAACAAGTAAAAATGGTATTGGTAATATAGCGTTCTGAAGTAGCACGAGCAAAAGCTTAAAGTTTTTTTTCTCAAAGTTTTTTCTTAGAGCTGGTTCGAACATCGAATGAATCAGCTTTTATTGACAAAAGCTTACCAATGAAGAGGTATTACAAAGCGGTTTTTTTTTGGGGGCAGACAAAAAAACTTGTTTCTTTTCTTTTATTTTCTTTTAATTTCATTTTTTAAAATATTCTTTTAGAATTGAAACGGAATTGTTTCTAAATGTAAACGTTGAAAATAACTGTTAAAGACAAGTTTACAAACTGTTGTCATTTTTTATTGTCTAAAAACTATTTGTTATTTATTATTACTAATAGGATAAAATTTAATTTATTTTTAATTATCTTAACATTGTTGTACACTTAGGAATGGGATTTTATGATCAGAAAGCTATGATGAGAAATATATTTTGCAAAAAAGTTATTGGTTGCTTAAAATGTTTATATATTGTTATGTCTCCTTACTGCGTTGCAAGCTTCGGACTAAAATTATTATAGAACTGCAAATTTTTAATTAAATGACAGCACAGGTTTAATTTCAGCTTGTTCAAAGCGGTCAAGAGCAGGAAAATAAAAATAAAAATAAATTTGTCACTTTAAAGTAGGTAAGTCACAAGCCATTTACGAGAATGTTAAATGTACACAATGTACAGGTAAGATAAATGGTACCAAAGCAAGAAGTTTCTAAACATTTTTTAATAACATTTTTTTCAACCACGCTTTTCTCGTATTGGCACAAAAATATAATTTGCATATCCGTTGGAATTGGCGTATCTTATAAATATCAAAAAAAAAAACAAACTTCGGCGAACCGAAGTTCATTTACCCTCGCAGCTATTGCAAACACTAAAAATTCAATGAACATCTTTATTTTCTAAAAGACATTGTTTAACATTTACATTTGTTTTATATTGTCGATCTCTCCTTTGGCATCTATTGATAACGTCGACCTTCTTAGTGGCGCTGATCAAGAATATGTATACATTAAAAGGTTGGACATATCTCCATCACTGCGTTGCAGACTTCTGACTGAAATTATAATACCCTCTGCAGGGGTATAATAATATAAATGTAACTTAGGGATATCAGGCAATTTCAAAATGAAAATGAAAAGCTCAGATTTTTCGTTTGGTATAAATAAATCAATACGTATGAAAGGTAAAAATTACCACATTCTGTTATCTAGGTAAGTACCTAGACCTAGATCTTAGTATTTAGTTAAAATCTAGTGAATGAAGCTGAAGATATTGCAGTTAGACATAATACCGGAAGCTAGGAAATGTCTTCTGCATCTAACAGTTATGACTATAATCTTTGATAAAGAGAAGTTGCTTGCTAAATTTTTGGCGCCAATAATAAAAATCTGCATGTTTAACGGCAATTTTCGTTCTCCAATAGCTTACGAGATATAAACGTTGGAGGCCCAAAAAAAACAAATGCACCTAATGCTTTACTTAAGAAGTAGTAGAGCAGTCATCTTTGGAAGGATAAATTTTTTTCTAATGTTGCAAACATTGAGTTCATAAGTAAATTTTAAACCTTAGTTTACGTTTATTGTAAACTGCTAAAAAGTTGCACGGCCGGTTGATCGCACGTTGTGTCCATTTCTCGCTAGTTGATTTGGATTGCTGAATATGGGAAGTGGATGTTTTTACATCAGATGTCGTGTTTTATGTTTGACAGGTTGATCGTTCATAATTAAAAACTATTATTATTGCCGTATACGTATATATACCAAACCTTCCATCATCTTGTAAAGATTTCGCGGTGTTCTTAAGAACATGATAACCTTAATGTATTTATATTTATAAAGGATTAAAAACGTTCATTTATTATTTACCTTTTGAACTAAAATAAGAAAAATATAAATTTAACCGCACATTGAAATATTGTGCTCGGTTTTAAATTGAACAAGAAAATTGCTTTCACATTGGAACTCATTTTAGTACTAAGCTAAAACCATTTCAATATCCAAAGACATTGTTGTCAGATTCTGAAAAGAAAAATGTCTCAGAAAAACACTTTGAGAGTGTCTTTCTGTTCCATTTTTCATGGGGTCCTAAGGTAACTGGTCTATTTCTGACAACAAGTAATATCAGATGGTTTAGGTAAACACGAAAATTAGCTTACGGGTCTGAATCATGTGTCTTGTATACATCTCATCGCTAAAGAAAAAATGGTTATTAAATTACAATATGTTTACCTTTTTCCAATGAAAGAGGTCGCAAATCGCCGATTTCAGCCAATGAAAGTTTATAATAGGTTATAGCCAAATATAATTAAAGCAATTACAAGCTAATTGTGTTGTTAAGAGCTTTTAAAATAGAAAGCGAAGGTGCTATATTGATTTCCACAGTACGTTGCCCCAAAACGGCGAAGAAACAAACAGTCATCATCAAAGATGTATTTCCCAGAATTACACATCTATGATTTTCGCAACAGTTCGCTGTCTTCGGTGCGGCGGTTAAGGTAAAAGCTCTTGCACCAGACCCGTCTCCGGAATCGATTTGACTTCGGTCGAGATGCGTAAATGAAGACTGAACATGGCACGATCATTAGGGCTCTGGAGGAACCACGACCACCCAATTCCAGTTCATTCATGTAAACGGCTCATTACTCCAACGGCAAGTGTTCAAGGGGCACAGTACATTTAGCACGGCGAAGACTCGGTGCACAAAACTCCTAAACAAAACACTGCGAAGACACAATCAATGGGGTATTTATCCCCAAAAAAAAAAACGGCAAGACTGACCGCTCGACATGATAAATGAACTGCGGTGCAGCCGGTGGGGAAACGATCGGTTCGAAAAAGAGCCGGGCAAGTATTGCGCTCGACGGGTCATCAATTAAGCTTGACAACGGAGGCTGGGAGCTTCTTTGGACATGAGCTGCTCATCCAGAGTTAGGACCAGGGATTAGCGTTACAGTTCCTTCACTAAACTGATTAAGTGCTTATGCAATTTATGCATTTAAAACCACTTAATCGATGCAATGGTCATTGGTCACTGGTCCCTGGCCAAAACACAAACTAGCAACGTAATGATGGCGGTTCGGAGTACCGGGGTATCGCAGTTTCGGGGTATCGCGCTATCGGGGCCAACAATTAAGCGCCACAACAAAGACTCTGCTGGGGGAACCACGCTAATTGGTCATGTATTGCCAGCAACTACAACCAAGTCGGGCCATTTAATGAGGGATGCGAAAGGGGCTATGGCTATGGTTTTGGCTCAGACTCTGACTCGAAGGTGAATGGCGAAGAAGAGCTGAAGACGAGGCGAACTGAAACTAAAACAAACACAATGAACATGCAACAAATGGAGGCTGCGCGCTCTTTTTGGCAGTTTTGTTGCGGACCATGACTCTTCCGTGGCTCTGCCGCCGATCTTTGTTGAACTTCACCTATTAACTTTCGAGTGCCGCGCATCGGAGTTGGAAATGCGAGCCATGAGTGATGTATAAAAGCGGTGCGCAAAACCCAGAAGTCATACAGTTCACTACGAACCACTAAGGAAGTCAAACCTCGAGTCCTCGTCCTCCTTCATTCCCACTCAACCAGCTCAACCAAGCCCAGAGATGCGTGCATTCATTGTAAGCCATATGGATAGGTTGACTACCTGACTACCGGACTAATACTCTCTCATTGCCCACCAGGTCCTGTGCCTTTCCGCCGTGGCGCTGGCCGCCCCCCAGGGCTACAACTACAACCCCGGTCCGTCCGGCTTCGGCGGCATCAGCGCCACCAGTGGCGGTGCCTCCTTCTTCCAGGGAGCCGGTGCCGGAGCCGGCCAGGTGGGCCATGTCCAGGTGCAGCAGCAGCCGCAGGCCATCTACCAGCAGCCCGCCGTGCAGACCCATCACCACCAGCACCAAGGGCAGCAGGTGCAGCAGCAGCAGCAGCAGCAGCAGGCCATCGTGTCCAAGCGCTTCTTCATTCACTCCGCCCCCGAGGAGGCCGAGGACTACAAGGAGCGCCACATCACCGTTGGCGTTCCAAAGCGCAACTACAACGTGGTGTTCATCAAGTCGCCCCAGCGTAACAACAAGAAGACCATCAAGATCAGCCCCGCTGCCAACGAGGAGAAGACCGTCATCTACGTGCTGAGCAAGAAGGGCGATAGCGACGTGCAGGCCGAGGTCGTGGAGCAGGCCAGTTCCACCAGCAAGCCGGAGGTCTTCTTCATCAAGTACAAGACCGCCGAGGAGGCCGCCCACGCCCAGCAGCAGATCCAGGCCCAGTACGACGCCCTGGGCGGCAGCAGCCAGCTGACCGACGAGGGCGTGGCCCCCGTCACCTCCGTGATTGGAGCTTTGGGCGGCGGTGATGGACACCTGGACGCCGGCTCCGCCGTCGGTGCCACTGGAGCCGGCCAGATCGTCTCCTCCGGCGTCTCCGGATCGCACACGGGCAATGCCTACCTGCCACCCAATTTCTAACCATTGAGCATGGTTCCCCGAAATGTACCTCACAGTCCTCTGTGAAATTGTTGTTGTTAATAAACTTTAATTGCTGTTGAATTTATTTGCACACGGTCTCTTTACTTGAGTGATTTGTCTCTGATATCCCAACTCTTCATAACTTAATTCTAAGTATATATAATTAGAAACAAGAAAGGATACATTTCGGTAGTTTATTTTACATTGTAGATGTGGGAAATTTACTGTCATATTCACAGATATTTGAAGAAGGCCTAAAACTATGCAACAAAATACAAAATACAAGCAAGAGTTTTTCAAGACATAAGGATATTCAATTTGAAGTTTTTGAAAATAAATAAATAGAAAAATAAAAGGATAACATATAAATTCTTTTTTGATAAGATACGGGGTGTATTTATTAAAGGATAATTATATATAATGTAGCAAGCTGTCATACACACATGTATATACACACCTACACATAAGTACTAAGGATCCTATCATACATACATACTCTAAGTTAAGTTCCACAATTATTATATCCTATATATGTCTCTTTTACTCTTGTGCGAAACACATTGTCAACCGAACACTGTGTCTGTATTGGTCTCGCAACTGAATGAACAACACGTAATTGTGTCTCCTACAATAATAAACTAGTTATGGAATCTATATCTGATATCTGATTTAAAAAGAAAATGTAAAAAACTTTGTTCTTCTTAAATATACATTGGACAAACAAACTTCCAGAGCATATTCCTTTTAAAAAATCTAACCACTTTTTTATATCTGCCGAAGAAGCGATCGGAAAAGAAATATGTAAATTGCAGGGACCAAAACAGTTACAATTTTATAAATAAAAGTCTGGATTTTAAGGTTTGGCTAAGTTTTTAAAATTATAAGAAAAATAATCTCGTAGAAATGGCGTCAGCAAACTTGCGTTGTGTTATACTCTTGCACAGAAACTGGTTTTATTTGAAAGCAAACAAAAATTAAATCGAATTGACTAATTGTTTTTCTCCCAACTAGCACGACATATTTATTTTCAAGGCTTACCATGATTATTTTCTTGTTTTTAAACAATTATGTTATTTATCACTTTTCACGGTAACTATATGGTAATATCGTATAATTTTTTAATTTTGATTAAAATGCTATTGCAATGCCGTTGTTGACAACAAGCAATTTTTCAATCAAAGCTGGGTATGTCACAATTATCGTGTCAACACATCGTTTTTACATCGACATTCATGGTAATTAGTCCGGGGTTTGTAAAGTGGCGTTGGCAAAACAAATAATTAACTAATCAATAGCGTAGGTAATTAAAATATTCCAAAGGCTTATAAAACGGGCGAAACCAGCCGAATCCTTAGAGAATTTACAAAGTGTACTCATGGGTACTCTGTTTCAGCTGCAGGAGAACTGCCTTCGGGCGATGGGTCACAGCCACAACGTGGACAGTACCAAGGACAAAGTCCTGGGCTTGAAGCACATTAGTTCGCTGGTGTTCGTTATATCTGCGCAGTATCCACTGATCTCCTATGTCGTCTACAACCGCAATGACATGGAAAAGGTCACAGCCTGTCTGAGTGTAGTGCTTACCAACTTGCTGACAGTGGTTAAAATAACCACTTTTCTGGTGCACAAGCAGGACTTTTGGGCAATGATCCGGCGCTTTCGGAAAATGCATCAGCAATGTAAGCCGGCTGATAGCGACTTACGGGCAATGTTCTCTAACAAAACGTCCCATTTGAACAGCAAGCCAGAGTCCCAGAAAAAGGAATGGCTTGGATGTGGACTACGTGGCCGAGGCGAATAAGCTGGCATCCTTTTTGGGAAGGGCATATTGCATGTCCTGCGGCCTAACTGGGCTCTACTTTATGCTGGGACCTATTCTGAAAATCGTGGCTAGCAACTGGCAAGGCACAACATATCTTCGGGAGCTGCCCATGCCGATGAAGTAAGAGTGAGTTGGGGATTGCGGCAAGATCCTCATTGATTTGCCTCTAACAGGTTTCCATTCGACGATGTGGGAAGTCCTGGCTACGAAGTGTGTTTCCTTTACACCATACTGGTTACCGTCGTCGTTGTTTCCTACGCCTCGGCCGTCGACGGCCTATTTATTTCGTTCGCCATCAACTTGCGAGCCCATTTCCAGACATTGCAAAGGCAAATAGAGAACTCCCAGTTCGATTTACCCGAGAAGGAGACTCAGGAGGGCATTAAATCCCTTGTGGACTACCATGATCTATTGCTTTGCCTATCCAGACAGTTGCGTTCGATTTACACACCAACCGTATTCGGGCAGTTCGTCATTACATCGTTGCAGGTGGGCGTGATTATATACCAACTTGTGACGGTGGGTGGCCAGATTGCTTAGACCAGAATCTCGACTACATCCCTCCATCACCCTCCCCTCTTTCAGAGCATGGATTCGGTTATGGATCTCTTGTTGTATGCCACGTTTTTCGGTTCCATCATGCTTCAATTGTTTATTTACTGCTATGGCGGTGAGATCATCAAAGCTGAGGTGGGTTTCAATAACACATAGTTTCCCCATTTCGTGGGATCGCAAATAAGTTTTTTGTAGAGTCTGCAGGTCGATGTTGCTGTTCGGCTCTCCAACTGGTATCTGGCTCCTCCGAAACTACGAAGATCCCTGGCACTGATCATTCTGCAGTCCCAACGGGAAGTCCTGATCAGGGCCGGCTTCTTTGTTGCTTCTCTGGCGAACTTTGTTGGGGTAACATCATTCCAATCGGAATTATATCAAAGTAACTTTTGTTTGTTTGATTTTTGCAGATCTGCAGGACGGCTTTATCGTTGATAACGCTAATCAAATCGATTGAGTAATTTTAGTTTAATAAAGCAAAAAACTTAAAAGTAGTTCGAGCAAAATTGCTGTTATTTTTAGATAATTGCTTTTTCTAAATTATCTGTCTCATAGGGGAATTAACAAAAAGCTTATCAAATGTAATAATATTGCAAGATGATTTGTGTGCAGAGTAACTACAGCTTATATTTTATAGTTACTGCGTATCATCTCAATTGTAGAGGGACGATTCTGGTAATTAATGAGTGCATGCAGGCAAATTTAGACTTTTTAGACTGTACGAAGCTGAAGTAGTAAGGGGTTTTCCTGGATCGGTTTCTTGTAATGACAGATTGTTTTTTGTTTTTGTGGAGGCTGGCAAACTTCTTTAATTCCATTAAACAGTTTATTAATAAGCTTAAATTCAATTATTAAAGACGAGTGAGGAACAATGATTTTTGAACTTGTGCCATTTCTTTAAGGTTATAATTATTTTTACTTCCAAAAAAAAGGTGAACTTTTGTCGGTTTGTGTATTAAGTAATCTAAAATATTGTTAAAGATTTTAAAACAAATAATGTTGTAAGCAAAATATTATAAATTAGTTTGAATTGTTTCAAAATATCCATCTGAGAAATATACCCCTCCAGTATTTTAGATTCTTTTGTAATGGTTTCAAATAATACTGGCTTACTTTTGGCGCTAGTAAACTGTATTACAACATTTTTACCTTTTTGCGTATTGTTTTGAACTTTCTTTAATATAAATAATAAAGACCCTATTTCCGGAAACAGTTTATTAGCTAAAGTTTGTGTTTGTATTACATACTGATATGAATACTTATTGACTACGAGAGCTTAACAGCTTTTTTTACATTCAATCCTTAAATTTGTTTTTAATTTTATTTAAAAGATTGTTCTTGTATTAGTGGGTTTGGCCTTTGGTTCTTATTTTTATATGTGGAAACTATATTGTCCGTCATAAAAATTATGGGATAATCTAGGCGGCAAACTCAACTAAAACTGATCTTAATAAATTAAAATATTTGAAACATGATATAATAACAAAACAAAACAATACAATTCTCTCGACTAATCGACCTGAGATGTTTAAACCAAGTCATTGAAACCCAGCTCAAGGCAGGGCTCTGTTACTGTTACTCGATCATTCCACGACCTATTGTTTCAAAGTCATACCAAAAATATCAAACTATTTTTCGGAGATGATTCTAAATTTAACTCGTACAGTTCCTTGGTCTTTAATATCAAAGTCTATAAACTGGTTAATAATACATACATACAATGCGTTGTTTACATGTCTTTTGACCTTAAATCTTTTAAAATACTTAACTTTGTTCGTACTTAGTAATCAAATATACTTTTACTTTAATCGTGTTGCGAGGTCCCGTGCAATCAACCTTATTCCCAATACTTGTGTCCATTTCTTATCTGAGGATGCAAGTGTAACAAGTAAGAAGGTTCAAGAGTCTCGTCAATGAGGTATATGTTCAGTCTCTGACTGCATCAGCTCTCATTACATAACCGAGCGATCACTGACCACATATATGCAATCTTTCAGAGCTCCTATAAATACACAGCCCGCTAGTCTAGAGTCAGCAAGTGGCGCATCTGGGTTCATCAGGAATGGCTAACAGTGAGTCGCATCCGTTAAAGAGGGCTAACAGTTTCATTAGCAAATGTTTGCTTTTTCGCAGAACTTACCATCGCACTACTGCAACTTCCGGTGGGCGGCGAAGTGGCCTCAAATGTGCGCCGGGCGGTGGACAGCGTGAGGAAACTGAAGGCGGACCATCCCAAGCTGCAGCTGGCCATTCTGCCGGAGAGCTTCAACGCCCCTTACGGCCAGGAGCACTTCCCCAAGTTCGCCGAGCAGGTGCCGTCGGGTCCTACCTGCCAGTCGCTGTCCAAGCTCGCCCGTGAGCTGGGCATCTACATAGTCGGCGGCAGCATTGTGGAGCGCGAGGGCACCAAGCTGTACAACACTTGCACCGTGTGGGCGCCCAATGGAAGTCTCATCGGCAGACATCGCAAGGTAAGCTGAAGGAGGGGTAGCAAACGGGACAGTCTGAACAACATTGGCCTTCCTCGGCAGATCCACCTCTTCACCATGAGCATTGAGCCCGCTAATGCCGGCGGCGTGGAGTTCGATGAGGCGGCTGTTCTCACGGCGGGATCGGAGCCGACGGTGGTGCAGATTGGGCAGCAGAAGGTCGGCATTGGCATATGCCACGACAAGCGCTTCGAGGAGCTGGCCAGGATCTACCGCAACATGGGTGAGTTAACCTACCGCCTGGTGCCACTGGGTTCCCAATGAATACTCCTCCCTCCAGGCTGCTCCATGCTGGTCTACCCGTCCGCCTTCTGCATCTGCCAGGGACCGATGCACTGGGAGCTGCTGCAGCGAGCCCGGGCCACCGACAACCAGGTGTTCGTGGTCACCTGCTCGCCCGCCAGGGACAACATGTCAGGCTACGTGGCCTACGGCCACTCGATGGTCGTCAATCCCTGGGCGCAGGTGCAACGCGAGGCTGGCGAGGGATGTGAGTTCATTGTCGAGGAAATCGGTGAGTTCTCCATACGGGCATACAGTCAACTTGCAAGACTGACGACCGCCTTCTCCCCCTTTCAGATTTCGACATGGTCGAGCAAGTGCGCCGCCAAATCCCCATCTTCAAGCAACGGCGCACTGATGTATACGCTACCACCAAATTAAGTGAATAAAGTAAAGAAATCTTGAGAGCAGCGGGAGAGAAATTCACTGATAGGACTTGACATGCTTATCGCTTTGGAAGTACACAGAGCAAAGACAGCAGATGAATCAAAACAAGAGCACGAATTGAGCAACGCACCGTGGTGTTGCATAAATTATTGTCCAAATATTTCATCAGCATAACATACTTTACAACTGTTGTATTTTCAATTGAGTAGAGAATGAAACTGTAAGACCTTTTTTTAGGCTGGAAATAACATATTTAGTTTAATAATTTAATAATTAAACTTGCGAGGTGGTACCTGTTAAAATCATATGAGGAATAAACAAGCAGCGCTGATACTTTCATTGTTTTTTGATATTTGCTAATGACAAATTAGTTTAATTAAATAGCAACGTGGCAATCGGGAACTCATTGCATTGCAAAGGGTCATCGATTTGATTTCATTATTCTTATGGACAATTACACCAACTTATGCATAAAGAAAATTTTTATTTTTGTAAGCGTATGCGACTTTTTAGACTGTCTTTGCATGTTTAAGCAAAAGTTATATACTTTTCTTTTTCAATTGATATGCTCTCCTCATAAAATCGAATAGACGCAAAATAATTTCAATCATGAGCGTGTGATTCACTTTGTTCGTTTATAAACTCTGGTCAAACTCGCACATAAAACATTGTTTTATCTTTGCGCTTTCTTGTTTTTAGATAGTTTATTTTACAATCTCGATTTCAGTTTATGGCAAGAGCTACTTAATTGTAGAAAATTTGGTTCATTAAAATAAAATACTAGTAAAAGAAACCTTTTTTTGAACTTAAAAAAAAAATTAAGCCAATTTGCAGTTGAACTTTCAGATTGCGATACAAAAGAACGCAACCACTGTGCGACGAAACTCGACATCCGTCGAGGGTTCCGATAGGCCTGTGGCAAAAGCTGGCTCCCAGTGGCTTTGAACAAGCGATTGCGACAAAGCGCAACCAGAGTTGATCGATGGCAACCTCAAAACTAGCGTTTGGCGCTTCAATAGCCCTAGTTCTGTGGGTGTGGGCGGGCGCAGGACATGGCCAGGTGGCCTTCGTGCGTCACCTTTCGGAGCTGCGGATCAGGGAGCTGAAGGACCTGGCAGTGCGGATGCAGAACTCCATCAACCCCGAGAAGTACGCCTGTGAGAGTTACTTCGACTACGTCTGCAGCCGCAATCGTCCGCTCTTCTCGATCATGGGTATGTGAACTGGCGTGTTCCGGACAGAGTGACTAATGCGAACGCCCCATCCTAGGCCACATGCCGCAGATGAGCGAGCTCATCCAGTTGCTGACCGAGCTGCAGAACGACCCAGCGCAGTTCGAGGCAAAGCAGAAGCTACTGGACTTCTTCATATCCTGCAACTCGCAGCACGCGCTGGAGGATTGCTACCGCGAAACCTTTGAGTACTTCAAGCCCCTGTTCGGCTACATTGTTACCAAGAACATGATCCAAGGAGGATCCCATGAGCTGGACGACTTCCTGGGCGTCCTGGAGCGCTTCGTAGCACGGACCCACCGGGACCGTGAGTCGAACCCCATTCTCGACAAACTGGCCACGTACAAGCAGAAGTTCAAGACGCCGCGCGTCTACTTCCACGCCGGAGACCTGGACCGCGAGTACCGCAACCTTCGCATCTACCGGGAGAGCTATGAGCACAACATTCGCAACCTGGAGCTGCACCGGAAGCAGAACTCGACCTACGAGATGGGGGTGCAGCGCACCATGCTGGACTGGAGCATGTACCTCTTCCAGAGCCGCAACAAGCCCATGTCCTACTACTATGCCACCTTCACCGTGCACTTGTACATGATGCTCTTCAATGTCCGGGAGCGTCAGCGCGACTTCACGCGATTCCGCGAGGAAGTGGAGTGTCTGAGGCTGCCGCAGTTCGTCAATGTACTGGACGAGGCCAGAATGCTGGCCGTGATCTACTTGAAGAGCTTTCGAGCCGCCTGGATAGACTACAGCGCCTGGATCAGCGCACCGCCGCACAACAATGGCATCTACGACCAGGAGAACGGCATCCTCCAGCAGTACCATCTCGACAATAAGCGCATCTTTTTCACACTCTACGCCCAGAACTTTTGTGAGTTCGGCAAGGATCTGGCCGAACACGTCTTCTATCTGGGTCTCAAGCAAAACAAAGATTTCTTCGACATTTACTCGTGCGGTTTCCAAACGGAAAACCCTATGAGTTGTGTATGAGCGATCGAGGTCCTTATTACAAACCTGTATATGATTATTAAATAAGAAAAGCTTGAAAAATAATTAATAAGCATTAATCGATAATCTTGTCTCTAATTCAATAAATTACTGTATATGGCAAATTACATAGTGACGAATAGCATCGAGAGAAAAAAATAAAAAAAAAACTACTAGAACTATTATTTCTACTAATAATATGCGATTCAAAAAGTGCGTTAAGTACTGTTATTGGCAGAAAGCCATTGTGAAGAGTCTTGGTGGACTGATTCTGGTCCACCGAGGCTTTCCACGAAGGCTATCCACCCATAAAAACAATCAACCCAGTATTTTTATTTTGTATCATCAGCAGCAGTAGTAGTATTGGAGTGGTTAATTCTGCTCCACCGCTCTACCCAGCTCCAATTTTCTTTACTTTCTCATAGACCAAAATAAAAAAAATGTTATATTTTAAAACCATAAGTCATGCCATAAATATTTATAGACTAGCAGTATTTTGCCATAACATAAAAATAGTAATGGTATGCAAACACAATTTTGATCAGATAAAAATGTCAATAAAATATCGAAATAAATACTCTTTTAACCGGAATTAAAGGATTTACAGGACAGTAAACTGGAATGAAAATTGGAAATGTTAACTTATGATGTCTTTATGGATTGTGCAGAAGGTGTCTGCTTTTAAATGCTGCAGAAACAAAAATATGTCCTGATGGTCGAGCTCAAGCTCAAATTTTAGCTAGTGAGTTTAATTTTGAATTCGATCACAAAGTTATAGTTAAATTTGAACCCGAGCTCCATATTGAGTATTTAAATTATAATTGTAGGGAGGGACTTCAATTTATATTGTCTGTGTTAAAAACATCTAACCAGCGCAAGGGTATAAAAAAATTTTAAGTTGGCTAAAGCCATTTTGTATTATTATAATCAGCTCAGGTACTTACCTGTTTCTTCTTTCCTCTCCAATATATTTCAAAGCCCGTTGGAGTTCGTCAGAGGCACTATAAATAACCCAGACCTTGAGCCAGCCATACATACCACACCAATTAAAAAACTTTAAATAAAACTATCCAAATCGAAATGTCTTATGGCGATTGAGTGAAATTTGTTAAAAAGCTTTCGAAGAACTGTCCGCTGTTTTTTCCCCTTTATGATGGCTTTTTCATTTCGGATCCAAGCCTGACTTAAATTTTCGGCAAAGATATTTAAACATCGAAGCTCGAAAGTTAGCTTCTAACAATGTTTGGGAGTATTTGTTTTCCAAAGAAAATATTTTTTGTCACATGCATTTCTAGGAAAAACCTTTTTATATTGCACTTAGCGCGTTCACTTTTTTCTTACTCCGATAAGAGGTAGTTTTGTTTGACCTCTTATTTTCATTTAATAAAGAGAATTTTTCAAATAAATATTATCAATTACCTATCCAAGCAAATAGTTTAAAAAGTCTAGTCCCACGAAATAGTCATGGGAACAATAAGCCCTTAATGCCTTTGGGGTCTTTTTTTTTTGAGTACATTGCGATTATTTCAAATCCTCATTAGGGCGTTTCCTTCCTTTTCCTTTCCACCTTTATTCCATTCCGGGAACTTCTTTTGTGCGGCTCATTGCTGCAGTTGTGCTTTTGTTACCGCGTCTGCGGTCGCGACAGACTTTTGCAGCCTAAACTTTTGCACCTTGTCAAAGTAATCCTCTGCCTCCTGCCTGCGATAAAGTTTGGCCAAGTCGGTGCAGGATTTGCCGACGCCATCCAAAGCCGCCAGGTCTGCGCCGTGGGTAACGAGGACTTTGATGAGCTCCAGGCTAGCGTTCATAACCACTGCAGCCGAAGAGTCTGTTAAAATTCCATTTGAGCTGGGAACTATCCCATCTACCCATATACCCATCTACTTAATCCCTACCTGCCCGCATGAGTAGGGTCCAACCGCAGATGTCCCTGGCCTCCACATTGGCGCCCGACTCGAGGGCGAATTTGACCATTTCCAACTGGTTGGCATCGACGGCGCAGTGGGCTGGAGTCATACCATTGCCGTCCGTGGCCTCCAGGTGAGCCTTCTTGTTCAGCAAAATGCGAGCCGACGGGAGGTGACCGTGGTAGAAGGCCAGCTGCATGGGGGATCGAGTACAGTACGCATTTAATTGCGAGCGATTGAAACTAGGAGCGTTTACCAACATGCAAGGGGGTCCGCCCACTTCCCGGATTGCCCAGGTGAACGCTGCAGCCGGCTGATAGCAGCACGTCGATGATGCACATCTCGCCCTGAATAATCGCATTGGCCAGCGGCAGAAATCCGTTGGGAGCGGGGTACTCGACCAGGCTCGGTCTTCGCCGCAGCATCCGTTTGACCAGAAATTGCTGGCCCTTTCTGATGGCTCGGTTCAAGCAACTGGTTGACGGCAGAGCTGCGGTGGTGCAAGCCTAAAATAGCATTTAATAACTTCTGAATTAAACCGTATATGTAACATAGTTTTTTTGCCATTTGAAAGTACCTTTAACCAAAATTTTTAATTAAAATGATTCAGCGTGCAAATAATATTTGAACAAATTTCCCAGTTGGGGAATATTTGGTTACAGAACTGTTAGTATTCCTTAAATTTAAATTAAAATAAAAACCAGTTGGGAAATAACTCCCAATTTCTTTATAAAAAGACAAAGTTACTATACAGTTAATTAGCCACTAAATGTACAATACGCTACAAAAAAGTAAGCAACACAAAAAAAATTAAAAAAGATGCTGCGTATCAGAAAAAATTTTAGTAGTTAATTTAACCTTCAATATAGTATACATACGAAAAATATAACTACAAAATAAAAAGTATCATCATTTTACAGCAAATTTACTGTGTTAGACTGGACCTTAATAAAACACAATGCAAATACTTACAATTATATCCGGCGATATAGCCAAGGGCACGTAGCGACGCCCATCCTCCGAAACTCTCAGGGCTTTTACACGCAGTCGATATCCAAAGTTTTCTTCCAGATTGCTTACATCTACGGGGGAGCTGGTGGTCCAATGCACCTGCATCCAGCCAAGGCGCTTATTGAACTTTTCCACGCTGTAGACCAATGCATTCTTTAATAATGACCATTCAAGTCTGACGCTGTTAACTGTAGGATCGGAAATTCCCGACTCGAAATTGGGCCAAGGGAGTAGTTCAGGATCCTCCTGGCCCAATTTATAGACCAGCTCCTCATCACTTTGTCCTGACTCGCTTTCGGTCATATTGCGAATCGGCCAGCTCTATAGACATTAGCCACATTCCTATGAGCTTTCTCCGCGCTTTAGAAATAACAAGTGGCAGGGCAACCGCCATAGTTACCGGAATAGAGTTGGGGCTCGGGGTATTACTTTTGTTGTATGTACACACAAAACCAATTTCTCTTCCTTAGATCGACCTAAAAATTTGCAAGCTAACTGTAGTGGTACCGTGCATTTTTCTAGTAACACTAACACTTAACGAAAATGTATTACCAAAGATAAGAGCTTTCCACTGCTAATTAATGCCGAATTATATTAAAATTCTTTTTAAATTTCAATATTAGTTAAAGGAACGAATTTCTAATTTTTAAATGTTAAATAATCTTATATTGTTAAATAAATGTTGCACTGATTTTAGAAACATATTTTCCTTTAAAAGTATTCCTGACTATTCGTGTTTTCTGATTATGCACCTTGAACTGAGAATATACAAAAAATATAATCTAATTATTAGTAGGGTTTAAACTAAAGTTCAGCAAAACATGGAAGGCATATCTGAGTGCTTGCACTGACTGAATGATTATGGTTGGTTATTTTTCAAAAACGTCTGAAACAACTGTCATATTTGGACAAATTTTGGTGAGTCGATAGATCTCTTCCATGTCTCAACAGTCGTGTGGGGTGGCATTTTTGAAATAAGCTTGCGATGCGTGGGCACAACTGCACAGATGAATTCCGACGTTTTGAAATTGAGTGTTCGATTTATCATAATGAGAGTGTATCCTTTTTGAGTACAGATTAAGTTCTACTATTTAGGACAAATTTAGGCATTTAAAAACAAGATCGACTCTCCTATTTATTCTGATCAAAAATATAGTATACAATTTATTGCGTTGCAAACTTCTGACTGTAATTGTAACACCCTGTGCAAGGTATACAAATATTTAAATTAATAATTAGAATTTTAAAATGAGGATATGTTTACTTGAATTTCGATTTTAAGAAAGATTTTTGTATTGCGTATGTATTACACAAAATTTCAATCCAGCCGTTTAACGTTTCTAAAAATGATCGAAAATGTTTTGTTCAACTGGCAGGCGAGAAAAAATTGAAAAAAAAAGTCTTAACGAGTCAACTGGCTTGCAGATGTTACAAGCAGTTTGTATGTGATATTAATATCTGCAAGAGTATATATACTTCGGCTGTTTAGAATTCGCTGTCTGTCATGTTGTTAAATCAATAAAGTGCTGCAATGTGGGCAGTAGATTTCTGAGTGCCCGCTTGCTGTCCCAAATCTGCTGATATTGCCACTAGCAAACAATAGTCCTGAACGCACTGAAAATGAAACTCTTGTCTCTGTGTGTGGTTACCGGCTCACTTAACGAGCCTTTGAGATAGTCGACTCCAGTGCGGAAAGTTTATCTGTCCGGCAGGCCCAATGTGCCAACTCATCGACCGTCATGGAGCACCGGGCACCCGGCACCCGGAACCGGGCGACAGATATACTCGTACTCCTACTCGTGTACTCGTATCTCGTTGTCAGCCGAGTCTCGGCTGACATGTCAAACACAAAAAGACTGACACAAACACATGCGAAAAATTATCATTTGTCAAAATCACAACATGAAACCGTTTTAAATTTAGCCACTCTGCCAGTCATCCGCCGCATCCGCATCCCTCGGCTTAAGCCCGCACCCATCCCAAACCATCCTATTCCATGCCATCCCATGCCATGGCAGCCCAAACAGCGAGCTTGTGCTTTTGCCGGGCCCGAAATGACAATGTCTGTGGCTGAAGTGGAGAGAAGTTGAGTTGTCATCTTTGCGGCGGCTGCTGTTGAATCCCCATTGATTGAAAACGAGCGTACTAACCAACGGGACGGTAGGCTGCATTAGACGGCGGGTATTCAATGTCATTATTCTGTGACAGGGGACTTATTAAATTCGTTTTGTAGATGGAAAACTATGGAGTGCGATTGCTAAGTTCCAGATGGTTAAGCCAAACTACTGCTACCATTATATATAGACTGTCTTGCACATATCGACTTTTAACTTTGTCAAGACCCCTTTTTTTTGGCCAGGCACTTGGCCAATGAAAAATTCAATCAATTTGTTCCGCATTGGCCCCCAAGGGCATCTCAATTTCAGCGTCCATGGCACTAAGAACGAGCTCATTCCCGTTTAGAACGCTGCGCAAATCTCCAGGCGAACGCGTCTCCTGGCAGTCATTAGGGTCTGCCGTGTGCCAAATGTGGCCAATTTGCCTGCCGACGCGTCGACTGATGACACAGCGAGCGGATGGCGAAAAGCAGCGCCAAAAATAATCATAACAGGCAAGTAGGCGATGAAAACAGGATGGAGCGGGGGGCGGGGGAGTGACTTTACGAGCAGGTGGCATAAGCCAAAAAAATGGTTTGATTGTAATCAAAGTAATGGGATCCGACACCGCACGATGACGTGTGTATGGCTTAATTAAATAATTTGTATAAATTGCTCCCTCGGCGGATCCTGCGGATCGGGGCAGACAATCCGGCATTAACTTTATCACCCGATAACTTCCGACTGGTGCGTAAGCGCCTGGTGGCATAAAGAAGGCCGCCTGGCACACATGCCCAGAAATTAGCGAAGGATAACCTGTCGCCGGTTCCGTATCCGTGCGAGGTCTAGCCGCACATGAAGCAATTTGTTTGTCACACTACCAGACTATCAGACTATCAGACTATCAGACTGCGGGGCTTATGTAAGCCAGTAAGTAGATACAAATGGGCTGCGGTAGGAGTAGGAATAGGGGTAGGGGTCCGTGGCCCAAAGGGAAAGTTGTTATTAGCCAAACAATTCGGCTGAAAGCTTTCGGCGGCAAGCTTTCGCCTGGTTCGGGGGTCAACTGTCAAAACTGACAGAAGAGGTCCGGCTCTCGCTCTCTCTCTCTTTTTCTCTTGTTGGCTTGTTGGTTACGGCCACCAGTTCTACACTGGCTAACAGTTTGGCCTTTTCGGCAGCTAATGTAGTAGTGCCAGCCCGCAGGAGCAGAGCGAACATTTTCGGTTGGTATTCGAGCGTCGCCGTCGAGTAGCAATCAGTGTGACATTGCCGAGTGCCGCGTGCATTGCCAGCAGGGAAAATAGCCAAGTTTTTGTGGTTCTCTCGGTGCCCTCGACGGTTTTAGGTAGGCCGTAATCCACTTCCACCTCCGGTCCCGTCCAGAGCGCCCATCCACCCTTTAGCCTAATAGCCAGTGGACTATTACCCCAGCGACAGCAATGCCCTGGTGGCCGGGACGTGACTGTCATCCCAAGCAGGGAGCGTCGTCGCGCTGCGGTGCCAGAAGTAATAAGCAATTTGTGGCGGAAAAGTTATATCGCGCTGCGCAGCCAGAACATAATTGATTGGTACATAAGCCAGCGGATGGCGCCGGATGGCGAAAGCCACCACACTCACGTACTTCGCGCAGTCTGGCGATTCGCTAAGAAACTAGGAAAACTACAATTGATTGAGTGCAAAACAATGGAGCCCCGCCAGCGGCATGGATTTGTGTCGCACTAATTAGAAGTCTCGGAGATTTGTTTTCGCCCCGCTGCCTCACTGCCCCGCTGCCCACTGATGCACTTGTCCAAGCTCCTCAGCCGATGGATAAGCGGATGAGCAGATGAGCGGATGAGCGGATGAGCGGACGTGGCCAGAACTTGGCAATTTCCTCCTTTAAAGCTCTGCGCTTCCGATGCTGCCTTCCTGCCTTCTGCATTCTGCCTTCCCTTTGTAGCCTCTACATGGGCAAACAAGCTGGAATGGCAACTGACAGCGCGAACAAAGGCTGCTGCTGCTGCTGCTGCTGATGTGTGCAAATGTTAGGCGGAGCGGAGCGGAGTGGCGATGATAATGACTCGTTAGCAGGCCCCATACGGCAGAACGAGTGTCTTATCAACTGGCGAAATTACAAAATTACGCATACGACCAGTGGGCACGAATCAATATCGTATCTCGTGCGCATTTCGCGCAGGCGCCAGCGCCCAAATGTAGGCAGCGCTTTCGGTCGCAGATTTCAAAGTCAAAAAGTCAAGAGAGGGAGAGAGAGAAAGAGAGAGAGAGAGAGAGAGCGAAAGAGAGAGAGAGAAAGAGAGAGAGGAGAATCGAATTATGTAACAGACAAAAAGTAGCAGCAGATAAATATATTATTAGTGGCAGCGAGAGGCAGGAAGCCAACTGGCGTTACATAAAGGCAGGACATTAGGCAGGGGGTGGGGTGGGGGAGGAAGTCTTTTCATTCTTTTCATTTTTTTCAGTCCCTTCGGTACTTCGCCTTGAGCACTTTTCCCCAAACGAGCCCCCAGTGTTGTTGTCCCTATCTAAACGCTTTCCACTCGTATCCTCTCGGCCGCCCGAACGGAGAAAGCACTCAAGCCCGAACCCGCACGAACCTGCACGAACCGCCCGAGTGCCGTGTGTGCGGCAGGGGCCAAAGCTCCGTCCCCCCGACGCGTTTTTTTATTGGATTTCGGGGCCGCTGACGTCGCAGTCGGCGTCGACGGCGGCGGTCGAGCCGAGTTTTCCATGTAGGGAACTCGGCAGTGGCGACCAGAAGAGTGCGAACATAGCATGAAGTAAGAAGCGCCGAATAAAACATAGCGACGGCCTAGGTGAAAAGTGGAAAACCAAGCAAAAGTACTAAGCACACACACACATACACATAAACACACACACACACACACACCATCTGCCGAGTGCGGAGTTGAGCGAGTGAGCGTGTATATAGAGGCCTTGTGCACATATCACGTATACGTATACGTATACGCATGGCCCATCGTGGTATTTAAAAGTCGACAGCCACGGCCACGAATGAAAATCTAAATTGATTAAAAGAATCTATTCTATCGAGCTAATTCAATTGCTCGGCCAGTTGACTGAGTGCTCCAGTGCGAGCGCAGCTTTATGTAATCAGTATCGGTGAAAAAAAAAGCGAAATAGCGAAATAGCGAACACAGCAGACAGCCAAAGAATTCGGCCTGTCGTGCACAGCACTCGAAACTCAATCGAATTTGTTTGCTGCGCGCGTTACGTAAAAAGCTTTGTTTGTTTGCGACACTCGCCGCCCCTTCAACCCCTCTCCCCCTCTAACATCAACCATACCAGCACGGGCATAAAGGCACTTACGTGCACGCTCCCATAAAAGAAACCCTAATAAAGAAATATCGATAAAAGCAACAAAACAGTGGCACGGCAGCACAATAACAGCGCCGACAAGAGCAACATCGGTAACAATGCGACCCCCGGGGCAGTGTGTGTCCGCTATTTTTAAATTAGCGCCAGGCCAGCAGTAGATTGTGGGGCAGAAATGCCACGAATCGATATGAAAACTCCGGTGGTGGAGCCACATATCTCATGCTTCCGTGTCTCTGTCTCTGATTGCCTTTCAGGAACCCTGTCCGCCTAATGCACGCTCTTCTCCGTGGATTTCTTTAAAACAAAACCACTTAAACGCAGACTATCGCTGAACTTTGCTCCTTCAACAAACAAGAAATACCCGCACTGCTAGCGCGAACACACAGGAATCGGGTAACGGAATCCAGCGGAACGGAATCTGAAAGGAATACTTGCTGAACTAAGCCCAGGTAAGTGAGTGGCCCAACCAATCCGAAAAAGTGTCCAAAGTATGCCTCAAGTATGCTCCAAATACGCAAACTTTTACGCATTTAACGTCAAATATTTGTGCAAAGTTTATCCGCATTTCGCACATTTTTACGCTTAGAGTTCTTGGGTGGCAGTGAAAAGCTTGGAAGCTCATTATGCAATCCCTCGGATTTCAAGTTAAGACGCTTCGATTCACAGCTGGCTACTTTCCCAAGTAAAGGGGCAAATGGCTTAATGCCAGCCCTGCGTATACATGATATTTGGCCATACTAGGCGTATACTTGATACTCGCTGACCCTTTTCAAGTTGCTAGCGTGGGTGCGCTGTGGGCTTTGGTCGGTCAGGCAGCTAAATATACACGATTTGAACACGATTCGAACACAGCTTATTTGCGTGTTTATTGGCTTTGGCCATTTCACCCGCTCCCGTTACAGAAAACTTCAAATGTAATTAGATAGCCAGCTGAGCGGTCTTCGGGTCGACTTGACTTGTTTATTTGCGTAGGGACAAGAAGTGTTCCTTGTTTTGGCCGGGACTTCGACCACACCTTTGGCCACCCGACCATAAAATTCTAAGCACGAATGCCATAAATTCTCGCTTCTATTTACATATATTAAGTCAGGTATGTTCGTCCTTGCTGTTCGTTCCGCACAGCACCACAAATCCCTAACCCCTAACCCCTTGGCTCCTTGGCCCGATTCATTTTCGGCAGAGGGGGGCTTCTGCTCCGCTCCTGCGATGCTGGAGATTAAAGTGAATTTTCCAAACTGCAAATGCCCAGGCCAATAAACAATTCAGCTGTTTGCCGACAGCCTGGCCGACTGACTGCCTGTCACGGCCCGAAAAATGGTCGTGGCATCAAGCTTCCCTTCGCAGCATCAGCTTAATTCATTAGCGTGGACGGGAAAACGAAGGCGGATCAGCAGCCAGCAGCTAAATACGGGCTCTATCTGACACCGCCCGGAGTTTGTCCCCCTGTCCGTTTGTCCGCCTGTCCGTCCGTTTTTATGTCAAACTAATTTCGTTGCTCGTTTGCTGGTGTTGGTTTAATTTGCGCAGCTAGCCAGAAACAAGTTGCCGCCTCCAGCTTAAGTTCGTTAGCCCAATTTGCGCAAATATTAATACATGGTTGCAGAGCGGCAGATACAGCAAAGTCCTGCCTTCGGGGACTTAATAGAATTGAAAATTTTTGGCTGGAAGACACGAAGCCCACATTCATTACGGCATTATTGTTGTGCTGGCAGACCGGGCCCGAGTTAGATTAGATTTCCCGAATTAAGTACACCACCAGGGCAGGCACCACCGAGTGGCATTCAATGCAGATGTCACCGAATCGTAGACTCGGAGACACAACTCAGGCTCTGCTACTGCTACTGCTACTGATGGGCGACGCAAAGGTCTCGAGTGAAATGAGGAGCGCCTCGAAAGTCGGTTGCTTCGACTTAAGGCATTTAAGATAAGCGGCTTAAAGTATCAGGCGGACGCAGGTGACAGGGCAGGGCACTCGCACTCGCACTCGCACTCCTTTGTCCTGCCATACACCCAATTAATTTGCTCTTTTCTTTTTGCTCTGCCGTTCACAGCTTACGCAGGACGAGAGGACGAAAGGCCAGCGCCGACCGCAAGTGCATTGCCTCGAGCGGAGGACTCAGGAGGACTCAGAAGGACTCAAAGGGAACCAGCAGGAGCCACGCCCCCAGTGCCCCCAGTGCCCCCAGAGCGCCTAGAGCGACAGCCCAGAGATGGCGGCCTTCATAGCTAAGCAAATGGTTGGAAACCAATTAAGTGCCGTTAAAGGTAAGTCGCAGCGGAAGGACGAGCCCAAGTCGTCACCTCAGCGAGCATTTATTTTTGGCATCCGATCAATAAATACACTTTGATAGGATGTCCTCGTATACATAATTCATTTTCAAGCTGCTGCGCAGCGACAAAAATTACCACACACACATATGAGAGTTGCCAACGCTTTTAGATACACACCAAGGCCTGTCCCTTCCGCATCCGCATCCGCATCCGCATCTGCACACCCCTCGTTGGCATTAGGTAAAGTCATTGGGTTCCCATTGCCGCTGCTGTTTAATCAGCGGCTGTGCAATCGCTCGGAAAATCATTGAATGCTTTCAGAAAGAGAAAAGCGCCAAGGCGTGGGCGAGAATACATATTTAAGTTGAAATGCTTATCAAGCGGCAGCATGCGAGCCCATTCTGGGCCTGTGCCCCTCTCCACTTGCCCCCCACCCCCCTCGGCAGCAATCTCGTTCAATTTGCAAGTGCGCTGCAGTGCCATTCCAAGGCCTTGCCCTCATCCTCATCTTTATCCTTTTCCAATCCCCATCCTCATACCCATTTCCATCCCCATACCCATTTCCATCCCCATTCCTAGAACCAAGAAGCTGCAGCTGAGCAGAGCACATTACCGGGTCTCTTATCGAACGCAGAAATTCTGCACGAATGCGCAGGAAAGTGGTTCCAACAAATTGATACAGTTAATTGTGTAGATTGATGTTGAATTTGTCACAGTCGCCTGCCCAGCCAGCCAGCCAGCCCTTGACAAGAATCGGAGCCGCCGACTCAATCACTCTGCCATCCTGTCTGCCAGCCTGTCAACTGCGGCTCAACTCGAGATTGCGGCTGCTCCGGTTGGCCATTAGGCCGTCAGGTTGGCCACGTTTCGGGGGAACATGAAAACGCTATTAGCATGGGCGTACATTGGAAAAGCCAAAGCAAACCAAATCATACCCATTTGGAGAGTGAGTGCGTGGGCACTGGCACACTTGCTCAGTTGCTCAGTTGCTCATGCCAAGATACTATGTATCGGATACGCACTCTACGACTACTTTAAGCCCTCAATGATGCAGCAAGGCGGCTACTTAATTTGCGCCATAAAATGCGGTTGGATGATGAAAACCGATATAAAATACACCCATTAAATTCATGGTCGGTAGTGCTGGCGCACAGCAATTGTCCAGCCATTGCTCAGCTCAGCTTTGGTCAGCTTCACATGTCAATTGCAGAGCGAAAGGTTTTCCAGCGCTTTTCCATGAAAAGCATATTTTCCGGATCTAGATAGCGATTCTGCTCCTGATTCGTGCGCAGTGGGGGGTTGGCTAGAAGGCACAGCCAGCTAATGCGTTTCCATTGTCAAGCCATTCGCACTCGCAATCAGACAATTTATTTGAGCTCCCTTAGCCTTTATTACCATTGCCTGTCTTACGTAAGCATAAGTTATGGATTTGTTATAGCCTCGCTTGGCCGGGAACTGTCGTCTTCGATGGTCGCAATAAATACAATCGCCCAATTGGCACCTCATTTTCTACCAGTTAAGGTCTTATAAAACATATTTCGAGTGTAGAGTCAAATTTTTTCATCATTTTATATCTTGCAAAAAGGTTCGTTCTTTTATTTTTAATGCTTAGCTGAATTATATACATTAATTAACATATTTTCTTTTATTTTCAGGTAAGCGTTCATGAAAATCCATCTGAATGTCCTATAAATACAGTGCGTAAGTGTCTGTCACCCCAACCTATCTTCCATACATTTTTGAACAAAGATCCGAACTTTTTAAAAGTTTTCAAAGCATACGTTAACAACAATTTAATATTTGATAGTGTAAGCATTGTTTTTATGGCACTACCTATTTTAGTTTACAGTTCACCGCTTTTGTATCTGTTTTGAATGGAGACCCAGGTTTTATTGATTGGCAAGAGCATGATTACATGATTCAAATTTCTGAATAGTTGACCCTAGACCCGTTCAAAATTGAAACTAAATAGTATTAAAACCATACAAATATATTATAAATAGTTTTACTTAAGCTTAGCCATGCACAATACATAAACTCCACTAAGCCAAGACCCCATATTTGCTTCCAACCTTTCCATATGGCGTTAACTCTAAAACAACCGAAATACTCAAATTTTTAATAATACGCTTTTCGATTTAAAGTGAATGTTGATTTTTAAGCAAACACCCAAACACATTAGCGGTCTTTTTTGATGTGCACATTATAAAAGCGCCAAAGAACGCTAAGAATCCGAATTCACTGTCAAAAACAACCAATTAAAATAATTTATTTGATATTATCAGATATGCCATAATAAATAATTTACAAATAGCTAGTTTGTCAAACATTTAAACTTTAAAAACTCTATTTGCGTTGTAAATACAACTCCTTAATTTTCATCGAAATGCAATCATAAGTCCCAACAGTAAGCCATGCTGCTTGCCCAAACTCAGCTTGATATTTTCATGTCCTTCAGATATAATATTGTTATCGTAATTTATTTAACCTAAGTACAGATCATACGACTGAAATCCACCTGAAAGAAGTCCCTCCCAGCCACACACCAAAAACAAAACCAGAAAATATATATATTTGTTCATTCCTACAATGCCTTCACAGCCGAACTTTACCTCATTGTAAAACACACGAACACAAGAGCTTGACAAACACACCCAGTCAAACACACCGAACGACTCCCAAGTGCACAGCAATCTGTGGATCCCCCTCCCTTCCCTTCCCTTCCCCTTCCCTTTTCCCACCATGTCCAGATATCCCACCCCAAATCCGCCTCCCCTAACAGCAAAAAAAAGCACAACAGCAACAACAAGTACAATGAACACAGCTGCCATCGCACCGATAGAAAACATACAGAAAACACAATTCAATTTCTTCTATTACAATTTCTTCCTGACTACCAACTACCAACCCTCGACTTTCTTTCCGCTCTTTATTTGGTACTCGCATATTTACATGAATGCCACGCCCAAGCCATCCCGATCCACCGAGCACTCCATGACCCCAACTACCTCAGCTACCCAACTCTACCACCTCCGTAATGGAATCGAACTTGAACAAGCTGAAAATTAAATATCTGCTGGACATTCGAGCCGTTTCAGTCAAATCATAAACCAGCCACCCTTTTTGCTAGCTCCCCAGCGCCTTTTTGTACTATTCCACTATTCCACTATTCCACTCTTTCAATCTATATCATATATTATTATATAAATATACCTGTACACACCCGCAGCAATGCGCCTATTTACTCACACACACAACGAGCAACTTCGAGTTGCAGTTCATAAAGCGTCACAATGAACCCAAGCAGATGGTCTAATACTCGTACTAATAATACTTTTCCTCTACTTCCCCGAACACACGCTCGACAGATGCTGCAGGCGGTAATTTCTCTACTTACCTTATCATTTACTTTACTAAGTCCTCAAGTATATATATGTATCTCGTATGCCATAGTCTTGATGCAACATGATGGACATGCATTCCCACTAGAATCAGAAGTAGTAGTCCATATCGAAATCCGAAATTCCAAATTGCAATCAACACCATTTGATTGGGACAATGCTAGTATTCCGCTCAGTATCTCAGCAACCCCTTAAGTTTCAGTATCTCATAGTTTGCCACGCTACCTCCAGAATCTATTCGCAAACGCACGCCTTGAAGAAAGATTATCATTCAGTTCATAAAAGTAGTTGCATCGAAGCGCTTTTCGTTCGTTTTATTGTGTAAACTCAGGAAAACAATGGGGTCCCAATACATTTAATAATGCTCAGGCCTTAAGAATTCGATTTCAACTAAATTAACTGCTAGCACTCAATTGGCAGTAAGATCAAAAAGTCAGTAATATTAGTTTGACCCACAAGTTGGCGCCACACTTATCGAACAATTTCCGCACAACTTGATTTCGTTTGGTTAAAACACGCTAACTACGACATCAATTCCAGAACTCTTTTGTCTAGAATTGAGCATACCTAGCATTGCGTTGAGTTGCGTTCTCTGATTTTATTTAGTTTTAGACAGTTTTGTTTCGTTTCGTTTTGTTTTGATTTGATTTGATTTGATTTGATACAAGATATACTCTTTATGCCGTTACACTGAAACTTTTGCTTTCTGCAAAGATTGTTTTGTTAAAACGTTTTTGTCTACTTCTTCTACTACTACTACTCTACTATCGAACTACCTCTACTACTGCTATGTACTACTTAAACCAATATGGAACCATACTAACTACAAAACTACTTACATCTTCTACTATTCTACTAAAACTACTCTAATTACAACTCAACTACAACCTATATACTACGAATTTACAATGAGGTAAAGTATAAGTATAAATTATGTAAAGTACTTAAAACCACATAGACAGCTAAAGAAAACCAATCGCATACCCAAAACAGAACATAATTTGTAATATACACATACATGTTTGTTATGTCTTGATATGCCCCAGTTAAGTCTGCGAACACTTAATGTACAGTGTCCCCTATAAAGTGTCAACCACACACCAGTTACTATCTTTAGCCCTACCGATAAGCAGACACTTTGACACACACAATTGCTACCAAAATATTCCCCTAAATGGATTATTGTTGTGCAATATTTTCGATATAAGTTTCCAAACCAATGGGACAGTTTAATAGAAAGAGATTGGGTGGATGTGGAGCAGGGGCTGGGAGTAAATTATGTATATTAAAAATTCCTTAAATATCCCAAGAGTTGAGTACAGACCAACATATTTGCATGCGGCTCTGGCCGGCCTTCAGTCCACACGATGCGCAGCTGTGCATTTTTGACAAATTTTGCCGTTTGCTGGCATGACGTCGCATTCCTAACGTGCCTGCCAAAGGGTCTCCGCATGGAAGTGGAAGTGGTAGTGGCAGTGGAAGTGGCAGTGGCAGTGGAAGTGCGGATGGGCACACACTAATTGCTGGCACTGTAAGAACGAGTCACCGCCTTCAGCCAAGTTGGTGCGAGCAGTGAAAGGCGCAGCGTCGGCGGCATAATTTCAACACTTGCACACGCCCACGCCCACGCCAAGCTCACTTGTACGCATCCCGGTCATAAGTAAATATCGGGCCCTTTGAGGCTGTTAAATTATAATTAAGACCGGAACGATGTGGTAGTTGCTATCAGCGACGATGACAATGAAAGCATTAGCAGTCAGCAGGCGAATGTTGGGCCTCCGTCTTGGCGATTATGTCCGTATCTCCTTGGCAGTCGCACGTAATCGCACACACACATGCCTTTTGGGTTTGGTTTGGGGATCAGCCTCCTTCTCCTTCCCCTCTCCGCCTCCCGCTTCCTTTTCCTGCCCTTTGACCCAGATGCGAGAAGCGAGCAAGGCTCGAACCGGATTAAGCAAGAAAATAATTTGCCGTTCGTGCCTTTTCAGAAACTCCTCGCGGGGAAGGCTGCTGGCAAAAAAAAAAAAAAAAAAAAAAAACGGGATGCAGAAATACTTGACACAAATGAGCGAGCTGCCCCCACTTGCTTATCCATACACTCTGATGGGGAGTGGAGTGTGGGTGGCCCCTGCCTCCACCACTGCCACAATGAAAATGAAAATGGAAATGGAAGTGTAATGTGTATTGTTGCTCGACGAGCGTGTGTATTAGGTCGGATAAGTGTCACCCCACTAGCATCCGCTCCACATCCTCCACAAAAGGTTGGGCCTAGCCATATACTTGTGCTGCGGATAAGACAATTACGCTGGCTCCAGTCCGCGTTCCATTTGCCCCCATGGATTCGCCACGTCTTCATCATCCGGTCGCGCTGACGTGTTGGTATTCAAAACAGCAGCCGAAGCAATAAAAAACGCACTCTGGAGCTTATCCGAGGGTTGCGGCTCGTATATCAGACTTATGACTTCTGCCAAACACTTTCTGATGTATTGTGGGGGAGGATGTGGGCCATCCATTCCTCATCCCTCATCCCTGATCCCTGATCCCCATCCCTTAGCTAAAGCCTAGCCGAGAAACGTTCCTCATGGCAGATAGGTATTAAGTACCCTCATTTCGCCCATGACACGCAGCGAAAAGTAAAGTAAAGCTTTTAACGGCGAAAAAAAAAAAAAGTAAAAAGAATGAAGGCAAGAAACCCCAAGAACCAACAACCAATTTGTACGGACTGGCCGACAGGATTTTTCGGGCTGTCAGGAGCACTTCTCAATGCAAATTGAAAGCTTCCGCAGCCTTAAAGGGCCATCAATGGGCCTCGCTAACGCTAACGGGTTGTCCATTTCGATTCCCATTCCCATTTCCATTTCCATTCTTATTGCCATTTCCATTAGTTAAAGGGGGTCTGCCATGGAAAATGAAGAAAAATGGAGGGCCAAGAATGCCGAGCCAATATCGAAGAAGAGGTCTTGCGTCTTGCGTCTTGCGTCTTGCGTCCTGGCCGAGCGGTGTTAATTATGTTGGCATGATAATTGCATTACAATAGGCTTGATTAGTTTTTAATTGAATTGTGCACTTATTCAGGGGCCATCTTGAATCTGCAACTGGAGTCGAGTTTTAAAGGGTTTTGCCCATCAACTTTGAGGGCCAAGTTATGTCCATAACAGGCACAATCGAATCGGAGTGGAAGTGTATGAGTAGGAGTGGGTGTGGGTGTGGGTGTGGGCAATACACATAAAAGAGGGGGGGAGGGTTCGTAAAGTTCGAAAAGTTCATAAAGCAAATTACAAAAGTCCCATAAAAGCGATCCTGGCTTCCGCTTCGCCTGCTGGGAGTGCCGGCTATTTGACACCATTTTGGCAAATCAATTTTTATTATAAAATGCGTTGACTAATTTATGAAAACAATAAATGCGTCTGCAAATCAAGTCACAGTCACCCTAAAAAGTTCATTCACAAAGCCATTCAGCAAATTGATGACTATAAATTCAATTTAATGTGCGACGATGCTTTTTGCACCCGCCAAGCAAGAGAGCCAAAGCGTCGGAGCGTGGTCATCCCATCCGTCATCCCCCGACGACGTTGCTCATCCGCCCCATGGCCCATGACCCTCGGGAAGTGCTCAAGAGCACGGAGCTCACGATTCTGCGCTCTGCCAAAAGCTGCATCTCTGTCACCCTCAACAGCTGCCATTGGAGCGGGCAGAGAAGCTGGCTGACTGCTCCTGCCAGCACCGTCAGCATTACCAAGCATCACCAAGCATCACCAGCATCGCACAGAGCAAGGACTCAAATCCGTTGTGGAGTGCGCAGCCGCTAAAATCTCGGCTCGTCCGGCGTCGACTGCGACGCGGCAGCGGCAGTCTGCTCGGCGCCAGGACATAAAAGGCCGGGCCGGACTGCCAGCACTCCTACTCCGGGTTCGCACTCCTGCGGCTGAAGTTCGCTCTGCCTGTCGCGGCGTCTGTGGCTCCTGCACTCTGCTTTCTGCTTTCTGCACTCTGCACTCAGTTCGTGGACACTCGTGGTCGCACTCGCACTGCACTCTGCCACTGTGGCACTGTGGCACTTCGGGCGGCACTTGGATCGATCGAAGCGCCATGGCAACGACGCCACTGGCACCACCATGGCGACAGCGGCCGAGGCAGTGGGCCAGAGTTGCAGCTCCTGGCTGAGGTCGACCAGTAGTGCCAGCATCGGCCGCGGCAACGGTTGCATTCACGTAGGCATCGGCATCGGAATCGGCATCGAAACCGGAGACGGAGACGGTGACGTCGAGGGGTACTGAGACCAGACCAGAACAGCTCCATCACGGACAGATAGCAGCGGCCCAGGGCGCCCTGAAGTCATGAATTTCATTGGTATGAGCCTAATCAGTGTAAGCCACAGTCTGCCTTCCAACCAACACTGCCTTTCGATTTCCGGCGGCGGACTCCTCTGAACAAACACAACTACTCAAACTACTTCTCCTCAACTCAACTTAACTCAACTTAACTCAACTCAACTTGCCACCAAACACACAAACGCTGACACCCTTTCCGAATCTGTGCCCCACGTAAGTCTTTGCCAGCGAACAGCACTTCGTTTGCTCGTTTATTCGTTTATTCGTTTTCGTTTTCGCTTGTCACCTCAATCAGCCAGGCTACGTAACACAGCCCATCCGTAAGTCCGTGAGCATATGCTGCAACTGGGCCGGGAAAAATCAATCGATGGGGAAATGGGAAAATGGGGAAATGGGAAAATGGGGGTGAGCAATGGTCGACCTCGAGTGGTTGCAGGCATGGCTTATCGATTTTTAACACCAGCGCTGCTGGCGGCGGCGGAAAGTTCAAGGTCCGACGCTGTCCAACAGCTAGAGGGGATTGCAGTGCTGCTGCTGCTGCTGCTGCTGCGTGGTACACTGGAAGGCCTCGGCGAACTCCTGGGAGTGGCGCAGAGCGGCGTGGGTCAGCTGCCGCCTGCGGTCCTGCTGCAGAGCGCCCAGCTCGGAGCGGCAGTCCACGAGCTGGTTGGCCACGAAGAAGAGTCGCTGCAGGGACAGTTGCGCTCTGCCGGCGGCCAGCAGAGCGTCGATTCTTTCTTGCAGCGGCGAGTGGGGGGCAGCGCCAGCCGGAATCCACTCAGTGCCTGTCTCTGGGCCAGCAGCTCCAGGAGCAGGTCGTTGGCGTTCGCCTGACCAGCGGTGCACTCCTGGAAGACGGCGAACCGCCGCTCTGAGTCCGGGCTGCGCCAGGCGCCCGGAGTGCGCGAGCTGCTGCCCGCGGCCACCAGGCTGCGCGAGAAGGTCTGCCCCAACAGCAGGTAGTTGAGCGGCGTGCTCAGGTTGCCCTGCTCGAGCAGGGCGCTGACCGTGGCGAACACCTGCGCGTACTGGCGCACCTGCTGGGCGGACTGCGAGGGCGCCGGCCGCCGGCGTTGCAGCTGGCGCAGCTTCTCCAGGTTGCGGTACAGGTTGCGCCGGCCCAGCAGGGTCGAGCGGTAGGCGGCGCCCAGCTGCTCGTCGCCGGCCAGGGTCAGATGGATGACGGTGCCCAGGAAGCTACGCGAGTTCTGCTGTGAGATCTCGTCGATCCACACGCTGCCGGCGAGCTGGTCCGTGTAGGCCTTCCCCAGCGCCGAGTACATCTGGGCCAGCTCCACGCGGTCCGCCGTCACACGCTGCACCACGTGGGCGTAGAGATCGCCGGCGTGGGTCTCCGCCAACTGGTGGCAGTCGGCATCCGCGATGTCTGAAAATAATAAGGGGAGCAACTCTTCAAGTACTGCAGACAAGAGCATTTCAAATTTTCAAGTTTGGGTTCAAGTGAGTTTCAGGAAGGGTTCAAACGTAATTCTTGGTTTGACAAACATTTTAGCAAAACTTTTTGCATTCTTGTAAACTGGCACTTGAAAGTCAGTTTAAAATACATACTCAATCAGACTTCGAGAAATGTTGTAAAATATCTTGAAACTTACTAAAATCAAAACGAATTTGAATTGGTGAAAGACAATTGATCGCAACAAAAATGTGTACTTATTTGGCCAATCGGAAAATAAGACCGAAAAGACATACTTTTATAAGGAGTGGTCTTTATGCTTTCTTTATGCCAAAAGAAGCAGCGAATTATTCGCTAAATGTCAAATAATCTCATCCAGGGTAGTAAGCAACATAAACAACGCTATAAATTAGGACTTGGTAATCTAATTACTATCATACCTAGGCTTGAAAACTCTATTGAATCTATTTTTGGTCACTTCTTTGAGCGAGCCTTGAGTTGCTACGATCATGTTAAAACACAAGTTTGCTCGATTCCTTCAAGTAACTGAACTGTTAACTCTGTTTTGTTTGACTTGACTCGAAAGCTAATTCAAGTTAACTTGCGCAAGACAAAGGTTAAAGGTTAAACTCCCTCACTGGGTGAGTCAGTTATCTCAGATAAATATTTTCAAATTTAACGTTATGGACTACGGTACTCTGACCCTATCTCATTGCCACTCAGTGTACGCACCCATCAAGTAGTCCGTCCAGATCCAGTTGAGCAGCCGCACCATGCTGGTGTTCTGGAGCAGCACCAAGTAGTCGACCAGTCGGGGCAGTTGCTTGACCACGATCGTGTCGCCGGGCTGGGGTGTCTTCCCACCCAAGGACCTCCGGAAGTAGCCGTCCCAGTCCAGTCGGGTCAGCGAAGCGTTGCCGAAGGCGCTGCGCTTGAAATTGCCGTAGCTGAACTGCACCTGGTCCTCGATGTGCTCCGCCTTGACGATGTCCCGCCGACTGCGCTCCAGGCTGAGCACCTCGAGGGCGGCCACATGGGCGCGGCTCTGCTCGATGCCGAAGCTCTGGAGGACCTCGCCCACCCGCTGCTCGAACTTCCTCAGGGTGTTGCGGCGCGTGGTGTCCGGCTGGAGCACCACCACGCGCCGGTTCGACTGCATGGTGACCGTCGTCTCGAAGAAATAGGGCGCTCCCATCTCGTGGAAGTGCCCGAGGAGCGTTAGCCAGCTCCGGGTTTGATTGGATGGATTCGATCGCTGGCTAATGTTGACCTTGACCGACTCCAGGGCAGGCCAGCCTCCGCTGAGCCTGAACAGCTGCGAGCCCTTGAGCGCCTCCACACCACGCCCGCTGTCGCAGGACTTGAAGAAGTTGACGAGCTGCAGCTCCATGTCCATCAGCTGTTCGTTGTCCGCCTGCCGTAGGAAGCTCTGGACGCGCTGTCGCCCCGTCTGGCTGAGATTGGCGCTGCGCGAGCAGACGTAGCCGTAGAAGTCCTGGCAGGGCTGCTTGCTGGGGTCCAGGTACTGCTCCAGCTTGTAGGAGAAGTGCAGCAGGTCATTCTCCACCCTGGCCTGGCTGGTCATGTTGTCCAGGCCGCAGGCCAGGTGGGTCACCCACAGGATGGCCAGTGCTCTGGCCAGCATGTTTCTCGCTATGCCTATGTTGTCTCCGTGGCGCGACTAGAATGGAACTATGAAATGAACCCGCCACCGTCCAATGTTTCTGCCAAGGCACCGAACCTTGTTCGGCTCCGCGAGGTCGGAATGGCAAAGGTCGCTGCTAATACGTAGGCACACACTTCCGCGCTTCTGCTTCCAGACTAGGCTGTGCCTAAGTCCCAACTAATCGCGTTCCCATTCGCTACCCCTGTCGCACTGGCAGTGGCAATGTGGAATGGCTATGGTTTGTGGCTCATGGGAGGGGAAATCGCTCGAGTGATAACCCGGCGGGCGATAACGAGTCTCTGAATCAAGTGTGTCAAAGTGTCGGGCTTAGAGAGCGATCTAAATTGGTCACGGCCGATTGTAAGCTAACTGAGTGTGGAAGGCGCTTAGCTCTTTAGACTGTATTTCACAAATCGGTTCTTGGCCGAACTCGGGCTAGACAGGTGCATAGGTGCATACCCACCAGAAGAGGGTCAATTTAATATATCTCTGACTAACCCTTTCATCCCGTCGTCTTCAAACAGGCGCTGTAGGAGGTGACGGAGGCGACGATGGCGACGACAAGGAAAAGGCAGAGGAGGAGGAGAGGGAGCGTCAGGAGGCCATCAAGGAGGCCGAGGACCGGCGCAAGGAGAAGCACCGGAAAATGGAGGAGGAGCGCGAGAAGATGAGGCAGGACATTCGCGATAAGGTGAGTAAATGGGTCCCGGGGGGGGGTACTCCGAAAGAACCGTGGAGCGAGAAGGACTTCCTGGCGCAGCTCAAATTGACTCTAGTAGGGAGTCCTTTTCTCGAGCGACTCCCTAACGGAGTCAGATTGAGCTTCGAAGGAGCAAGACATCGGGGAGCAGCTGCCGAAAGTGTTAGCCCATAAGAAAGTAGACCCCCAGTCAGTGCCCATCGGTCTAATCAACCTGTTGATCTGCCAACTCCCACCAACTCCCACCATTAGTACAACATCAAAAAGAAGGAGGAGATCGTGGAGGCGGCGCCCCAGGAAGAACCCAATCCCCTGATGAGGAAAAAGAAGACGCCCGAGGAACTCGCCGCCGAAGCGGAGCAGGAAGAGCTCGACGATTTTACAAGTAAGTCATCGGTGCCTTTCGAATCCTGGTCAACCTCTTGCTCAGCCACTGGCATCTGTCTACTGCTAACCTAATCCTTCAATGGGCGAGCGATCGATGATCGATCGCTCCTTTTATGTAATCTGTAACTGTGTTCGCTTTTGAGTTGTCTTTTTGTTTTCGTTTCCAACTAACTACTTGGCCAGCGGCTCATCCGAGTCCCGCCAGGTCCAGACAATACCTAAACATGTTGACTAACAACTAAAACCAGAACCAAAACCAAAACCAAAAACAAAACCGAATAATATCAGCTAAATACTGAACGGCGCTCGAAAGTAGTAACTGTGTTTATGTTTGTGCATCTGTGTGTCTCTCGTATCTCGTATCTAAGTGCAATCGAACTTTACAGCATAACTATCTGAACTGCTGCCCACTAATCAAGCTATCTATCTATCTATCTGTACTCTTTTCCATGTGCGCATAGTGTCTAAGCCCTAGACCTAACTCTAATGCTAACTCTAATGCTAACTCTATCTGTCTAACATCTAATCTTCAACTGTAATGCAACGACGAGTAAAAACATTGTCAAATACATCCTTATATAACCAGTGTGCACACCATTCACTTATTTCATTTTTCTCAGTTTCCGCCTTGTGTTACGATTTACCATGTAAATGAGAATGCCCGGAGAAATGTCTCTTCTTTTTTTCTATTTATATACATTGCATACGTTATTTAACATAAATTTTGGGTAAACACTGAAATTAACTAATTGGTATTAGCAGACTTAGGTTTTGTGTTATTCGATTAATTAGAATAAGGTAAGTGCGACCATCCGTAAAACGTATGTCTTCCCTCTGTGTGGTAATCTTGTTGTAATACATTCGTATTCAATAACTACTCTTCCGCCTTCCACACCACCAACAGTAACAACTTTCGAATACTCTCGCTCTTTTATCTCTACCACCTGTTCTCTGTAAATTTTTCTGTAAAATACCCAGCATAAAAAGACGAATTGTAACTACAAAATGTTTAAATGCCCTCCACAAGAACAAGAAAACATAAAAAACTAGTTTAGAAACGAAATGAGAATTGAGTTAGGTTAGATCAAATAGCTGCCGGGGTTAAAAAGATTACTTATCCAATTATGTTGTGTATTATTTAAAACATCAATCTCACCCAATGCACTTTTATTATAATATAGCGCCTATTATTTCACATCTAAATATAAACACTAACAGAAAACTTGTGCTTGTGTCCTCAACTGCATTTTGAAACTAAACACTCATAACAAAGTAAATAAAACTCAACTTTAAACCAAAGCTAACTAAAAATATCTACGATAAATGGACGAGAAACAAATACAAAACTTTTTCCCTCTCGTTTACTCTTTCCCTTCAATATGCGTACTATATGTATTTTACATAATGCAGTATGTTATGCAAAATATATATAATGCTCATATACTGTCTATGTATGTGTATTTTCTCCGCACCGAATTCTACATCTTTGTGATTACTTCTCTATCACTCTTTTAAACATCTAACCACTACTTTAACCATAACTCTGACTTTAACCACGACGATAACAGAATTGCTTATTTTTATAATTTTAACGATTCGTATACGAACGCTAAGAAAAGCTATTAAATTACTCCACGTGAATATCGTACATTACAGTTACAGCTACAGCTACAGCTACAGCTACAGTAGACCAGTTACAGTACATTAGCATTCATGAATACATATACATACCAGTTAACATGCCAAACATTTGTAGTCTACTCTACAAAATATGCTTATTTATTGCTGTTTCCATACTCAATTTCTTTTACAGAACTGAAAAATCAAATAGAAACGCAAGTAAATGAGCTAAAAACTCAAATAGAGGGAAAATGTGTCATGCAGTGATATGTCAGTCATCATAATATGAAAATACTTAAATATAATGAAAAACGCAAATAATACCGATAATAACATTTAACCCATAAATGGAAATTGATTTAACTCGACTTGAAATTGGATTTATTAATATGAGATCAGTTAAGTTATATTGGAAAGCATAAACCAAACGAAGTTAGTCCATTGCAAAGCTAGAGCCTAAAATAACTTTAACCCGGCGGCCACTAAAGCCAATTAAACGTTAAATCCCGAAATCGATGACAGCTATAATCCGAAACGAAGCAGATATGCGAAATGAAAATGCGAACAGGACGGTGAACTCCTAAAGAATTTTAAAGTAGCTAAAACATAAACCAAGTTATTTAAAGCCCAACTATAGTGAAAGCCTTTAATAATATTCAAATCACTTTGCTTCGATAATAATGTAATATACTCAAACCCAATATACAATACATAATCGTTGTTTAGTTGATAACATACAATAACATAACGATCTAATGAATATATCGAATCGGCACGATGGCGTTCGATCCCAAATATAAAAACATTAATGAAAAAACCAATAAATAATACAAAACCAAAAAAAAAATGAAACCAAACCAAAAAAAAATTAAGCGAATGGTGCGACAGAGGAGGCTGCCGAATCATGTCGAACCGTCGAAGTATGTTGCTGAAATCACTTGGACTTGAAATCCATCTACTTATATTAGTATGAGTGAACAATGAGTACGAATTAAATCGGCGAATATGTTGAAATTGTCATTCAGATATATATATATACACCCGTTATGTATATATGTAAATTTCATGAATTTAACCACGAGTAAATTATTATACTTGCAAACGAATTGACTGCAGATACGTTGAAACTATTGCTGATTCTCCAAATTGTTTACCAAAAACCAGAAACGAAAACCATAAAAATAAATAAAAAAGTTTCAGTCAGTTTGTTTTTGAAAGTTCGAGAAAAAACATCTTTAACAGCTGTTACATTTTGTTTCTTTCTTATACAAACAACATACCCACACTACAATTGAGAATTTCAAACTCTTTGAGATAAATATCTCTCTGATTGATGCTTCTGAAATGTAAGTAAATAAGATTACTATATTCCTATATACCCCAACCTTACTGAAATATAACCCACAATACCGGTCTTAAGTTTCTTATCACCTTTGTTTGTATTCATACCGGTTAAGATTTGATCAAGTTACGGCTATTCCGTAGGAGATATTGTACAACAATATATAAATCGAACAAATATATAGCAGTAGCCATTTAGACAAGGACAATAGCTTATAAGAGATGCTAGGCAGTTCGAGAGCATAATGCTGTGATACATTTAGCATACATTTTTCACCGATAGCCCACTGGCCTCCGAGCGGTTTCCAGAGCCCCATAAACTGGAAGAGCACCCAAATAAACATGCATGCAAGTCGGCTACAAGAAACAAAGACACAATACCATTCGACATATGTATATAAGTCTTTCCACCGAATACCCTTTACAACGCTCAGACCAGGCCACCACCCCATCCGTCGTCTGCTCTTTCAACTTTCCGCTTGTGAAGGGTAGGAACACACCTGATTACATGCCAACTCCACATACCCCACATTCTCGCACATGGAGTCTTTTCAGTGCCACCAAAATTGTATATACTTATACGTGTGTCTTCAACGGAGACTTTCCAAGGTACATATCGCATTATCGTATGCATGGATGTGCGTACTTCAAAACGAGCCGTTTCCGTTCTAAATCGAGGAACTTGTCACGTCCGAATGCACCGTTTTCTGATCCCAGGTTTCCATAGAGTGATCTTAGAGATGATGAGAGGGGATTTCTTTTTGCATGCGATTTGTGACGTGAACGGCTCTTGTGTGTGTTATAAATATCAGCATACATACATACTTCATCCAATCACGCACATGTATTAAATTTACCACATTTTCAAAAACAATGCCCTCCCTGACTGTAAAATCAACTAGTGGAACTTTTTAGCAACAACCCACATATTTTGTGAGTTTAGATCATGCGTGCCTATTAGCATATCATATTGACTTTATGCATTCTTGCAGTCGGAAAGGACATTTGCGTTCCGGGTAACCGGATATACATAGACCCCAGTCGAATACCTTTTTTAGTCATATTAAACCCAATAAACTAAACTAAATATACATATAATAATAAATGTTTTAATCACACTGCATTCTATATATATATATATATCTCTCTTTCTCTCTTTCTCTGTTGTCTCTCTCTTTCTCCTCTTTTGTTTTGAAACACTCTCTTTTATATCTTTAATCTGCGCCACTTCTACTCTGCCTCAAAATCTATATCTGAAAACAACTTGAACAACATTTGCAACAACACGAAACAACAACAAAATCGACTATTATAACAACATCAACAACAATTCTACCAATTCTTCACAACTACGACTTGATGGTCCCTCTTAGACATGTACTCTCGGTGTTTTATAAAATATCATCAACAACAACAACAACAACAACCAGAACAACCAGAACAACAGCACAAGAAAACGCCTACAGCCAGTACAAGAACAACATCAACAACAACATCAACTACATCTACTACCGAAGTATCTAAATGTGTACTACATATAAAAGATGAACCATGCTATCGAAGCAAACAATAGAAGCTAACAACAGAATCAAGCCAACATTTCCTACCATATTTCTGAACGTTGTGAACTAATTTGGATGTGGGTTACCGTTTAATCACAGTCATATACCTACACACTCACTAGTCACTTGCATTCAAACGGCTATATGGTGTTGTAAATGTTAAACTTATGTACAGATCTAATAAATACCAACGAAACATATGTGCAACGTGCATTAATAGTTGCCTGCAATGCGACGTTCTGTATCTACGATAAAGAGCTAACATCCAATTAGGTACAAAATTCTTTGAAACTCATGTCAAATGGTCAGTTCAAGCTTCGCCCTGTATATCTTCTATACAAAATTCTCAATTTCTTGTTTTGCACATATCGGTAAGGCAGCAATAAACTTAAAAGGCCTAACGCCCCTCTCTGTCAACCTAATAAAGCAATCCTCTAGTGCCCCCTCGCTCCATACAAAGTTAGGAACGATCAAACTAATGAACGAATGCCTTAACGTGGCTCAGATGACTAGACCATGAGTAGCGAATAGATGATGATAAAAAAGGTGATTCTACCATAAGGAAAGGTACTTGCAATCCCTAGCTTTGTTTCCCTTATCCTTAACGCACTCCTGTTACTGAATCGGGATCCAGATATCCTAGCTATGATCTTTTCAAACTCGAAACTAGAAAATCTATTAAAGTAATGGCTTTCTAAATACTTATAGAAAATGTTTACCTAGATTCTACTATATATATTCTGTTTTTCTCTCAGATACTTATATGAAGTTGAAGGTCACTTAATGGTTTAATATATTGAAAAAACGAAAACGATGAAATACAACACAACTAATTGAAACATATTATTCAATCATAACCAAGTTTTTAACGTAATCATAAATGTTTGAAATGTGAAATGGTTCAGCCGATTTTATTTAATTTATAATTTGTTAACATTATGTTACCGTTAATATTACAGTAATGAAAATGTAATTATATGTATATCAGAAAGTTCACGAAACCACAGATAATTAAACATTATTATCTATATATATATATATATGTATATGTGTAACTTAATAGGGAAATGAATTTAATAGAGAAACAACAGACAAAAATTATAAATAATAATGTTGAAAAGAATACCATTCAAGTCATTATTAGATGTGAAAGAAGTTCTATACACAACAAAGGAATAAACAAAACAGAAACAAACAAGAACAAAAACAAAAACAAAAACAAAACAAAAAACTTAAGAAAATCGTTAATAGTTGATTAATTATATTGTTACTTTGAACATTTAATTAAAACAAACAAAAAACAAAAGAAGGTATAATAAAAAAGTATATATGTATAAATATATATGAGAAAACACAACAATACATTTGGTTTTAATTCCGAGTCGGCCACTATCTTCAGGATTAACCATTGCCGTTACTCCATTGTCCACACTCCATGCGACCAAATACATGTCCAAATTACACTCGACTCGACTCTCTGCCTGCCTGATATCTGATACGTATAGCGAACTTGATTTGGCATGACTGTTGGTCTATATGTTTTTCTATCTATGTGTACCTGTACCTGTACCTGTACCTGTCTCACTTTCCTCTGTCTATCTCTCTGTATCTGTATCTGTATCTGTATCTGTATCTGTCACTATCAATCTGTCTATCTACATATGTCTAACTCTGCTCCGCCAAGTGCCTGACTTGCAGTCTAAAACAGTGCACACCTGAGCTCATGTACATCCATCCATGAGACTCCGTGTCAGAGTCTCATCGCAAAGCCGATATCCTGCAGCCTACTGCGGCCTTCTGAACTGCTGACGACACTGATTTACAGTAAAAAGTGTTATGGAAAGTGCCAAGTTATCAGTCTTATAAATACCCTTGCCCAGACCTTTGTGAATTTTGCTCAAGTCGGAGGCATCTCCGGGTTAGGCATCCGACGAGTAAGTATGTACTATGTATATGAAAGATATTAGATTTTCCTAGGCTATGTAAGTTTTTTGTTGTGTATACGCCTACTACATCATCCGGCAAAGGTAAGTAATGGCATAGCCAATCAATTTCGTGCCCATACCTCACCACACACAATACCTCAGAACCACATCAGTCTCAACCACAATCAGAAATACACCCACGTCCACTTCAAATCCCACAGCCACTGACGAAAGTTTATGACCACAGCAAGTTGAAAGAAAATCCATTAGGGAGCACATTTCTTTCTTCTCCCACTCCAGGGAGGGGGGTGAAAACAATAAAACTCAAAACAAACTCTACCCTTTCATTTTTATAATTTCTCTGCCCTTTCAGTTTACCATGTCAGTTTCGTAGGCAGTTTTTGCTAAGTTACTCAAACTCTACACTGCGTTTGTGTGCAAATTAACTGATTTTGTCTTGTTTGTACTTTCAGCCAAGTTGAAAAAACGTCTAAGCGATGCTTTTAAAAATTGCCCATTGAGAAACTTGTTCTGAACAAAAGTCTCAAAGATGAGAGTCATGCCACGATTCGATTCGGTTTCGGTTTCACACAACACAAGTACGCAAATGTGTGCTTGTGGGAGAGTATAACGCGTATAACTAAGTATCCTGCTCTTTTCAACCCTTCAACGTGCATTACCTGCCAGATCCTGATCCAGATCCAGATCCAGATCCTGATCCATCCAGGACACCCTATGGCGGCTATACTAACTTGTGTCTAAGCTAGGTTTACCTACATCGATCCACTTCGATACACTGCGGATACACTTTTACCCAATTAGCCCTATTGCCTGTATTGTAATTACATAACTGAAAGACAAATTTACCGATCCCCTCCTCTTTGAGAAAGTTGTAGTTGGTCCCAAGCGTGAGAAGCGGCGTTTTAGTATTAGCACGTTTGGAAATGTTGAATATTTGAATATTTGAATAGTAGTGTAACTATTTTAGTTAAGCGCTAAGCAACGCACATTGATGCAATGAAGCAGTTAGTTCCTTTATACTTGAAACGAACGGGCTATTTTAGAGTTGGCTCGACTTCGGTTACTCCATAGGCACAACGATTAAAAGATACCAAATTACGATACACCTACAGATACTGACTAGAAGGAATCGTAGTAACCAAATGTGAAATCAGAATTAAATCAACAACGACACTAGTTTAAAGCAATTAGAATAGCGAATTCGCCGCATACCAGAGTCTTTCAATGGTGCTAAGTGCACTTTCTTATCGCATTCATATATGATTACGAGTAATATAGGTGGCTCGAATGTTTTCGTTGTTTGCCAAATAATTCATAAGATTTTTAAAGTACCTGAAATTCCATTGACCCTACTGGAAGTCTAGCATTAGGTTAAGGTCCTTAAAAACGATATCACGTATTGCTGAACGCAGACGACTTCTTGTTTGTTTAAAGATCTGCTCAACGATAGGTGTGTATTTCTACAGATTTTTCACATTTCCATTAGAATAACCACTTACTTTATGATAGAACAGAAAAAGAAAAACATTGTTCGGCTCGCCGATGTGAAAGTATCTTTTCCAATGCGTTCCTTCCGATACGCCGATTAGCCAGCCAGCTGGGCTTTATATTCATTTATGATTGGCATCATTTTGAGGGGAATTGGAAGAGATGAAATTGGTTTTAGCATCAATCATTTAAATAAAACAATCATATCTAAGCTAAAGGATTTCGTGTCTTAATTTTAAATATTACATGATTTTACAACTTAAATTGTATAAAACTAAGAGAACAATTCAAAGGAAAAGGCAAAGGAAAAAAACAGATATCAGAAGTAATTATATAGTCTAAGTATAATTTACATACCAAAACGACCGACTGAAATTATTGTTAAAAGTTTTATGAACTATACTTGCATATATACATATATTGATATGATCAAGTAAATGAATAAATAAAGAAATATATATACAAGAAATTCATAATAATATATTAAAGTTTCTATACCCTAATCAATCATAAATTTGCGATTCAATATATACATGAATACCTAAATTTAATTATAGACGAATGATATCAAATTTTAATGATGCCGCAAGGAGCATGCCCAAAGTCAAATAAGTTATCTAGGACCATATACAAGTAAATCGAATTCGAACAATAGTTTTGACATGTCGCATATGCATCAAAGCCATTACTTTTAGTGTCACAAAAACCACAGTCGAACACCCGTCATCAGATCATATCTTACCACCTTTCGTTTTAAATATCTAATTCACAATCAAGACTACTTTTAAAAGTAATGCTACCAGAACGCCTCGCCTAATTTGAAATCGGCAACTAGTCAAAATTAAATCCTTAAAATGCAGCCTAATAATACCAGCTTAGCAAGTATCTAGGTTCAATTTGGCATTCTTGCCATTCGAAAACATTTCCAAGAAAGTAGCCTAGTCAATGCCAATGGTTCTGTCGAACAATTAATTGTACACTTATAACACATAGGCCAAAGTTCTTGAAACCTGTACTTAGCATTCTCGCGCTGGAAAGTGCGGGGCAAACCATTGCCGTAGCGATTACCAGTATTGTACGAGTTGAATTAATTATATTGTATTGCATTGTAATATGTTGTATTGTATTTACTGTTGAATTGTATTTTAATATAGAACGAGTTAATTTCCAATAAAGAGTTTTTAAATGCATTATGAAAAATCTCTAGGAATGCCGCCTTTTATTTTCATTGCTTGGCTGGCAGTCCACCAGTTCCACCGTCACGCATTCAAACTTAATAAAGGCCAAATGGTCCCCACATCCACTATCTTCGCCATCTCCACCATCTCCACCGCAAATCATTCCACGCACATCATCCATTGTAGGACGCCTTTTATTGGAATTCGGTAAAACTCTTCCTTAACAATCCTCTGTGCTGTCGTTTTGCGGGCCGCATTGTTTAGACATAAAATTCCCAAGTGTTTGGAATTCAGAGACTTCTCTCTGTGCCTGATGACTATGCTGTCGTTCTGCCTTGCTTTCCCTGCTTTCCCTGCTTTCCCTGCTTTCTTCGTTCGCACTTCTCTGTCGTAGTTATTATTCCAATATCATCCAAATGTCGGGTTCTAGCAAATGAGGTGGAATGGAAAAAACGGGTAGGGTGATGGAACAAACTTTCTTGGCATGGCTCACGTTCGACAAATCAATACGGCGAGTGCCAGCCTGCCATTCCATCAAAAATACTTTGAGTAATTAAAAAAGTTCATCGCTATTTCGGTACAACTCGTTTAAAAATGTACATCGAGGGTATTTAAAAGCACCCAACTTAGAACCTTTATAGGGCCAACATTTCATCGATTGCAAAACATTTATCAAGAGTGGCTAAAATCAGCACAGTGGCCCGTGCTAGACCTTATAAATAATGCAGAACGTGCTTTTAATTATACAGAGGCATCGGACGCACCGCACAACTCAACGTCCGAGTACTTTGCAGTCAGCCAAGTGTGAAGAGCCGTGTTTATTAGCCCAAAACAACGGCGCAGGCGACAGCCAACCAGCTATACAGACTCCAATTTAATTTAATAGGAGTAGCCGGAAGTCCAGCTCAGAGATAAGCCGGAGGTAAGCCCTAATGAAATGCATTGTCAAATGAAATGGTAAAATTGACGACGTCCACTCTTTCTTCAAGTGGCCAATGGCATTAAATCAGCAAACTAATGGCCTCTAAGCAAACGACAGGACGACACGCACCCCACACTTGTCCAGGAAGATGCCGAGTGCCAACTGGGGGTCCGCCTCCACAAGTGCTTTTCCCGTTCGCATCCTGCCCTCTCGATCTGAACATAAAAGCACTTGTAACAAATTGAAATCATCTATCTTACTTTTCGTATTTCGCATTTCGCATTTATTGAAGCCCACACTTGCAGCCAATCGCCTGCTCCCCACAGCATTTTTCAATTCACCTCGTCGCCTCCGTAAGTGGCGGAATTTGGGGGGTTCCCAGATGGCTTACAACTTAGCATGTGTTTAACTAAATATACGTGTCTATAAGGGGTGCCACAGAAATCGCTTCTGCTTTAATTCCACTGCCATTCGTCTTTATTCTATAGGAGATAGATTTGATCGCGTGGAATATAAACCAGAGGTTGTACAGCAAACGCCTTAATAATTGAATTAACTGTGCGAAACCAAACCGTTTCGGCAACTCTAATAAAAATCTGGCAGAATATGTGATACTGCAAAAATAGGACACAAAAAATTGGTTTGAAAAATAATTTTTTTAATTTAATACAATTTTTGGGCTACTTAACATATTCGGCATAGAATGAATATGTTAATCTGTTAATATGTTAAAATAAAGAAATTCCTCTAGGAATTAATTTTAATATTTTTTCTGAAAGGGAAAACTTTTACTATGTGCAGAAAGTTCTAATCTGAATCATAC